CATTTTTCAAGATGGCTGCCATATTTAAGCCTTAAACTAGTTATTGTCAGAAAATGTTCATGACTTTATGAACTTTAAACCTCAAATATTTTCTGCTTTGGTCATTGATGTTAGCGAGTCAAGTCAATTGAATATTAGCATTAGCTTCTGCTAACGTTTTATGTGTTTTGCAGGCTAATGCTAATGCTCACCATTTTGAAAGTGGTTGGCCAGTTCATTTCAGAACAACAGCTGACAGCTTCACTTTTACTGACTGCAATAGTAGAATCTCCTGACCTGAAGCATGACCTCTGCATGACCTCGGGCTTTGCATGACCTTGGACATGCTACCTGTTGTTGCAGACTCCTGATATGCTGCGGTATTTGTCATGATGACTTCCTGCACAGGCGGCCGGGTCCGTTGCAGTTGGACACTGAGACAGCTCTGCAAGCAGCTCCAGGTTTTCCCGAGACAAAAGCTCTGACAAAAGATGAATTCACTAAGAGCGTTAAAATGTCAGCCTTTTGGTAGCACAGCTAGAAATGAAAGAAACAGATTGGAACTTTGGCCGAACCTGATGCTGTGAAGTTCCTGTTATATTTCTGCTTCGCTGCGTTTTTCAGGATCTGCAGGCTGACGTGGAAAATCTCCCCGGACCTGGAAATGTCCTGAGTCTGAGGCTGGAAGTGAAACTTGAAGCCATGGCTGCAGAGAGGAGCTGCTCTCCATCTGCGGACAGGAGTTGGAGGTTAAAGCAGTTCCATTTTTAGGCTGTTTGGCCCGGCGGTTCTCTGGGCCGGTACCGCTGGCTGGAGGCGCCGTCAGCATCCTCAGGAGACCAGACCAGAAAGTCTCTGAAGGACAAGGCTGAAAATGAAGAACACAGAACTTTAGACCTCAGAGCAGAGAATACAAATTTTTAATTAAAATGATTTACTTTCGGTTTCTTTTTTTCAAAATGGCTGCCGTGGCTGTAACAGAGAATAAATGTTTGAGCTAAAATGAGCAGCAGCTATTGCCAGTGGTGGGCAATGCTAAACACATGGTTAGCTTCAATAACTAGCTGAACCACAATCTCAGCTCCGCTAAAGCTAAAGCAACAGAAACATTAGCAGAAGCTAATGCTAAACCAACAGAAACATTAGCAGAAACTAATGCTAAACCATCAAAAACATTAGCAGAAGCTAATGCTAAACCAACAAAACCATTAGGAGAAGCTAATGCTAAACCATCAAAAACATTAGCAGCAGCTAATGCTAAACCATCAAAAACATTAGCAGAAACTAATGCTAAACCATCAAAAACATTAGCAGAAACTAATGCTAAACCATCAAAAACATTAGCAGAAGCTAATGCTAAACCATCAAAACCATTAGGAGAAGCTAATGCTAAACCATCAAAAACATTAGCAGCAGCTATTGCCAGTGATGGGCAAACAAAAAATTAAATATGACCAAAAAACAGAATATTATGCTGTTAAATCTGGATTATTTTCTTCCCTTCTTTCATTTTAGGATTTTCATTTGTCTGTTAATTAAAATTAGATGAAATATTTAATATTTTAAACTTCTTAAACTGAGACTCAAACCTTTTAATACAGATATAAATCATCAGGTGAGTCTCAAACATGAACATTTACTTTCTCTGGCTGTATAAACTGAATTCATATGAAATATTAACTCACAGCTGGTGGAAGGCGAGACGCTGCAGACCAGCATCACCAGAACAGCCGCATGGAAACGCGTCCTGGTCTTCATGTCTCCTCTGCGTCCCGCAGCAGCCGCGTCTTTATGAGACCTGAGGCAGGAGGTCAAGGGTCACTGCACCTGCCTCCAGAGGGGCTCTTCGTCCCACATCACTGAGCTTTTTACCTCTGCGAGTTTCTGAGGAGACATCTTGATGGGCCGATACCGTGACAACGCTGGGGTTGCAGTTTTAAGCTCTCAAAACAAAAACAACAGAACCAGCAGAACCAGAACCAGCAGAAGCAGAACCAGCAGAACCAGAACCAGCAGAACCAGAACCAGCAGAACCAGAACCAGCAGAACCAGAACCAGAACCAGCAGAACCAGCAGAACCAGAACCAGAACCAGCAGAACCAGAACCAACAGAACCAGAACCAGCAGAACCAGAACCAACAGAACCAGAACCAGCAGAACCAGAACCAGCAGAACCAGAACCAGCAGAACCAGAACCAACAGAACCAGAACCAACAGAACCAGCAGAACCAGAACCAGCAGAACCAGAACCACAACCAGAACCAGCAGAACAGAACCAGCAGAACCAGAACCAACAGAACCAGCACCAGAACCAGCAGAACCAGAACCAACAGAACCAGCAGAACCAGAACCAACAGAACCAGCAGAACCAGAACCAGCAGAACCAGAACCAGCAGAACCAGAACCAGCAGAACCCAGCAGAACCAGAACCAGCAGAACCAGAACCAACAGAACCAGAACCAACAGAACCAGAACCAGCAGAACCAGAACCAGCAGAACCAGAACCAACAGAACCAGAACCAACAGAACCAGCAGAACCAGAACCAGCAGAACCAGCAGAACCAACAGAACCAGCAGAACCAGAACCAGCAGAACCAGAACCAGCAGAACCAGAACCAGCAGAACCAGAACCAGCAGAACCAGAACCAGCAGAACCAGAACCAACAGAACCAGAACCAGCAGAACCAGAACCAGCAGAACCAGAACCAACAGAACCAGAACCAACAGAACCAGCAGAACCAGAACCAACAGAACCAGCAGAACCAGAACCAGCAGAACCAGAACCAACAGAACCAGAACCAGCAGAACCAACAGAACCAGCAGAACCAGAACCAACAGAACCAGAACCAGCAGAACCAGAACCAGCAGAACCAGAACCAACAGAACCAGAACCAGCAGAACCAGAACCAGCAGAACCAGAACCAACAGAACCAGAACCAACAGAACCAGAACCAGCAGAACCAGAACCAACAGAACCAGAACCAACAGAACCAGAACCAGCAGAACCAGAACCAACAGAACCAGCAGAACCAGAACCAACAGAACCAGCAGAACCAGAACCAGCAGAACCAGAACCAGCAGGACCAGAACCAGCAGAACCAGAACCAGCAGAACCAGAACCAACAGAACCAGCAGAACCAGAACCAACAGAACCAGCAGAACCAGAACCAGCAGAACCAGAACCAGCAGAACCAGAACCAGCAGAACCAGAACCAACAGAACCAGAACCAGCAGAACCAGAACCAGCAGAACCAGAACCAGCAGAACCAGAACCAACAGAACCAGCAGAACCAGAACCAGCAGAACCAGAACCAACAGAACCAGAACCAGCAGAACCAGAACCAGCAGAACCAGAACCAGCAGAACCAGAACCAACAGAACCAGCAGAACCAACAGAACCAGCAGAACCAGAACCAACAGAACCAGAACCAGCAGAACCAGAACCAGCAGAACCAGAACCAACAGAACCAGAACCAACAGAACCAGAACCAGCAGAACCAGAACCAGCAGAACCAGAACCAGCAGAACCAGAACCAACAGAACCAGCAGAACCAGAACCAACAGAACCAGCAGAACCAGAACCAGCAGAACCAGAACCAGCAGAACCAGAACCAGCAGAACCAGAACCAGCAGAACCAGAACCAACAGAACCAGCAGAACCAACAGAACCAGCAGAACCAGAACCAGCAGAACCAGAACCAGCAGAACCAGAACCAGCAGAACCAGAACCAACAGAACCAGAACCAGCAGAACCAGAACCAACAGAACCAGCAGAACCAACATGGAGACCCAGTGTCTCCCTGAGCATCAGCATCACTTCAGCTGAGTCGTCGAGGCGATGCGCGGCGAGACGCCGACAACACCTCTTGATGTGATGACGTCATCATCAGAGCGTCAGGCTGTTACCGAGCAACACAGCAGGCCGGATGGCGGCAACAAGTTCAGCTTCAGAGAGTGAAGCCAGTTTCACACCATGGACCTCAAGAACCTTCAAGAACCTTCAAGAACCTTCAAGAACCTTCAAGAACCTTCAAGAACCTTCAAGAACCTTCAAGAACCATCAAGAACCGGGCCGATTTTCAAAATAACCCGTCAAAGTCATAGGCATCGATCGATCAGTGTGACAAGAGCAACACAACACACAACAACAACACAACACACAACAACAACACAACAACACACAACAACAACACAACACACGACAACACAACACACGACAACACAACACACAACAACACAACACACGACAACACAACACACAACAACACAACACAACAACACAGCAGCAGGTTTGTCTGACATTCTCTCAGGAAAAGCCACTGAACTGGATTTACAGTAAACAAAATGTGAAATAACTAAACATGAAACTGAAAGTGTTGGATGAAAGTGGAGCAGCAGCTCTTTCTCTAAAAAGTGACGTTTTTTCCATCTTTTATCTTTTGTGTGTTTAGATTATTTTCTGTTTCAGCTTCATTGGTGAATTATTATTATTTGCTGTTTTAATGTTTACAATGACAACAATATGCACAAAACAATGGCTAAAAGTCCAGTTACTGGTTTAAAACCAGCATCAGTGTTTGATGAGAGATAATTCCATGCTGAGCGTCCGGCCCAGACTGGTTATATTGTTATAACCTGTTTATGTCACATTGACAATAAACAGCTGAAAAATGACCAGAAGTCACTTCGCTCCAAATCCTCTCCTTGTTATTTCTATTATGTTTGCATAAAATATTGCATAAACATAAATGTTTCCATAAATCATCTCTGATCTCAGGTCTTTGGGCTGTTTATTGTTCCTCTCCTGCTTTCTGATTGGCTGCCCGCCACAAGGTGAGTTCTCACTACCTGTCGGGTTAAACATGTCCGATTTCAGATGGGCTGATCAGGACGATCGGTTCAGATTATTGAAAGCTAGAACCTTCTGAGGTTATCGGGGGAAACCGCGAACAGCATTTCTTTCTAATATTCATAAGTCAACATCCAGTCAGTGAAAGTTTGTGAAAGATGAAAAGCAGCACTGAAGCTTTCTGATTTTAATGTTCAAGTGATTATAATAATAATGGCTGCAGAGCCATCAGGTCCATCCAACAGTGTGAAATATAGACTGAATATATAAAACGGTGGATATAGATGAAAATAAAAACATGTTTTCATCAGTAACAGCATGTCCTCCAGACTATAAAAGCTGGAGGACATAGTCAAAACATGAATTTGATTTTAAAGATATCAGAATCCAGACTAACCTGCTAAAACAACAAAATGTGAAAATGACAATCTTAAAACACATTTTATTCATTTCTGACAATAAGTCAAATTGTTGTTGTCAGAATAAAGCCAGAATATTTTATATTAATCATAGTTCTGTGTAAAATGCAGAAATAGCAGTGAACAATAACAGACAACAGATTTTTATAAACATAATTCACAAGTAAAAAGGCAACAGAGCGAAACATGAACCAAGCATTTTAATTTAAAAAATGAAACAGTTTTATAGATATAATAAAATGAATGTCAGTAATAAGCAGATAAATATGAGCTATAGGAAGCTGCTCTGTAAACTTTCTTTACTGAAACAGCAGAAAATATGTAATTTATAGGTGAATATTAATGAAGCAACAAAAAAATGAACATTACCAGAATAACATTTCTTATAAAAGTGTTTAATAATGTGCAGTGAGGCAGTGAAAGCCTCTGCTGGCCGGAGCAAAGTAGAAAAAGAGTCACTCCAACCGGCCAATCAGAAGGAAACATTTCAGCTGAAAACACAAACAGGAAGTAACGGAGACAGATTCCCGTTTCCACAAAATGCACAACCATCAGAGTTCTAGCTGCGGCGGATCCAGCTGGTTCCGTCTGACCCGAATCAGTCCCAGGAGTTGAGCAACGTGAAATACTTCAGAAAATATGAGCAGAAATGAATCCATCTGGCTTCTTAGCTGATGTTTTCCTCTGCCGACAGTCCAGAAAGTTCCCGTTTGATCCCGACACGGAGCGCCGGCCTCGTTCAGCCTGCTGCTCTGCTTCATGATGCTTCCAATAAAATAAACTCTTTCAGCTGATAAAGTCTTTATGATGAATTAATCTAAATGCTGGGAAAAACAATTCAAATGTTTGTTTTAAAATCTAAAGAACAAATATGGCAGCAACTTCCTGTTACAGCTTTTAGTTTACTAATATCAATCAAATCATTTATCATGAATATTATTACACTGTAATTACCTGGCAGTAATAACCTGCAGCTAGATGTTAATAATTAATGTATTATTCAACAATAAACCAGAATTATTAGTTTTTGATGTAATAATCACCAACAAGCAGCTGCAGTTTCTATTTAAAACATCTGAATTTTACTGATGAATCAGCATCAAATCAATATTAATGTTCTATTATTTTCTCCATAGTTATGATTTTATTAAGATATTTCATGATATGACCCAATATGTACTTTTGTTTCTGAATCTTTAACAGGAAGTGCTCTCCAACCCAAACTGAAAACATTCTCATCTGGATAAAACCGGCGTTTACGTGAGCGTAATCTACCTTCACAGACGTTTATAGAAAAACATCCAGCAACAGGACCGTGTCTGGTGCGCCACAGGAACAGGAAGTCTAGCTGCTGATGTGCGTGGCGAGGCTCTGGCCGCACAGGAAGCCGGGCTCCATGGACGCCACCTTGGCAGCGATGAAGGAGTGGATGCAGTGGAGGACCGCCGTCAGGTTGGCAAACTCCAGTTCCTGACAGGAGAAGAAGAATCACAGCACAATCAGAACTCAAGATTTTATGTTTTAAATTCAACTTAGTCGCCATTTTTCCTCACAAAATGGAGGGGATTTGACTTTATTTCCATTTGAAACGATGACTCCCAGTGCTTCCTGGTGTGAAACAATAAAATCCTCTAAAACTCTAAAAATCTGTGATTTTCATAGTTCAATCATCAAATATCTGCCAATGTGTCCAGCAGAAACCATCTTAGCACTGCAGCAGAAATTAAAAGATTGTCTTCCTTATTGCTGGAGATTCAGCCAATCAGCATCAGGGAAAACTAAAGCTGCTCCTGGATTGGCTGCTCTATTAGCCAATAGCGTGTCAGCTGGTTATTTATTTTAGAGCATTTTAGATATTCTCTATGAAAGGCTCCACAGTATAAAAGCAGAAATAATAAATATTTCTTTGTAAATATGTTTATATAAAGTCTTACAAAAAAAAACAACAAAGTTAAATACTAAAACTTTTACTACTTTAGTACATTTTGAGTGTTTTACTTCAACACAAAATGTTTTTTTTAAATGTTAAAAAAAACATTTCAGCACTTCCAACTATTGTCCTACAGATTAAAAAAATTCATTAAGTGTTAATAACTCATTTACTCTAAAATCAAAGAGAAAACTGTCTTTCTTACCTTCATTTCTATTTGGTTGCTGTCAGCGTTCTTAAAGAGCAGCTTGACTCGGGTTTTTCCGTCGTCAGATGAGCCTTTCAGCTGAGAGAACTTGTATCTCCACAGAACAGCCTGCAGGAGGAGCCAGGTTCAAACAGAGACTCACAGCCAGGAAATACCACAGCCAGGAAATACCACAGCCAGGAAATACCACAGCCAGGAAATAACATGGCTGGCGGACAGCAGGAAGAGGAAGTGGATTACCTTTGAAGTCACATCTGAGCAGCTAAACCCGGATCCAAAATCCAGCGTGAAGCTGAGAACGCTCCCCTGGCTGCTGCACATGTAGCTTTTAGACTGAGGAGGAGGAGAAGAAGAAATGGACCGCCATTAACCAGCTAAGAGCTTCCCTACCCCAGCTAGCACCGCCATAAATCAACCAACAGCTTCCTCAGCTCAGCTAGCACTGCCATTACCGAGCCAATAGTTTCGCTAGCCTAGCAAGCACTGCTATTAGCCAGCTAACAGCTAATGGGGATCTTAAACAGTAAAAAATAAATCCCCCTGCTGAGCTAAAACACTACACATCAACCTAAACCATTTTCAAAGTGGCGACTCGCGTGACATCTCGCGTCTTTTATCAATAAAATGACGAGTGACAGATCTAGCTATTTAAAAAAGTAACTGTTGAAAAAGTAGCCAGCAACTTTTTCTCCCAGAAAAGTAACTAGTTGTTAGATCTAACTAACTAGACCCATCAACTCTTTTTCTAAAAAGTGACGGATCATTTGAAGTGAGCTGGTTTTCTACCCAAACGCAGCGCTAACGCTAACGCTGACCAAGCTGCTATAGAAAAATTAACTGCAGTACCACAGCTCAACCCGTAGAGGGCAACACAGACAGTTTTAGAAATTTACACACAAATGTCACCATTTGGACAGAAACAAAGACAGAATTTAGTTTTTTCATCTGCAAAGAAAAGCTGATTTGGTGTTTAGCGACACTTTAAGCTTCAGAGACACAAATAATCCGGAAGTAAAATTAACATCTTTTAATACGTGCAAATAATTTAATGTTCATCAGTGAATCATGAAGCTCCTCAGAATGACTGTTCCCCTTTGTTCCTCAGCCTCTTTCTGTCTAATTAATCTGGAGAGAGCAGAAAGCAGATTAATAATAAAATTAATTATTGAGACCAATTATTACCATCTATGACTCAATTATCTTTATTGACTGTGAATTAATTTTAATCTTGAAAAAACAAATATCCTTCAAATGTTTCATACAGCATATTTATTATAATTCATTCTAGCATTTTACTTCCTGTACAGAGGCGTAAAATATGAAAAACTGATGTATTTAAGATGCAAATCATTTTCTGAAAACACAGTAAGAAAAGATCAACTGCAGCAGGAAACATTATTAAATTAACAGGCTATAGGATTGAAAAAAAAAGAACTTCCTTAAACACCAGGATCCAGTGAAACCAGTGAAAACTTTGGAAAATAACTGGTGAAGAACAAAGTGGAGATCAGATCACAGAGCGCTGGCAGAAACATCTCGATGAATCTGATTAATATTTCTGTTAAAACTCAAACCGATCTGAACGGGTCAGGCGGCCGCCGGGCTCTCCACTGATTTCGTTTCTTGCGTCGCGGCTCGATTTTGGGCCGCGTCGCTGGAAGACGGCCTGGCTGCTCGGATTCGCACACACACTCCGAGGAGGCCTGCAGATTTTAATTATGGAGAGCAGTGAGCGGCAGCCAGGCGGGAGCAGGAAGCCGCTGCTGCTTCTTACTGTCACCAGGAATGAGACGCTGAGCTGTGACTGCGCTTCACTAATTGGAAAGGATTTAGCAACATTTCCTCTTTAAGCAAATCTGCTTAGCACATTCTGACAGGCCTGGATGAGAGTGGAAGCCCAGAGATAAAACCATCTGCTCTCACTCCTGAAGCAGAAAAAGGTTTTCTGTGTTTGGTTCCAGATCAGTGTTTTTATACCAGCTTCAGTTCAGTGACCAGGAATCGCTGAGGCTTGCTTTGGTTTTGCGTCATGATTCCTCAGTTCAGTAAGAACTGAAGAACTGCTCTCCTCTGTTCTTACTGAACTGAGGAGAGCAGAATAAATTCATAAAGATGCCGTCTCATCAAATGCAGAGACCTGGACAACGGCAGAACCAAGCTTCTCACTGATCCGGTTATCCGGCTGCGTCTGCTGCAGAACTTCACGGGCGCCTCAGATTAGAACTCTGCACAGCAGAACAGAACCGACCCAGAACAGACCAGAACATTCTGAGGCGGCATGGTTTCTATCCGGGGCTGTGAAGCCGAGTTACAGCAGAATCACTGTAAACATCTTAAAGAAGCAGAGTTTCTGTCTGCCACTGTGCAGGCCATAAACACGTCCACGGTTCGCTAAAATGCTAAGGCATGTAGAAATGCTAAGGTTAGCTGGAATGCTAAGGCATGTAGAAATGCTAAGGTTAGCTGGAGTGCTAATGCTAGCTGGAATACTAAGGTAATTGAAAAGCTAAGATAAGGGGGAATTCTACAGTTAGCTGGAATGCTAAGGTTATCAGGGATGCTAAGCTTAGCTTGAACGGTGGAAACGGAACATTTTAGGAGATGTTTGGATCCGCTTCAGGTTGAAGTGGTTGTGTTTGCCGACCCGGTCCGCTCCGCCTGCATGCCGGCTCTCACCCCGACTCGCTGCACCTGCAGGAACACGGCCCTCTGGAAGGACTTGTCCCAGGTTGCCAGGTCTGAGGCCAGCTCCACCCTGAAGGTGTGGCTCTGGCCGTGGCCCACCAGGATGCTGAAGCAGAGCGGGTCGCCGTCCGGCTGATCCGGAGAACCATCCAGACCCAGGAAGAGCCGCGCCTGCAGCCAGCAGTCCTCAGCCAGCCACAGCTGGATCAGGAGGGGAGAGCATCACCCAATCAATAACCTGATCTATAACCAATAAGCTGCCATTATCACTAAATTACATGATTTATTACTTAATTTTTACCATATTTATAAAACGTCAGTGTCAAAATAAATATTTAGCAAATATGCTAATTCACTTGCCGTTAACAGAACGTGGACTACCAAAATAAAAGCTGGTTCTTCAGATCAGTAATGAAGAGGCCTTCATTACTGAATTAATTTATTCAATGTATTGTATAGCACTGTAAAAACATTTGCACTTTCTCACTATGCACTTTATTTAGCACTGCACTTTTAAAGTAGATCTATAAATTAATAACATTTTGCACTCAGGAAGTTTTAATTGTATTTATTGAGTATTTTAGTGATTAGTGTGTAGTCTTTGATTTGGGCTCTGCACAGCTGCTCCTCATTGGCCAGTGGAGGTGGTTAACTGTGAAGAGGAGAATTGGTACTCAGCAATGAGCTATTGGTGGATATAACTAAATAAATGATGTGCATAATTTATTAGGTGTGGAATGTGCTAATATAGTGACTCACCTGTCTTTTTATGTGTCCTCTCAGGATGTTTGGACAAATATTGTCCTAAGGGGCTGGACAATGATATAGGTCCTGGGAGAGACCATTGAGAAGAATGGGAGGGGTGTATTGTTTTATGGTGTACTGTTTTATGGTGTTTTAGTAAGGGTAAGCATAAAACATAAAAAATATTTATAAAAAGGAAGTTGATGTGGTTGTAGTTAAATGTTTTTATTCAATTAAGGGGAACAGGGTAAGATGGAATTATCTTATGAATTTACAGATGGTTTGATCTGTCACAGCTGGGACTATTGAAGATTGTAATTTTCACCTGTGAGAGATATTGAGACGTTGAGATGTTTGTAAGACCAAGAGTGTGACTTATTGTTTGTGATGCTGGGAGGAATAAACCTGCTGTTCCACCTAAACTCTGCCTGATATCATCAATCTGCACTGAAAAATCCAGCTGTAAAAGGCCAGCCTGTTACAAGATCATTTCTTTTCCTGTTTTCTTGTTTCCTCTTATGATAAATAATCCTGTCAAAATAAAAGATGCTCCAGACAGTCAGCAGCAGAACCGTTTGACGGATTCAGTTTCAGCTTTTATTTTGGTGGTCTGCTTTCACTAATAGACAAGGTGTGTTAGCATATTAGCTTTAGCTTGCTGTCTAAATGTTTAGCTTGCTAATAAATATTTTTAAACTTTTATAAATAACATGGTGAAAACAAACGGCTCTGAAAATCTGGTTTCAGTTTTTCCACAGAATAGATCCTGATTTACGGATCACAGCGAGAGCAGGGAACCCGACTCGGCGCTGATCCGCCTCACCTTATGAACCTTGAAAAGAACCTCATAGAGGTTGTATGTAGTTTCAGGTTTTCCCCAGTCGGTGGCGCCGACCTGAGAGAACATCACAAGGTTGGATGAGCTTCAGAAACAAAATCCTCCATCATTTAAGATCCTGAATAGCGTTCCGGCTCGGAGTTGTTGTACCGGCGGCCGTCTGAAGATATAAAAATATGGCCCTCTGAGCGCCAGGAACCTGAAGGCCGAACTCCTGCAGGGGGCGCTGCTGTCCGGAGCCTCACTCACCCAGCCCATGTGGACGATCTGAGGAAACAGGAAATACTTGATGCAGACGTTACAAACGGTGAAAACATTTTTCATCTCACATTTTCATCTAAATATTTTCAATGATTTGAATATTTCATTACTAAATCCAGTCAGGAGTGATTTGAGTGATCTGATTGGACAGCAAGCAGCTGCTTACCTGATCATCAGTAGAAGCGGATTTATTCAGCATTTTAATCTGCAATAGAAACAGACATGAGTTCATCAAAGTGTCTCATTAACAGCTTTTATTTCTAAGATGTTTAGGGGGATAAACCCTTGCTGCTCAAAGCAGCGAGGGTCAACTTCCTGTTCCAACATCTAAACCAAGCAAAGACCAACTCTGAAGCAGAGCTGCTGATTCTGATTCAGGCAGGAAAAAGTCTATATGGCTCCACCCCAAAAGAGGCGGAGCCATCGACTGAACAGCCTTAAAGGGGCGGAGCCATCGACTGAACAGCCTTAAAGGGCGGAGCCATCGACTGGACAGCCTTAAAGGGCGGAGCCATCGACTGGACAGCCTTAAAGGGCAGAGCCATCGACTGAACAGCCTTAAAGGGCGGAGCCATCGACTGAACAGCCTTAAAGGGCGGAGCCATCGACTGGACAGCCTTAAAGGGCAGAGCCATCGACTGAACAGCCTTAAAGGGCGGAGCCATCGACTGAACAGCCTTAAAGGGCGGAGCCATCGACTGAACAGCCTTAAAGGGCGGAGCCATCGACTGGACAGCCTTAAAGGGCGGAGCCATCGACTGGACAGCCTTAAAGGGCGGAGCCATCGACTGGACAGTCTTAAAGGGCGGAGCCATCGACTGGACAGCCTTAAAGGGCAGAGCCATCGACTGAACAGCCTTAAAGGGCGGAGCCATCTACTGGACAGCCTTAAAGGGGCGGAGCCATCGACTGGACAGCCTTAAAGGGCGGAGCCATCGACTGGACAGCCTTAAAGGGCAGAGCCATCGACTGAACAGCCTTAAAGGGCGGAGCCATCGACTGGACAGCCTTAAAGGGGCGGAGCCATCGACTGGACAGCCTTAAAGGGCGGAGCCATCGACTGGACAGTCTTAAAGGGGCGGAGCCATCGACTGGACAGCCTTAAAGGGGCGGAGCCATCGACTGGACAGCCTTAAAGGGGCGGAGCCATCGACTGAACAGCCTTAAAGGGCAGAGCCATCGACTGAACAGCCTTAAAGGGCAGAGCCATCGACTGGACAGCCTTAAAGGGCGGAGCCATCGACTGGACAGCCTTAAAGGGGCGGAGCCATCGACTGGACAGCCTTATAGGGCGGAGCCATCGACTGGACAGCCTTAAAGGGCAGAGCCATCGACTGAACAGCCTTAAAGGGCGGAGCCATCGACTGGACAGCCTTAAGGGGGCGGAGCCATCGACTGGACAGCCTTAAAGGGCGGAGCCATCGACTGGACAGTCTTAAAGGGGCGGAGCCATCGACTGGACAGCCTTAAAGGGGCGGAGCCATCGACTGAACAGCCTTAAAGGGCGGAGCCATCGACTGAACAGCCTTAAAGGGCGGAGCCATCGACTGGACAGCCTTAAAGGGGCGGAGCCATCGACTGGACAGCCTTAAAGGGCGGAGCCATCGACTGGACAGTCTTAAAGGGGCGGAGCCATCGACTGGACAGCCTTAAAGGGGCGGAGCCATCGACTGAACAGCCTTAAAGGGCGGAGCCATCGACTGAACAGCCTTAAAGGGCGGAGCCATCGACTGGACAGCCTTAAAGGGCGGAGCCATCGACTGGACAGTCTTAAAGGGGCGGAGCCATCGAATGAACAGCCTTAAAGGGGCGGAGCCTTTAACCATTTGTTTCTGTGGAAGGGAGTCGTTTTTCTTCACTGTCTCCGCATGCTTGGTAAGGAAGAGGGATTCCTGAGGATAACTTTTACTAATCTGGATGTTCTGATCCATTTCTTTCTGAGTCATTCTGCTCTTACACTGGATCGCTGTCTCCACCCAGAGAGTCTCCAAAAGCAGCAGAACAATTAGATCCTGATTGGCCGTTTAGCAATCAGCCGTGAATTAACGAGCCTTTAAACATGGCAGCTGTGAGCAGAAGCAGAATAATCAGAGAGAGAAGAGGAACTGAGTGAGGAGCTGCTCAGCTCATTAATTATCAACAAGACACGTCAATGACGAACCATCAGAGCCTCATTAACAGACACATCAAACCCAACGAGCCAATCTCAGAACTCCGCCTCCGATCTCAGAGCTCCGCCTCCGATCTCAGAGCTCCGCCTCCAGTGTCTCAGAGCTCCGCCTCCGATCTCAGAGCTCCGCCTCCAGTGTCTCAGAGCTCCGCCTCCGTTCTCAGAGCTCCGCCTCCGATCTCAGAGCTCCGCCTCCGATCTGGACTCACGCTCTCCTGCGTCAGTTCGCCGATGTTCGCAGCGATCGCCTGCAGCCAGTCCGAACTTTCTGCCGCCGAGCAGAACTGCAGGACGCTGCAGCTGGACACATCTGGGGAGAACAGCTCGAAGCAGTTGGACCTGGAGGAAGGGTCAGAGGTCAACAAGAACAAACAACCTCAGTTACCTAAGTAAACAAGCAGAAACACATTCAGGGTTTCATGAAGAAGAAAACGAGGAGCCAGCAACTCTGAGCAGAAATAAACTCAAAAGCGCGACCTATGACCTTAATCAGACTACATGCACACACTCCTAAGGTCATGGATGGCCTAGCTAAAGTTCAAGCCCCAGCTGAATTTAGTTTCCTCTGTTCATGTTAAACTCCTCCTACTCCAGGTGTCTTCAGCGTCATGGAGGCTGATGCTGTAGTCGTCAGTCTTGCGGCGGTTGAGAAGATGCCTCTGACTAAAGATAGTCTTGACACGTGGGCGACTGTGGTTGAATGGCAAAGTAGTCGTCCTGCACTCGAAAGGTTGTAGGTTCGATTCCAGCTTCCTCCTGCCACATGTTGATGTGCCTCTGGGCAAGGCACTTAACCCTTGCCTACTGGCCTATGCATCGGTGCACGAATGTGTGTGTTTGTGAAGAAAAACATTCAACAAATCAGAGCTAACATAGTGGAGCCGCTACACCATGCTGCCGCCCTTGATCGAGCTAAGCTAGGAGGAACTGCAACTAAATCTGATTCAGCAGCAAGAGGTTAAGAGAACACATTTACCAGCAGGATTACGTTTCTCCGGAGGGTTGATGAGGTCGTCTGAGGATCGGATTCATTGCAGATGTTGAAACTTTGTGACATTTAATTTGGGTTTTTTCTCGCTGCTGAGACCTCTGACCTCTCAGCAGCCAGAAGGAGACCATGCAGGCGAATAATCTGACGCCTTATTATCGAGACTGCAGCTACTGGAAGCTTCTCGCCGTTTTTAACAAATCCTCCTGTGAGCCGAACTTCGCTGTAGCCGGCTCATTAAAACCACCTGCTCCGGCGTCTAGTGCCGACCCAGCGCCAGACCCGACGGGCCTCTGTGGCCGATTCTGGACAGAACAAGAGGCCCAGCTTCTGTCTGCCAGCAACACATAACTGATCACACAACAGGAGGAACGGTTTCTGCTTAAGACGATGCAGGAGCTTCACTTAGCAGCGAGTTCGCATTATTCCATTAAATAACGGAGTGGTATAGCCTTTAGCGTTCTGGGTGTTAACTGGAATCTAACTGGGAGCTAACTGGGAGCTAACTGGGTGTTAACCGGGAGTTAACCAGTAACTGTATTTACTAGCTGGGTTATGGACCCAGGAGGAAGATGTTGGGATAAGGATAATTTTTGTCCTTTGCATTGATAGTTTCTGGCTGAAATAGCAGAAATCCTGGGACGTTGTAGGCTCATTCCGGCTGAAATAATCTGGATCTGGATTATTTTTTTAGAACGCTGCCAGTTTCTAAAGAAAATGTTCAACAGTGTCAGACAAAAGCAGCTCTGAGGCTCAGAAGGAGACGGGCTGAAATGAATCCATCAGAATCAGATCGTAATCACAGTGTCTGCAGTTTAGACTGGATGCTCTGACCTTTGAACCCGTTCTGTCTCTGCATCAGCGTCAGAGAGTCAAACGATGAACCGATTCTGACCCCCAGAGGTCAACGGCTCGGCGCCGGCGTACCTCAGCTTATCGCTCCCGGCTCGCCGTCTGGAGACTCTGGCCATCCGCAGCGGCAGGCAGACGGCGTCCAGCCAGCGCTTCTCGTACTTTGGCTCATTCGCCGAGGGTGAAGGGGGCGGAGCCTGACAGACACAGAACAACCAATCAGCTTCCAGTAAAAACCATTGTCACTAACTCGTTATTATTGCTTACTGCAGGGTGGAAAACAGTCTACACAATAACACTGGACAAACTTCAAATATTAAATTAAATCAGTTTCTTATGTTTGAAGTTTATCTGGCCGCACTAATGAGTTTTCTCTTTTTCCTTTATTGCAGCCAATCAGGCTAAATGTCACTCTGAGCTCAGCAGGATTTTGAAAGAATGTAACAAAAGACTGCAGAGAAACCCTGAAATATGATCATATTATAATCATCTGCAGCACGAACTTGCTGCCTGATCCGGTTGAAACAGTTCGCTGCAGTGAGGCGAATGCAGAACGAAAAACAGTCTGATTAGCAATTATCTGTTAGCGGCTCTGTGCTAATGAACAGAAATCACAGGAAATCCTTGATCTGTCAGCAACTTCTGACCTGCTGTAGTCTCACAATCATTTCAGGGATTTATGATTCATAACAGGAATACAAAACGTTCCAGCGGCGCCGCGGGCTGGACTCGGGTCGGACCGCTAACAGGACCGCTACGCTAACTCTGAGGTCCCTCACCGTGTTGCTCCCGTTCAGATGGAAGCCGCTGTCGAAGAGCGGAGAGCAGACCCGGTTCTGGTCCAGCCCAGGAGAACCTGGGCAAGAAAACAAGGAAATCGGAGGAAAGTTAATCAAAATACAGCAAAGATAAATCCTGGAGGGAAGTTCTGGTCCAACCTGCCTTCATCTCCATGGCAACAATATCAAGCTAAATCTCACTGCAGAACCACAGCAGCCATTTTAAATTTGGACTACAGAATAAAGTTAATCAGTTTCAAAACCAGAAAAAATCCCAACATGCTGATAAACATGGCTGCTGGTTCTGGACCTCGCTCTAGAACCCTGAAGTGTCTTCAGTCAGAGGCCTCTTCAGACCGCTGTAACACATACCTCTACAGGAGAGCCTTTCACTAGAAACTTGGATGATCTGAGTTCATCAACTATTGAATTTGATCTTATGCTAAAGTTTCCGTCATCTGATCCGGATCAGAAAGCCAAACTCAGACGGAGGGAGGAAGAGGAGGACGAGGAGGAAGAAGAGAGGCCGACCAATCAGCCGGCTGGAGGAGCCGTTACCGAGCGGCAGCTTCAGGAAGGACGGGACTTCGCTCAGGTAGCGGACGGTGATGGTGACCTCATCGCCCGCAGTTCTCAGCAGGTGAACCTGCCGAAGAAACAAGTTCAAACCCAGCTGGAAACCAGTTTGGAACCAGTTCAACAAGCGGCTGTCATGGCGACCAGCCAGAGAAACGCTCATCAGCTGCAGGACAGACATCAGACTGGACAAATGAACTGGGGCATCTGGAGGAGGTCCAGCAGAACCAGGTGAGCTCATTATTTTAAATAAGCTCAAAAATCCTGATTCTCATTTTCTATGATTCAGGATCAGTGAAACGATCTGCCGTCTGCCGGCCTCCATCAGACCGTCAGTCTGATGAGCGACTTTTAGCAAACCTCCGACGAGTATTAAAGAAATCATGTGAATATGACTTTATTATTGATCGGTGGACAGAAACAGGAGAAACCAAACTTACCACTTCCTGGTGCGTGCAATGCTCCACGTTAATGCCGTTGACCTGCAGGAGAAACAGAGAGCAGTCGGCCATGTTGGAGGAGTTACAGTCAGTTCACCTGCAACCTGAAGGAGATGAAACGATGATTTATGGACGAAGAAACGACTCCAGGCTCAGAGCGACTGACAGATCTGCCAACCTAAGAACTAAAAACCAGAAAATCTGATCCACGTTTCACTTTAGTGTCTGAAACTTTCCACATGTTCTCATATTTAACAACATCGGTTGGTTCTTAACTCCCAGTCTGACGGGCCACTCGTGGCTCCGGAGCCGCAGGTTGAAGACCCCTGAGGAGAAATGTTGTTTGTCCTATTTTAATATGAGAAATGATTCGTTTCTTCATAAATAAACAGATAGGATCCATAATGATCTCCAGGATCAATATCAATATTGATCCACGTCGTGTCACCAATAAGTGCTGCTGAGTCCAGTTAGTTTCTGATGAACATGTTGCCAGAAACAGGCCAACAGGAAACGGGCGAGGCGAAGCAGGAAGTGATGTACTGACCTGCAGCACAGCGTCCCCGACAAACAGTTTCCCCGTCTGATCGGCTGTGGGTAAAAGGTCAGAGGTTAACGTAGTGGTTAGCTAACGGTAACGATATGAAGCTGTCTGTGGAAGGTTCTGTTCCGGTACCGGTATCTGATAGTTAATAACATTTGGAACAACCAGAACCTTCCACAGAGCACATTAACACCATTCACCGTTACAGCTGACTGCCTGTCCTCCCGCAGCAGAGAGCCTGACTAATTAACCGCTGCTTTAGTAGAAAATATTAGTTTTGGAATCATTCAAAGCATGTTTACGTTTAAAGTTTGGTATTTTACCAGCAGATGTTCATTTTGAATAAAAACATTAATAAAGAAATTAATCAAGATTTTAAATCAGTGCTGCTGGATGAAAAATCACAAAACCACCCAAAACCGAACCTGAGAGAAAAACCTTCAGACCTGTGAAAAACCTGACTGCAGGAGCAAAGAACAACTACACCCCAAAAACTAACTACACCCATAAAACTAACTACACCCCAAAAATTAACTACACCCCAAAAACTAACTACACCCATAAAACTAACTACACCCCAAAAATTAACTACACCCATAAAACTAACTACACCCATAAAACTAACTACACCCCAAAAATTAACTACACCCCAAAAACTAACTACACCCATAAAACTAACTACACCCCAAAAATTAACTACACCCATAAAACTAACTACACCCCACAAACTAACTACATCCGTAAAACAAACTACACCCCAAAAACTAACTACACCCGTAAAACTAACTACACCCGTAAAACTAACTACACCCCAAAAACTAACTACACCCATAAAACTAACTACACCCCAAAAACTAACTACACCCATAAAACTAACTACACCCCAAAAACTAACTACACCCCAAAAACTAACTACACCCCAAAAACTAACTACACCCTTGAAACTAACTACACCCCAAAAACTAACTACACACCAAAAACTAACTACACCCTTGAAACTAACTACACCCCAAAAACTAACTACACCCGTAAAAGTAACTACACCCTTGAAACTAACTACACCCCAAAAACTAACTACACCAAAAACTAACTACACCCTTGAAACTAACTACACCCCAAAAACTAACTACACCCGTAAAAGTAACTACACCCTTGAAACTAACTACACTCCAAAAACTAACTACACCCGTAAAAGTAACTACACCCTTGAAACTAACTACACCCCAAAAACTAACTACACCCGTAAAAGTAACTACACCCTTGAAACTAACTACACCCAAAAACTAACTACACACCAAAAACTAACTACACCCTTGAAACTAACTACACCCCAAAAACTAACTACACCCGTAAAAGTAACTACACCCTTGAAACTAACTACACTCCAAAAACTAACTACACCCCAAAAACTAACTACACCCCAAAAACTAACTACACTCCAAAAACTAACTACACCCTTAAAACTAACTACACCCTTGAAACTAACTACACCCCAAAAACTAACTTCACCCATAAAACTAACTACACCCTTGAAACTAACTACACCCCAAAAACTAACTACACCCATAAAACTAACTACACCCCAAAAACTAACTACACCCATAAAACTAACTACACCCATAAAACTAACTACACCCCAAAAACTAACTACACCCATAAAACTAACTACACCCCAAAAACTAACTACACCCCAAAAACTAACTTCACCCATAAAACTAACTACACCCGTAAAACTAACTACACCCGTAAAACTAACTAAACCCCAAAAACTAAGTACATCCCAGCTGCTCCCATTTAGGGAGAATTCTAATAAAATGCCCCGATTCATTTATTGTTAATTCTGCTGAACAACCAGTTCTACTTCAATGTTGTCTTGGCACATTGGAATACATCTATTACATAATGACTTGGAAATTAAATGGCCTATTCAAAGTCCAGGCCTTTAACCCTAGAGGTTGTGCTCTTGGAATGAATGTTTTCCTCTCTGATTCTGAAATGTTTTTCCTGTCTGAATGTTTCTTTCACCCAACAGATTAAAACCAAACCTCTTCTTACCGACTTGGTCCTTGAAGATCTTTGAAATGACGACGGGAACGTTGTGCTCCGCTCCGCCCTGCAGAGCCAACAGGAAGGCGTTAGCGTTAGCTCCAGAGCTAGCTGGGTGACCTTCAGCTCACCTTGATGCTGAGGCCCAGACCGCCAGCCGCCTGTCGTCTCAGGACTACAGCTCTGTGCTTTAGAAATGGGGAGTTTTTATTGGCAGACGGATTGTTTTAAACAGGAAGTGAGCACACGGTGGCAGGTGAACTTACATTGGCGTTGGGCTCAGAGCCGTCGGTGCAGACCACGTCCAGCTTCTGGATAGTCAGAGCGTCTCTGCTCAGCCGCAGGCAGACGTCAAAGCTGTCGCCGCTCTCGCCGCTGCACAGCAACGCCACTCCAGATCGGCTCTGGAGAAAATCAGGAAAACAAACATTTAGCTTCACAACGACCTGGTTTCCTGCTGCAGTCTGGTGGTTTCCTGCTGCAGTCGGTGGTTTCCTGCTGCAGTCGGTGGTTTCCTGCTGCAGTCGGTGGTTTCCTGCTGCAGTCTGGTGGTTTCCTGCTGCAGTCTGGTGGTTTCCTGCTGCAGTCGGTGGTTTCCTGCTGCAGTCGGTGCTTTCCTGCTGCAGCCTGGTGGTTTCCTGCTGCAGTCTGGTGGTTTCCTGCTGCAGCCTGGTGGTTTCCTGCTGCAGTCTGGTGGTTTCCTGCTGCAGTCGGTGGTTTCCTGCTGCAGTCGGTTTCCTGCTGCAGCCTGGTGGTTTCCTGCTGCAGTCGGTGGTTTCCTGCTGCAGTCGGTGGTTTCCTGCTGCAGTCGGTGGTTTACTGCTGCAGCCTGGTGGTTTCCTGCTGCAGTCGGTGGTTTCCTGCTGCAGCCTGGTGGTTTCCTGCTGCAGTCGGTGGTTTCCTGCTGCAGCCTGGTGGTTTACTGCTGCAGCCTGGTGGTTTCCTGCTGCAGTCTGGTGGTTTCCTGCTGCAGTCTGGTGGTTTCCTGCTGCAGTCGGTGGTTTCCTGCTGCAGTCGGTGGTTTCCTGCTGCAGTCGGTGGTTTCCTGCTGCAGTCGGTGGTTTCCTGCTGCAGTCGGTGGTTTCCTGCTGCAGTCGGTGGTTTCCTGCTGCAGTCGGTGGTTTCCTGCTGCAGCCTGGTGGTTTCCTGCTGCAGTCGGTGGTTTCCTGCTGCAGTCGGTGGTTTCCTGCTGCAGTCGGTGGTTTCCTGCTGCAGTCGGTGGTTTCCTGCTGCAGTCGGTGCTTTCCTGCTGCAGTCTGGTGGTTTCCTGCTGCAGTCTGGTGGTTTCCTGCTGCAGTCGGTGGTTTCCTGCTGCAGTCGGTGGTTTCCTGCTGCAGCCTGGTGGTTTCCTGCTGCAGTCGGTGGTTTCCTGCTGCAGTCGGTGGTTTCCTGCTGCAGTCGGTGGTTTACTGCTGCAGCCTGGTGGTTTCCTGCTGCAGTCGGTGGTTTCCTGCTGCAGTCGGTGGTTTCCTGCTGCAGTCGGTGGTTTCCTGCTGCAGTCGGTGGTTTCCTGCTGCAGTCGGTGGTTTCCTGCTGCAGTCTGGTGGTTTCCTGCTGCAGTCTGGTGGTTTCCTGCTGCAGCCTGGTGCTTTCCTGCTGCAGTCGGTGGTTTCCTGCTGCAGTCGGTGGTTTCCTGCTGCAGTCGGTGGTTTCCTGCTGCAGTCGGTGGTTTCCTGCTGCAGTCGGTGGTTTCCTGCTGCAGCCTGGTGCTTTCCTGCTGCAGTCGGTGGTTTCCTGCTGCAGTCGGTGGTTTCCTGCTGCAGTCGGTGGTTTCCTGCTGCAGTCGGTTTAGTTTTTGTTTAGTTCTGGCAAAAAGGTTTGCAGGGTCATCGTCACGGCAACGTGGGTCACTAAACAGACCTGTGATGTTTTTGATCTGAAAGGTCAAAAACTTCCTGCAGCAGCGCTGGAGGGGAAACGTTAAACACCAATAAATGTTTATTTACACTGAACCGGCCAATCACACGGCAGCACCTCACTGTAAAATAAAGCCAGTGACCGTTGATGGTTGCGTATCCAACCTGAGGGTCGGGGGCCATTCTGGGCCGCCAGTACTTTGTTTTTATACATAAAGACTCTAAACACATGATGTTCTGAGAAATCAGCAGCAAAGAAGTCAAAACTGAAGAAAAGATGAAAGTTTTTACATTTTAGATAAAAACCAGTTTGACAAAATCTATTAATCAGCTAATCAATAACTAATCCCAGCTCAGTCTCTGCTACAGCATAATTGATGCTCTTATTGCATTTATAACATGTTTATATTCTTACTTAAAAATAAATTCGTTTATATTTTAATGTTGTATGAAATAAACTTAAACCTGTCAATAATCAATAATAATCAATACTGAAATAGTTCATTGAAGCCAGAAATGCTATGCTAATAAAAACTGCTCAGTCAGCTGTTTCTTACTATTGTGGATCCAGCAGCAGGTCCAGGTTCTGGACCCGCCCGAACCCAGCCCGAGCGGTTCGGATAATCCATTATCATTAGCAATACGAATCATCCTCAGAAGGGAAACTCCTGCCAACGCATTTCCGAGCCGAACCGTTCTGCTGGTTCGGCTGGACCGGGAGCGGTTCCGACTTAAAGCTCCGTGTCGGTTCCGGTGGTTCCGACAGTAAAACCCCAGAAACCGGCTCAATCAGAGGGAAGTCTGGCCGGCTCCCTCTGGGTACCGGACCTTCACCAGAACCGCTCTCTGTTTGAACAACCCGTCCGGAACCAGAACCAGAGCTGCGGGACCGAGCAGCGGGTTCGAGCACCGGGTTCTTACCGGAGTTGGCACCGGGATGCTGGCGGGTCTCCGGCTCCCGGTGCCGCTCATCTCCCCTCAGCTCGGCGAGCCGCGCGGCGGCTGCGGCGCGGCGCGGCGGGGCGGCATGCCCGGAGGCTCGGCAGGGATCCGGCTGGGTCTGCAGGGATCCGGCTGGGTCTGCAGGGATCCGGCTGGGTCTGCAGGAGGAAGAACTGCTGCTGCTCCGGCCGTCAGGGCCCCTCTGCTGCTCAGGACGCCCACCTGCGGCCCGCTGCCTCCTGTTGGCCCATCCTGCGTCAGAGCGCATTAACTCGTTCATTGGCTGTTCGCTGCAGGAGGTCCAATCAGAGTCCCTGGCTTCTCATCGATCCTTATATGAAACCGGAGATCAATAAATCAAAGCTGATCAGAGGCGGCCTGGGCGGCTCCAGTTAGCGGCCCCTCATGTTGACCCTCGCTGCCAGAGCTGCAATTTCCTCTTCTTCCTTCCACTCAACTTTCTATGAATATGCTTAAACTTTCACCGATTATTGTGTTTTTCTGAGATTCTCTGGGAGCCTAAATAAAAACTCAGATTGTTTGAAATGAGAAAGCAGAGCTTCAACGACGTGTAGCCCCAAAAACCCAAAGATCAGAAACAACAGATGGATGTTTACATGTCTGGAACAAACAGGAAGCAAAGACAACAAAGTGCCGATCTTTAGATGATGCAACATGACCGTATTTATAAAACTTGAAACAAATCCTTGTTTAACAAAATGTGAAACTTATTTTAAATAAGAAACTGTCGTTCAAATAATTCTGTTCCTGAATTTTGGCAGTTAAAAGCTTCCGTACAATTGATGATGAAAGTTTGAATTATTTCACTTCATGTGTGATGAATCTATTTAAACGATTCTTTCTCCATCCAAAAGAAAGTTGAACTTTCTCACGTTATTCTATTTGTTGTATTTCTATATTTTATATATTTATTTCCTCTTGGGGATTATTTTATCAAATCTGTTTGTGTTTTTCGCTCCAGTTCACAGAGACCTGATAAATGCAACGTCCTCCATGTCTGCAGCTTTTCTCCAGGTTTGTGTTGCTGAATCCGTCTGGATCTTCCTGCTGAAGGTTCTGGACATTCAGCTGGATGAATGTTTAGATCCACACTAAACATCCAGCAAACTAACTGAACATGAAGTTTGACGCCAAACATTGAGCACCGTTTGGGTCAGTTATTACCCAGTTAATCTGGACTCCAGATCAGACCTGGATTGCTGCAGCGTTTCTGCTGAGCTCAACATGTCAGGATGTTGAAACAAAACCATCAAACGAAAGAAACTTCAGGCAAAAAATGTTTCAGTGGTTCAATAAAACTCCACTTGTTGTTCTCTGCTGCTCTCCAGATCGTTGCTTCTCGCCACACAGCTCAGAGAACTCCAGGTAGTTTCACCTGTTCTCACCGACACCAGGAGACAAGATGGCCGCCAGCAATCTGGGTCAATCAAGCTTTCATCAGCCACTCAGCACCGCAGGACTCCATCCGCCGTGCAACGTGATCTCTGATAACTGCAGGATCCCAAGCGGATGGAAATTTTCCATATGCAAATATAGTTTATATTTATAATCTTCAAACTACAACAGAATCAGTCAAATTAGTAGCTTCTGCTGTACAAACAGCGTAGAATGTTTGCTAGCCAAAAATAGTTCTGATTCAGCGACGTATATAGCTAGCTCTGAGCTAAAAACATTCAGCTAGCTCTGAGCTAAAAACATTCAGCTAGCTCTGAGCTAACATCCTGAGCTGAATATTCAGCTAGCAGTGAGCTAAAAACATTCAGCTAGCTCTGAGCTAAAAACATTCAGCTAGCTCTGAGCTAACATAGTGAGCTGAATATTCAACTAGCACTGAGCTAAAAACATCCAGCTAGCTCTGAGCTAAAAACATTCAGCTAGCTCTGAGCTAAAAACATTCAGCTAGCTCTGAGCTAACATCCTGACTTGAATATTCAGCTAGCACTGAGCTAAAAACATTCAGCTAGCTCTGAGCTAAAAACATTCAGCTAGCTCTGAGCTAACATCCTGAGCTGTATATTCAGCTAGCACTGAGCTAAAAACATTCAGCTAGCTCTGAGCTAAAAACATTCAGCTAGCTCTGAGCTAACATCCTGAGCTGAATATTCAGCTAGCACTGAGCTAAAAACATTCAGCTAGCTCTGAGCTAACATCCTGAGCTGAATATTCAGCTAGCACTGAGCTAAAAACATTCAGCTAGCTCTGAGCTAAAAACATTCAGCTAGCTCTGAGCTAACATCCTGAGCTGAATATTCAGCTAGCACTGAGCTAAGTTTTCAGCTGGCTCTGATCTAACGCACTCTGAGCTAAATATTCAAATATTGCTTCCTGATATGTGGAGAAAGTGGCAACAGTGTGTGATCAGGATGTTTAGATGAAACGACACAAAAACTCAAATTAAGGAGAAAAACTAAATATAATGACAAATTTGGACAAAATCAAACTGAGTCAAACCAACCAACCAACCAACCCCTCTGAGCAACCTATTCCCCTCCTCGCCTGTGGGAGCGCTGCACCAAGAATCACTGAAGGAGCACATGAAAACCTGAAGTCGGGGCAACTTCGTTCTAACCTATGAAAGTTGCGCTCCTTTCGTGACCAAGCGTTTCTTTTTAGCCTTTTGCCAAAGACCACGAGTCATTTCTCCTGCTAGCGCTAGGCTAGGCGTTAGCTTAGGTTGTATTTACCGCTGTAGTTCACTTCCTGCTTTTCAAGCCCCACCAAAACTCTTGAACTGAACCAAACCTTCTGTGTGTGTTCATGTTTATTTACACATCCCTCCTAAACCCCGAGCTATAGCAACCCCAATCTGCCGCACCGGAGACCAGAGAAGCGGATTGGTGAATGAGCTCCCTGTCAACCGAACCACTCCGGAAATATCCTTCCGCATGACGACATTCCGAGCAGCTCGCGGCTAATCCGCTCAGCCGCTTTGTTAAAGTCTAATTTAACAACCAGCAACAGGAAGAAGCTGCAGTTCAGCTGAGCCCAACAGAACCGCAGAACGTCCAGAACCAAAGCAACAGAAAACCTTCCCAACCAGAGCAGCAGGAGAGAAAATCATGACAGGAAAAGCCATGAAAATGAAACTCCAAAACACAACGCAGCAGAAAAGAAGCAAAACATAAAATGAAACTGCTAAACACGAAGTACTGGGAAGCTAGCGCTAAACGGCTGAACAATAGAAACACGATGGAAGCCAAAACACAGAAATTTAGCTGAAGCTAATGCTATGTGCAACAAATAGCATAAACTAAAGCTACAAAATAAGTAGGGGACGCTAATGCTAAATTGTTAAACATTCAGTTTAGCATTGAAGCTAGCAGAGTAAACGCAGCAGAATTAGCGGAGGCTAATGCTAACCATTAAGTTTGTCTCTTCCTGTTAACTAAAGGGAACATCCTCCGTTTCTGAATCCTCCGGCCCATAATGAACCCATAATGAACCGGGCCCATAATGAACCGGGCTCATTATGGGCCGGAACCGGGCCAGTTTTCTCGTCTTTGTTTCAAATGATCTGAGATCTTTCAGGATCCACTCCATCACCCCCTCCCAAATTGGTGTTGCCATGGAAACCAAGGTGACCTGCGGTGATGAAGATCTGCTGGTTTCATCGGTCCAGAAAACACTGAGGTCCAAAAGGCTCACCGGGTTCGGTGGTTATTTCTTGATGCTGTTCTAAACTATGAATGTAGCAGAATGTTAATAGATCATCGTTCCTGAAGTTCTGGAACGGAGAGAAGAGGAAGGAAACGCTGCCAGGTTTCCATCCAGAGGAAGATTTTATTTTCCAAACTGCTTCTTCAGATCCTGTCTGCGCTGCAGACTGCAGGCCTTCATCTACATTAATATTCACTGTTGATGAACTTTATGATTTATTTTGTCTTTCACCTTCATTACTGAATCCTGTAAGGCTAACGACAGGCCAGCATTATCCATTGTAGCCACCGCTAGGTATTAGCTAACGTTAGCGTCATAGCGTGGTCTGTAGGAGGTCCATCCGGTCCACTGGAGGACCAGAACCTTGTTGGAGAAACGTTTAAACCTGAATCTGGAGAACCTGGGGAACCTGGAGAACCTGGGAAACCTGGAGAACCTGGGAAACCTGGAGAACCTGGGAAACCTGGAGAACCTGGGAACCTGGAGAACCTGGGGAACCTGGAGAACCTGGGAAACCTGGAGAACCTGGGAACCTGGAGAACCTGGGGAACCTGGAGAACCTGGGAAACCTGGAGAACCTGGGAACCTGGAGAACCTGGGGCACCTCGAGAACCTGGGAAACCTGGAGAACCTGGGAAACCTGGAGAACCTGGAGAACCTGGGAAACCTGGAGAACCTGGGAAACCTGGAGAACCTGGGAACCTGGAGAACCTGGGAAACCTGGAGAACCTGGGAACCTGGAGAACCTGGGAAACCTGGGGAACCTGGAGAACCTGGGAAACCTGGAGAACCTGGGAAACCTGGAGAACATGGGAAACCTGGAGAACCTGGGAAACCTGGAGAACCTGGGAAACCTGGAGAACCTGGGGAACCTGGAGAATTGTCCCAAACCGAGGGAACCCAAGGAAGAAATCACTTCCCGTTTCACCCTGAATGGAAATGGTTTTATTACGTTAAGAAATCAACACACTTAAGAAACGGATCTATGTACACTGGTTCTACTGCAGATTAAAAAACGGACCGAGCTACAAGTCCAGTCACGTCGCGTTCCCACATCCCATAAATAAAGAGTTAAAACATCACGGTGAGGTCTGAGCAGCAGCTGCTGATGGTCACTATCCTACATGAAGCATGCCTGATCGTCTTCCATGGGAAACAAAGAAAAGGCCGAGGCGTTTTACTTGAACTACACCGTCCATCAGGTCGATGATGCTAGCAGCAGCAGCGTGGTTCTGGATGAAAAGTGGTCAGAGTAATCAGTCTGGATGGGTCCCAGTTGGGTACTGGTTTGGTTCCAGTTAGATCTCAGTTGGAATCTCCCAGTTAGTGCTCCTCTTTGTCCCGCCCCTTCCTGTCCTTCTCGTCCTGCAGGGCGGCGCCCAGCTTCTTGATCAGAACCGACAGAACCTTGTCCAGCGGGTCCATGACGCCGCGCTGCAGCCACTTGGGGATGGTGGTGCGGGCGTGGTGGAAGCCCAGCTTCTGCAGGATGTAATCCACCCCGACCGGGTCGATCTTCCTGCCGGTCCAGGAGATCAGCCTGGAAACACAAACAAGATGGCCGCCATCAGCACAGCGCTCAAAATAAAACGAAAAACCAGGAAACGCATCGGCTGTTTCCGTTCAGCTTCACTAAATAAATATGAAGTTTTCAGTTCAGTAAATTGTTTATTTTATCTCAGATGAAATTAAATCTGGTGAAAAATAATATCTGTAGAGTTTTATAGTATTTCCACATAAAATATGTAAAATCCAGATTATCAATAACAGAAAGTAAAAAATGACAAATTTTGATGCAAACTGAAACGAAGCAGACAAAATAAAACTTTCCATAAAAGCAAAAAATGACCTGAAATGCATTTTATTATTAATAGAAGCTCTAAAAACAGATTTTTCACTTGAAAGGTTTATTTTATTACTTACTTTTTTAACTTAATGCATTTATTTTCACTACTTCAATCATTTTAGAATGTTAGTTTAATATTAGTAAAATGTTTATTTCACTTTCTAATAATTTTTACATGACCAATTTATTTTCATTGTTTGTTTACTAAATATCTTTAATTATTTTCATTATTATTATTTATGTATAATAATAACATGAGCTTCAGTTTTTAAATCAGGCTGTAATTTCAGGTTGTTATTTTCTCCTGCCGAGTCGTGAGCCGGTTCTGGATTCTTCCAGATTCTTCCGGATCGTTCCGGATTCTCCTGGATTAAGGGCGGGGCCTGACCTGAGGGTGGGCTCCAGGTGCCAGGTGTTGCACATGAACTCCCTCCAGTCCACGGCGGCGTAGTTGACGGCGTCGTCGAGTTCGCTCTGCGCGTCGTCGTCGTCCTGCGGCGCCGCGGCGCTCTTCTGGGCCTGCCGGGCGACCAGCAGCCGTGGGGCGAAGAGCGCTGAGGAAGAGGAAGGGACAGCCTTCATCAGAGCTCCTGGCGTCAGGCTGCAGCCGGTGGCCGCGGTGAGCAGGTGAGCTCACCTTTCTCTTTCTCCTTCAGGTAGGCGGACACCAGGTCGTGCAGGAACATGATGAGCTCGGCGTCCATGGTGACGCAGATGTGGTCGGTGAACTCCGTCACCATGCTGCACTCCACCTTCGGCTTACCGCCGGCGTCTGCAACAGAGACCGGAACCGGGTCAGAACCGGAGCGGGACCGGGTCGGGGGACCGGGTCGGGACACCGGCGGCCCACCGCTCAGCGCCGGCTCGTCGGCGTCCTGCACGTGGATGGACTTGAAGTCCAGTTGCATTCTGGGTAGGGCGAAGATGGTCTCGGTCTCGTGGTCGTAGGCGTGCGAACCCCGGAAGCTGCTGAGCAGGCTGGAGCTCGGCGCCGCCTCGCCGTTCTGCTCGCCGCTGGAGTCCACGTTACGCAGCAGGTTCAGCTCTGCGGCACAGGGGTCAGAGGTCACACACTCGCTCTGCAGCCCTCAGATTATTCTCATCTGGCCGATCAAACATTTCTCACATGGATTATTAAACAGAAATACAAGCTTTGCTGAACAAACGCAGTAAAGTTTTATTGTGTTTCAGGACAAAGTTTCTGCTGCTTTGATTCTTCATTTTTAATAAACTGTAATAAACTAACTGTGATAAACTAATAAACTGTAATAAACTAATAAACTGTAATAAACTGTAATAAACTAATTAACTGTAATAAACTAACTAATAAACTAATAAACTGTAATAAACTAATAAACTGTAATAAACTAACTAATAAACTGTAATAAACTAATAAACTGTAATAAACTAATTAACTGTAATAAACTAACTAATAAACTAATAAACTGTAATAAACTAATAAACTGTAATAAACTAACTAATAAACTAATAAACTGTAATAAACTAATAAACTGTAATAAACTAACAAACTGTAATAAACTGTAATAAACTAATAAACTGTAATAAACTAACAAACTGTAATAAACTGTAATAAACTAATAAACTGTAATAAACTAACAAACTGTAATAAACTGTGATAAACTAATAAACTGTAATAAACTAACTAATAAACTAATAAACTGTAATAAACTAATAAACTGTAATAAACTAACAAACTGTAATAAACTGTAATAAACTAATAAACTGTAATAAACTAATTAACTGTAATAAACTAACTAATAAACTAATAAACTGTAATAAACTAATAAACTGTAATAAACTAATAAACTGTAATAAACTAATAAACTGTAATAAACTGTAATAAACTAAAACTGTAATAAACTAATAAACTGTAATAAACTGTGATAAACTAATAAACTGTAATAAACTAATAAACTGTAATAAACTGTAATAAACTAATAAACTGTAATAAACTAATAAACTGTAATAAACTAATTAACTGTAATAAACTAACTAATAAACTAATAAACTGTAATAAACTAATAAACTGTAATAAACTAATTAACTGTAATAAACTAACTAATAAACTAATTAAATGTAATAAACTAATTAAATGTAATAAACTAATTAACTGTAATAAACTAACTAATAAACTGTAATAAACTAACTAATAAACTGTAATAAACTAATAAACTGTAATAAACTAATTAACTGTAATAAACTAACTAATAAACTGTAATAAACTAACTAATAAACTGTAATAAACTAATAAACTGTAATAAACTATTAAACTGTAATAAACTGTAAAAAACTAATAATCTGTAATAAACTAATAAACTGTAATAAACTAATAAACTGTAATAAACTAATAAACTAATAAACTGTAATAAACTAACTAATAAACTGTAATAAACTAATAAACTGTAATAAACTAATAAACTGTAATAAACTATTAAACTGTAATAAACTGTAAAAAACTAATAAACTGTAATAAACTAATAAACTGTAATAAACTAACTAATAAACTGTAATAAACTAATAAACTAATAAACTGTAATAAACTAACTAATAAACTGTAATAAACTAATAAACTGTAATAAACTAATAAATTGTAATAAACTAATAAACTTTAATAAGTTTGGATGAACTTTAATAAGTTTTAAGAAACTTAAACTTTTGCTTCCATCTAAACTTTGTGTTCTTGTTGGTTTAAACATTTCTGGTTTTGTTCATTTTATTTTTCTTTTTTCATGTGGAAAAATAAAAAAATATTTTTAAAAACTGAAATGACCAAAGTGTTGTGAGGTAATCAACAATAAAAGAAGAATTAGTTGTACTAATCAGATGTTCCTGTCAGAATAATATTCCATCTTTTCTGATCTGGATCTATAAACTTTCTGAAACGTTTTCATCCAGCAGGTCAGGGGTCACCAAAGAGTCACCATGACAACAGAGAAACAGGTGACGACTTTGTGTTTCTATCAAGTTTTCTTCTGATTTTTCTCTTTCTTCTCGTCGGACCGTAAATAAACAGCCCAGGGGCCACAAACGGCCCCGGCGCCTCACCTTGAACCCGCTCGGTTCTGTGGGCCGTACCTTTGTTCCGCATGGCGGTGACATAGTTGAACCACTCCTTCACCGTGGCGACGCCGTGCGGCGGGTTCTCGTGGCGACCGCGCGTGATCTTTGTGATGGTCGCCATGGGACTCTCCAGGGCGCCGCACGGCTTCGTTACCATGGTGTTATGGCCAAGATGGAAGTCCAGCGTCTGAACGATGTAGGTGGAGTCGTCTCTGGAACCTGCAGCCAGACAGGAAGTGAGTCAGCCAGACAGGAAGTGAGTCAGCCAGACAGGAAGTGAGTCAGCCAGACAGGAAGTGAGTCAGCCAGACAGGAAGCGAGTCAGCCAGACAGGAAGCGAGTCAGCCAGACAGGAAGTGAGTCAGCCAGACAGGAAGTGAGTCAGCCAGACAGGAAGCGAGTCAGCCAGACAGGAAGTGAGTCAGCCAGACAGGAAGTGAGTCAGCCAGACAGGAAGTGAGTCAGCCAGACAGGAAGTGAGTCAGCCAGACAGGAAGTGAGTCAGCCGGAAAGGAAGTGAGTCAGCCAGACAGGAAGTGAGTCAGCCAGACAGGAAGTGAGTCAGCCAGACAGGAAGTGAGTCAGCCAGACAGGAAGTGAGTCAGCCAGACAGGAAGTGAGTCAGCCAGACAGGAAGTGAGTCAGCCAGACAGGAAGTGAGTCAGCCGGAAAGGAAGTGAGTCAGCCAGACAGGAAGTGAGTCAGCCAGACAGGAAGTGAGTCAGCCAGACAGGAAGTGAGTCAGCTAGACAGGAAGTGAGTCAGCCAGACAGGAAGTGAGTCAGCCGGAAAGGAAGTGAGTCAGCCAGACAGGAAGTGAGTCAGCCAGACAGGAAGTGAGTCAGCCAGACAGGAAGTGAGTCAGCTAGACAGGAAGTGAGTCAGCCAGACAGGAAGTGAGTCAGCCGGAAAGGAAGTGAGTCAGCCAGACAGGAAGTGAGTCAGCAAGACAGGAAGCGAGTCAGCCAGACAGGAAGTGAGTCAGCCAGACAGGAAGTGAGTCAGCCAGACAGGAAGTGAGTCAGCCAGACAGGAAGTGAGTCAGCCAGACAGGAAGTGAGTCAGCCGGAAAGGAAGTGAGTCAGCCAGACAGGAAGTGAGTCAGCCAGACAGGAAGTGAGTCAGCCAGACAGGAAGTGAGTCAGCCAGACAGGAAGTGAGTCAGCCAGACAGGAAGTGAGTCAGCCAGACAGGAAGTGAGTCAGCCAGACAGGAAGTGAGTCAGCCAGACAGGAAGTGAGTCAGCCGGAAAGGAAGTGAGTCAGCCAGACAGGAAGTGAGTCAGCCAGACAGGAAGTGAGTCAGCCAGACAGGAAGTGAGTCAGCTAGACAGGAAGTGAGTCAGCCAGACAGGAAGTGAGTCAGCCGGAAAGGAAGTGAGTCAGCCAGACAGGAAGTGAGTCAGCCAGACAGGAAGTGAGTCAGCCAGACAGGAAGTGAGTCAGCTAGACAGGAAGTGAGTCAGCCAGACAGGAAGTGAGTCAGCCGGAAAGGAAGTGAGTCAGCCAGACAGGAAGTGAGTCAGCAAGACAGGAAGCGAGTCAGTCAGACAGGAAGTGAGTCAGCCAGACAGGAAGCGAGTCAGTCAGACAGGAAGTGAGTCAGCCAGACAGGAAGTGAGTCAGCCAGACAGGAAGTGAGTCAGCCAGACAGGAAGTGAGTCAGCCAGACAGGAAGTGAGTCAGCCGGAAAGGAAGTGAGTCAGCCAGACAGGAAGTGAGTCAACCAGGCAGGAAGTGAGTCAACCAGGCAGGAAGTGAGTCAACCAGGAAGGAAGCGAGTCAGCCAGGCAGGAAGTGAGTCAACCAGGAAGGAAGTGAGTCAGCCGGAAAGGAAGTGAGTCAGCCAGACAGGAAGTGAGTCAGCCAGACAGGAAGTGAGTCAGCCAGACAGGAAGTGAGTCAGCCAGACAGGAAGTGAGTCAGCCGGACAGGAAGTGAGTCAGCCGGACAGGAAGTGAGTCAGCCAGACAGGAAGTGAGTCAGCCAGACAGGAAGTGAGTCAGCCGGACAGGAAGCGAGTCAGCCGGACAGGAAGTGAGTCAGCCAGACGGGAAGTGAGTCAGCCGGAAAGGAAGTGAGTCAGCCAGACAGGAAGTGAGTCAGCCAGACAGGAAGTGAGTCAGCCGGACAGGAAGCGAGTCAGCCGGACAGGAAGCGAGTCAGCCGGACAGGAAGTGAGTCAGCCAGACAGGAAGTGAGTCAGTCAGACAGGAAGCGAGTCAGCCAGACAGGAAGCGAGTCAGCCAGACAGGAAGTGAGTCAGCCGGACAGGAAGTCAGTCAGCCAGACAGGAAGTGAGTCAGCCAGACAGGAAGTGAGTCAGCCGGACAGGAAGTGAGTCAGCCAGACAGGAAGCGAGTCAGCCGGACAGGAAGTGAGTCAGCCAGACAGGAAGTGAGTCAGCCAGACAGGAAGTGAGTCAGCCGGAAAGGAAGTGAGTCAGCCAGACAGGAAGTGAGTCAGCCAGACAGGAAGTGAGTCAGCCAGACAGGAAGTGAGTCAGCCAGACAGGAAGTGAGTCAGCCAGACAGGAAGTGAGTCAGCCAGACAGGAAGTGAGTCAGCCGGAAAGGAAGTGAGTCAGCCAGACAGGAAGTGAGTCAGCCAGACAGGAAGTGAGTCAGCCAGACAGGAAGTGAGTCAGCTAGACAGGAAGTGAGTCAGCCAGACAGGAAGTGAGTCAGCCGGAAAGGAAGTGAGTCAGCCAGACAGGAAGTGAGTCAGCAAGACAGGAAGCGAGTCAGTCAGACAGGAAGTGAGTCAGCCAGACAGGAAGCGAGTCAGTCAGACAGGAAGTGAGTCAGCCAGACAGGAAGTGAGTCAGCCAGACAGGAAGTGAGTCAGCCAGACAGGAAGTGAGTCAGCCAGACAGGAAGTGAGTCAGCCGGAAAGGAAGTGAGTCAGCCAGACAGGAAGTGAGTCAACCAGGCAGGAAGTGAGTCAACCAGGCAGGAAGTGAGTCAACCAGGAAGGAAGCGAGTCAGCCAGGCAGGAAGTGAGTCAACCAGGAAGGAAGTGAGTCAGCCGGAAAGGAAGTGAGTCAGCCAGACAGGAAGTGAGTCAGCCAGACAGGAAGTGAGTCAGCCAGACAGGAAGTGAGTCAGCCAGACAGGAAGTGAGTCAGCCGGACAGGAAGTGAGTCAGCCGGACAGGAAGTGAGTCAGCCAGACAGGAAGTGAGTCAGCCAGACAGGAAGTGAGTCAGCCGGACAGGAAGCGAGTCAGCCGGACGGGAAGTGAGTCAGCCAGACGGGAAGTGAGTCAGCCGGAAAGGAAGTGAGTCAGCCAGACAGGAAGTGAGTCAGCCAGACAGGAAGTGAGTCAGCCGGACAGGAAGTGAGTCAGCCGGACAGGAAGCGAGTCAGCCGGACAGGAAGTGAGTCAGCCAGACAGGAAGTGAGTCAGTCAGACAGGAAGCGAGTCAGCCAGACAGGAAGCGAGTCAGCCAGACAGGAAGTGAGTCAGCCGGACAGGAAGTGAGTCAGCCAGACAGGAAGTGAGTCAGCCAGACAGGAAGTGAGTCAGCCGGACAGGAAGTGAGTCAGCCGGACAGGAAGCGAGTCAGCCGGACAGGAAGTGAGTCAGCCAGACAGGAAGTGAGTCAGTCAGACAGGAAGCGAGTCAGCCAGACAGGAAGCGAGTCAGCCAGACAGGAAGTGAGTCAGCCGGACAGGAAGTGAGTCAGCCAGACAGGAAGTGAGTCAGCCAGACAGGAAGTGAGTCAGCCGGACAGGAAGTGAGTCAGCCGGACAGGAAGCGAGTCAGCCGGACAGGAAGTGAGTCAGCCAGACAGGAAGTGAGTCAGTCAGACAGGAAGCGAGTCAGCCAGACAGGAAGCGAGTCAGCCAGACAGGAAGTGAGTCAGCCGGACAGGAAGTCAGTCAGCCGGACAGGAAGCGAGTCAGCCAGACAGGAAGTGAGTCAGCCAGACAGGAAGCGAGTCAGCCAGACAGGAAGCGAGTCAGCCAGACAGGAAGTGAGTCAGCCAGACAGGAAGCGAGTCAGCCAGACAGGAAGTGAGTCAGCCGGACAGGAAGTCAGTCAGCCGGACAGGAAGCGAGTCAGCCAGACAGGAAGTGAGTCAGCCAGACAGGAAGTGAGTCAGCCAGACAGGAAGCGAGTCAGCCAGACAGGAAGTGAGTCAGCCAGACAGGAAGCGAGTCAGCCAGACAGGAAGTGAGTCAGCCAGACAGGAAGTGAGTCAGCAAGACAGGAAATGAGTCAGTCAGACAGCAAGTGGTCAGTGGCCGATCGGGCAGCAGAAGCCCCTCCCTCACCGTCCTCCCAGATCTTCTGTGCCTCGGTCCAGAAGGCGATGTTGGGCTCCTCCAGGTGGAACAGCGCCCAGGACTTGGACCGGAAGTTGGGCCCATGGAAGCAGGCCAGCGTTGTGTGGTTGCCATGGAGACTCATGGAGCCGCCCAGCTGCACGGCGTCTTCGGGGAGCGGCGTCTGGAAGAGCGAAATGTGGCAGCCAGCGACGACCTTCAGCACGCCGGGCCAGTGGCGGTGATGGGCGGCGTCCACGTCTGCTGGGAGAGGGGAGGAGATTACAATAACCTGCTGCTATCGCTAATCTGCTGCTAGTGCTAAACTAGCAGCCGTGCTGCTAGTTTAATCCCCCCCCCCGGTGGTCCTTACAGAGCTCCGCTGCTCCTTTCTCGGCGCTGATGACGGATGTTTTGGGGGGCAGGTAGGGCCCGGGGCCCCAGGTGGACAGCGCCCGCTTGCTGGTGTCGAACTGCTGGGTGAAAAACTCCTGAAGCTTCATGCCGATCTTGATGAGGTCGGGTGTTGTGGAGCGAGAGATGATGACCTGGAAGATGTCCCACTGCAGGTCGCCGTGCACAAAGATCTCACTGGAGGACGGAGACAGATGAGTCACACTACGCACTCTTCAGAAATTTATCTGGACTAATCTGCAGCTGTTAAACTGAGCTGCAACAGCTTTTATTTTTTTATTATTTAAGACTTTAAACTATGTAGAGGTTCAGTTTATTAACTCAGTTTGTTACATTTAATCCACAGTCTGAAGAAAAAGTGAAGATGATTCATTTGGACGTTTATTTTTACACTGAACAGTAAATATATGTATATCTACTTCTTCACTTTCGACTATTTAACATTTTGCACAAAATTTGAAACAATATCAGTGAATGAGAAGAGATTACAGTAAAAAGGCTTGGCTTATTTCTTCTAAAGTGTTGGAGTCAGATTCAATGGTTTTGTTTTAAAATGAGAATCAATTCCTAACTCAGAGACAAACTGTTATGATTAGGACCTTCATGTGAAGTTACAGTTGGTTTACAAATAGAGAATTATTGGGTCTTTATTCTGCCAGTAGTGACTTTATTCATTCCCTTATTTTCTAAACTATGCTCCTGTTTCTATTTTCAGTACTTTTCTCCTGTATGGAGGCAGGAATGTTTCTCAATGTTCTTTGTAATGCAGGATGTCTGCTGCCACCTAGTGGTGACCCCTGCCCCCCAGCAGCAGCCGTACCTCTTCTCGGAGAGGCTGCTGTCCACCGCACACAGGTTGACCTTCCACTCATCCTGCAGCTGCAGGTCGGCGTTGCTGAACACGCCCATCAGGATGCTGGAGCCCATGTAGTCGACCCGCGCCTCCGTGGAGCCCATGGTGATCTGGATCTTGTGGCCGGGCTGCTGGTTGGGATGCTCCGAGATGTGGGCTGCAGAAACCACAGAGCGACACAAACATCGCTGAGAATAGACCCGACTCGCTGGAGTAACTCTGGACGGACCAGCAGAGCCACCAACGCAAAAAGAAAAGCCTTTAAGACATTATGGATGAATTTAAGACCAGCATCACTACAGAAACGTACTAAAGAACAACTCATGTCTCTTACAGTAGCACAGAATGAATGCAGCATCAGCAACAGAAGTGAGCCGTGGCAAAGACGAACGTCGTCCACGAAGCTAGCTAGTGTGCGTTAGCATCTAGTTAGCGGTATAGCTTGGACAGAAAAATAAACTTTATTCAATTAGATACAGTAGTCCTTTAATGCACAACATGCAAGACTCATGATCAATATATTTAAGGTCAACTAACAAATTCTAGACATTTTAGGGCCTTAATTTTAAGTACATGAATTTAAAAGGGCAGTACTCAATATATTCCCAGCAAACAGAATCCTTTTACAGAACAATCCAGAAGCTATATTACCATCAGTTGCTACAGAAGTGCTGAATATATCAAATATGACAAATTTTACTTCCTTATTTAACATCTTCAAATTGTGTCTGTCGCTTTAAAAACTCCTCTTTCTGAAGCTCCCCCTCCAGGAAGTCATCCCAACATGGCTCCTCTATTAACCATTTAAAACATTTTTGCCAGCGTTATTCTGAGCAGCAGCTGTTTGCTAATTGCTGCGGGCTAGTCTGAAGGAGCTGAGAGGGGAGGAGCTGCAGCCGGCGTCGACTCACCGACCATCTCCAGGGTGTTGACGTCGATGTTGCCACCCACCACGCCGCCCTTGGAGTCGAGCTTGGAGCGGCCCAGGCCCACCGACATGCTGATCTCGCGGTCGCGGTTGCTGCCCACCGACAGGCGGCCCTGGCTCTTCAGGCCGCTGGTGGTCCAGCTGCAACCGCAGGAACGCCGCCATCATCCACAGACAAACTCAGGTCCAGCAGTTCATGACTTTTCAACATGGCCGCCAAGGTTGTGGTGGAAATCTTATTTTTGAAATCTCCCATGAGATGAACATGTTTGGAACCATAAAATCTTTACCTTTTTCTGTTTGATTGTTGCTAATGTTTATTAGCTAACAAGCATTTTAAAAAATTAGCAGAGGCTAATGCTAAGCTGCTAACCTGTCAACTGGTCAGTGAGGAGCTGCCAGAATTTGAATTTAGTGATTTCTGGACCCAGCAGAACCTCGAGGGGAAAATGGCTGCCGTTTGCCAGGCGACCACCTACGTGTTGTTGCCCATGACGTTGCTCATGTTCATCTGGACGGTCAGCTGCTTCAGGTTGATGGCGAACACCACCAGCGTCTCCCACGGCGACCCCTGCTGGCCGGCCGACTTCCCGTTCTTCCCGAAGGCGGGCGTCGACGTTTTGGCCACGGCCTCTGAGGGAGAGAGGTCAAAGGTCAGGAGGAAGCCAGCAACGGGGCGCTTTGACCGCGGGGGGAGTTACCGGTCCTGGGGGCGGACGAGTCGGACACGCTGCGGGTGCGGCCGGGCGCCGGGGACTTGAGGTGGCCCAGGCCGCCGGGCGACATGTTGGCGTGCTCCGAGAAAACGTTGGGCGACTGCGATGCGTTCGTCGCCGCCGAGCCGCCGTCCCACGTCCTCCAGTACGCCTTCCGGCTGGATTCAGGCGACAGGTGCTGGGCGACGCTCTCCGCCGAGTCCGGGGTGGCGGGACCCGAGGCTGCGGAGGGAAACGGCAGATGAGACGGCCGCCGCGGAGCGTCAGGAGCTCAGGGACAGGAAGTGCTTACGTGGCAGGTTGATGGTCTGGTCTCCCAGGAAGAGGCGCCTGGCGATGCTGCGGCGGTACCAGGCCCGGGGGAACGCCAGGATCTCACTCAGGCGCCGCATGTCGTATTTGAAGGAAGCCGACCCGATGTCGCACACGGCTGCAACGACAACTTCCTGTTGAGCTGATGTCACTTCCTCTAAAACCACAACCACACGTGGCAGAAATCTGATTCAGAGACCTGACGCTGCGCCCCCTGCTGGCTGCGCCCGCCCTGTCCGCCAGCCGGTTGGTAGGAGACGCTGCAGCCTGACCCACCTCACCTTTACCTGCTGGTTCCTCCAACATTTAATTCAGCCCCTCTAGGAAAATAAGTACACCCTGCTGGCCAGCCTGGAGCATGGCAGTGGAGGGGTCATGCTGTGGGACCGCTCCTCAGCTGCAGGAACTGGACAGCTTTAAAGCGAGACCATTTGTCTAACAGCTGAAGCCGGGTCAAACCAGGGCATCAACAGAACCGAGACCCAAAACTCAGCAGCTGATCTACGACAGGACGGCCTACTCAAAGCCCAGAGCTCTGCAGCGGGTCAAAGAACCTGATTAAGTGGGCACAGGGTGTCTTCAGTTTCCCCGGCTCCTACCTGAGATGTTGATCAGGGTGGTGTCCATCTTGCCTCCCTTGGAGACGAAGCTCTCGATGAAGGTCGGCGCTCCGGTGCGCCTCATGCGCGACAGGCTGACCTTCACGAACTCCAGGTTGATGCACAACGAGTCCTTCCGGCCCGTCACCGACGACGGCTCGTCGTCTGCGGGAGACCGGGGTCAGAGTTCGGTCTGCCGCTCTGCGACCTTCAAGGCTCGGCGTTCGGCCGCTCACCTAGCGGGCCCGGGCCTGGAGGCAGGCCTGTGACGGCCGATTTCTGCTTCCCGGCGCCGTACGGGTGGAACACGTAGAGGGAGAAGTCCGACATGCAGGCGGTGAAGCTCAGGCCGGACGAGTTGCTGGGCGGCCCGGTCAGGTCCGACTGGCTGCTGCTGTGGCGGCTCCGGCCCAACGGGCTGCCCAGCTGGGGAGACGCTGTAACAAACACGTCGTCTGTTAGCTGACCAGAACCAGAACCAGACAATGTCGTACGGCTAACGAGCAAGCTAGCGGCGCTAACCCTATTTTATGGAAAATTTGTAAAAAGTCATATTTTATTCATTACAAATGATCAAAAACACCTAGTGAAAAATGTGCTTTGCTATTAGCGCATTTCCAGCAGCGTGCCAATTGTTGCAGAACTGCCCCTACCTCTGCTGGGGGGCAGCTTGGGGCCGTGTTGCCCCGGTGGGGTGGAGGACGGCGGGTGCGCCCCGTCTGTGGGGTTGGTTCCTGTCGGCGTCTCCAGTTCTCCGCGGTTGGAGGAGAACACCAGGTCCAGCGACGGCAGCTTCAGCATGCACTCCACCCTGGACATGGGCAGGCAGCTGAAGCGGATCTGAGAGGGCTGGAAGCAGACGGGTCCGTCACAACCAAACGGCATCAGGGAGGCTAGCTGCAGCTGCACAGGTCACGCTTCGGGTCAAACCTGGACTCTGACGTAAACGACCACATCCACCGGGAACGAGGAGTAGGCCGAGGCGGAGGAGGAGACCAGCGAGGTGGTGGACTCCTCCAGCGGGTCCACCGGGTCGAACTGACCCATGTCCTCCTCCTGGGTTGCCGTGGCTACCAAGACAAACATCGGCTGTGAAACGAAGAGCGCCGAGTCGGTGCAAGGAGCCGCCAGAGGCGCACAACCAACCTGCGTAGCTCCGGTCCACCGGCGTGATGGGAATGGTCTCCAGAGCTTTTTCCAGGAAGTCCAGCAGACACGGACTGATGACCATTTCCTCCGGCAGAGTCTGAAGCGCCACCCAGGCGTACAGCTTGGCTGTCTTCACCCCCCCACCAAAGCCCTTCCCTTTGGCTGCAGGAACACAGAGCCAGAGATGCTTCAACCTGCTTCAACCTGCTTCAACCTGCTTCAACCTGCTTCATGCAGGTTGCTTCAACTATAAATCACAAGAACTCAAATCCAGAGGTTTACTCAGATCAGAGGAGACGGCCATGCAGCTAGAAACAGAGACAGAGAGCAATCTGTCTGGACAGCTAGCTAACGCTACATAGCTATCTCACTATCTGCTACATAAATAGCTAAACAGAAGGATAAATACTGAAGAGTCATCAGATGGAGGACAGGGAGCTACAGCATGCAGCTAGAAACAATTGCATCTAAGTAGATATCTATATAGCTACAGTGATGGCTACATAGCTATACCAATAGATAGATAGCTAACCATCTAGCTAGCTATGTAGGTAGTTACACGTAGCCATAGACAGGTTGATCAGTAGCTTGATAGCAAGAAACCTGAATAGGGTCAATATTCAGAGAGCTACCTATCCAGTAAGACATCTGGACAGGTAGCTAGCTAGCTAGGCAGAAACATAGCTAGCCATCTCCAGCAATAGAAAGCTTCATAGCTAGAAACACAGCTATCCAGAGTCATTAGCTCATCAGATGGAGAGAGGTGCAACAGCATGCAGCTATAAACAGAGAAATGCACAGTACCTGTAGCAACAGGTGGGGGCGGGGGAGGTAGGAGCGAATTAGTCTTGCAGTGGACAGCATTGGGGGAGTTTGGGCCGCTTTCTTTCATACCATACAGCTTGGACTCTTTGGAGAGCGTGCGGGGCAGAGAGGATCCCCGCGAGGCGCTGGGAGAATCCGTCTTCAGCGTCTTGGAGTTGTAGTGCAGCTTCAGGAGAAGTGGAAAGATTTCAGATTATATTCCCGAACCCGGAGAGAGGAGGACGTTCAGAGAGCCGCTGACCTTCACATCTACGCCGGGGATGTAGAACACCGTCGTCTCCAGGTCGTTGGACTTGGGCTGCAGGGTGGCAGAGCCTTTCTTCCCGGCCAGGAGGTGAGTGGAGGAGCTGTAGGACGGCTGCAGCTTCTTCTTCTTGGGAGGAGAATCCTGGTCCAGACTCCTCAGGATGCGGTCGCAGCTCCTACACAGAAGAAGAAGAAGTTCTCCATCGGTGTACATTTACGAACCCAACCAGTGAGAGAGGGTTTCACCTGCGCAGGGCGACGTCCTCATGCTCCGACTGCTGAGTGGTGGGGTGAAGGACGCACTTCCCGCTGTCAATCTCCACGCGCACGTCCAGCTCGAAGTCGATGTTCTTCTCCGGCGCCGGGCTGCTGAAGCTGCGGCTGGCCGGCGTGCCGGGCCAGCGTTCGCTGAACAGCTGGCTGACGGCCGAGAAGCCCGACGGCTTCCTGTGGGATGGATGGCTGACAAACACAGAGCGTTCCTGAACCAACAGGCTCACATTTACCCCGAAAATCACCACAAGAAGGAGTCGCTGCTCTTTCCTCTGCAATCATAACATGAAATGTTCATTTCTACTGCATGAGAGGAATATCTGAACTGGATGATGAGAAAAAGTTTTCTAAACTAACTTCATCCAGCTCTGGGGAAAAAAACACAATTAGGTAGATATTACTACAACTCGCCATTTCAGTCGATAGATATGTTGCTATTTAGCTAGGCTGACATCTAGCTCTCTTCCAATCTATCCATCAAGCTACATGGCTATCTAGCAACTGAGCTAGCTAGATAGCTACCCAACTAGCCAAATAGCTTTCCATCTATCCATTAAGCTGTATGGACAGCTGGCTAGCTCTGGATAGATGGATAGCCAGCTCACCATTCACAATGAGAGCTTGATAATCTAAACAGAGTTGGGCATTTAGACCCTGATACTAAAAATGGCTCTGAGTCGTAGCCACGGTTTGCTCCAGTCCTGACTTCACTGAACCCCATCAGGTTGGAACAGGAACCAGAGCAAACGGACACAACTCAGAAAATCAAACCGCGGTTTCACTCACAGCGGCCGGCGGTAGCTCTGCGGCCTCTCGAACTCGTCCTCCTTCTCCGAGTCCTCGGAGGACGAAGAGGACAGGTCGTCGCGCCTGGAGTCGTAGTGCTGGAAGGGAACGGCGGGTGAGAAGACGGCGGGCGTGGCGGGGGCACTGAACACTGACTGCTGGCCCTCGGCAGAGGATGGAGGATGGAGGTGAAGGGGATGATGAGGATGGGATGGGTCGTCGATGGTGACGGACAACAGGTCGCACTCGGACTCCTCGGGAAACTTTCAGAGAGGGACAGAGAGTCAGACTGGCGGATCCAGACGGACGGGTCCAACCACCCGCAGGCGTAGAGACCGCCTGAAAACCCAAAGGACCAAAAACCCGACAGACGAAGCGACCCGATGTCCACCGACTGAACAACGCCATGAAACAGAGAAGCTTTTCTCACAAGGATGGAAACCATCGACACCAGCAGACGAGACAAACTCCCTCCACAGAGCGGCCATGACACGAACCAGACAGAACCCAGAACCGGTTCTGGCTGGGTCCAGCTGGAGGTTGACTTCATGCCAACCGCAGAGAGAAGCAGAGCAGCAATGAGGGCGATAGGTGGGAAATGGGCAGGAAGTGGAGGGGAAGGGGACAGGAAGTGGACAGGAAGTTGGGCTGGGCTGCTCTGATCCTGCTGGGGGACCGTTTGGACCTTCCAGAGCGGTTCTGGGACAGAAACTGGAAAACAGCTTGGCCTTTCACACAGTCAGAGGTTCTTCTGATGGCACCGGGTCAGAACGAACCAAACAGAACCAGTAATGCCTCCATAGTCCTCCAGTATGCCACCCACTTTCTGCAATAACCAGTAACACCACAGCATGATGCTGCCACCACTATGCTGGGCAGTCAGAGATCAGATGGTGGGAGTAAAACATGGTGGGAGGGACTGATGCAGGTCGTTTGTTAGAAATAAGGTCAAAATGTAAATATGAATTAAATGCATTTATATTTAATGAAGGAGGATAGATTCCTGGTGAGGATCTTTCGTCAGATTGAAAATATAAAGGCAGAATTTAAAGATCTTCAATCAACCGTCTTGGTGGAATTAATCTATAAAGTGGAGTTTATAAAAATATCAACCATTTAATCATTTTTAAGTTTAAGAGTTTGTATATTAGCCTGAAGTTGGCAACAGTTCAAAATTAGGAGTTTTTGTTTTATTGCCTCAAAAACATCGAAACAACCAAAATGTTACTGAAGAAATAAAAAAACAGAACAAAAGACTCTTTGTGTTTTCAGTCAATGCAGACCTAACAGGATATGTTGCGTTTTAAAAATGACTCACCTTTTGTTGCTGGTTTAGTTCATTAATTAGAATCTCTATCATTTCCTGAATCTGATGCATATGTGATATTTAACATGCATATTGTAAACGGCCGGTTCTGGTTTTCCTCTGCATTTCCAGCAGCTGCGTCTCACCTGAGCGGCCGGCGCCTCGGCTGTCCCTGACCCGCCTGCCGTTTGAGTCCCTGTGTCCTGCTGAGTTACACGGATCAGACACGACGCATCTTAAATAGAGCAAACATTTCTGTACTGCGACGCCAGCAGGCAGGCTGCAACACATTCCTCCTGAACTCGCCTTACCTGCGGCCCTGCAGCCGGCCCTGCAGCCGGCCCTGCAGCCGGCCCTGCAGCCGGCCCTGCTGCTGTCCTCTGCTGAAAAGCACAGAACCAGGTCACACCTGACATTTTCACTTGCTGAATCTACAATCTGCTTCAGTTTTGTTCATTTGCAAAAGTCAGCAACTTAAAATATCCTTGTCGTCACAGAGTGGATATGTTACCTGTAAACCAGGGTCACTTTCCTCAGCACAGCGTGTCTGAGTGGGTTTTGTTTCCTAGCCGGAAGAACACAAGCCTGCATTAAAAACGCAGAGCTAACCGTGAGAATACAAACCAAACCGGACGAAGATGTGAAACTAAAACCAGTAGCTCAAAAACTGGGGATGCAGTGCATGGGGCGCAAAACGATGTGGGGAAAGGTTTCCTCATTGGCATTTTCTGTATTTAGCAGCTGTTTGTGCATGAAACGGCATTGATGGGGCGGCCCTCCGTCAGCCACGGCACACACAGCTAGCTTGGCCAGCAGCCCTGTGAGAAGCACTCAAAGGTTTTTTCTTCAAATCTCAATGGTAGTGATGACAACAGGGAGCTAAAGATGGCGGCAGAAAGAAACTCCAGGGCACAAAACAGAAAACGGAAGCATGGGAGAGACGAAGAAAAACTTCTCACTTCTAACCCGGCAGAACCTAAAGAACCGGCAGAACCTAAAGAACCGGCAGAACCTACAGAACCGGCAGAACCTAAAGAACCGGCAGAACCTAAAGAACCGGCAGAACCAGCAGAACCTACAGAACCTACAGAACCGGCAGAACCTAAAGAACCAGCAGAACCTAAAGAACCGGCAGAACCTAAAGAACCAGCAGAACCTAAAGAACCGGCAGAACCAGCAGAACCTAAAGAACCGGCAGAACCTAAAGAACCGGCAGAACCAGCAGAACCTAAAGAACCGGCAGAACCTAAAGAACCGGCAGAACCTAAAGAACCAGCAGAACCTAAAGAACCAGCAGAACCTAAAGAACCGGCAGAACCTAAAGAACCGGCAGAACCTAAAGAACCGGCAGAACCTAAAGAACCTAAAGAACCGGCAGAACCTAAAGAACCGGCAGAACCTAAAGAACCAGCAGAACCTAAAGAACCAGCAGAACCTAAAGAACCGGCAGAACCTAAAGAACCGGCAGAACCTAAAGAACCGGCAGAACCTAAAGAACCTAAAGAACCGGCAGAACCTAAAGAACCGGCAGAACCTAAAGAACCAGCAGAACCTAAAGAACCAGCAGAACCTAAAGAACCGGCAGAACCTAAAGAACCGGCAGAACCTAAAGAACCGGCAGAACCTAAAGAACCTAAAGAACCGGCAGAACCTAAAGAACCGGCAGAACCTAAAGAACCGGCAGAACCTAAAGAACCGGCAGAACCTAAAGAACCTAAAGAACCGGCAGAACCTAAAGAACCGGCAGAACCTAAAGAACCGGCAGAACCTAAAGAACCTAAAGAACCGGCAGAACCTAAAGAACCTAAAGAACCGGCAGAACCTAAAGAACCAGCAGAACCTAAAGAACCGGCAGAACCTAAAGAACCACCAGAACCTAAAGAACCGGCAGAACCTAAAGAACCGGCAGAACCTAAAGAACCAGCAGAACCTAAAGAACCGGCAGAACCAGCAGAACCTAAAGAACCAGCAGAACCTAAAGAACCGGCAGAACCAGCAGAACCTAAAGAACCGGCAGAACCTAAAGAACCAGCAGAACCGGCAGAACCTAAAGAACCACCAGAACCTAAAGAACCGGCAGAACCTAAAGAACCTAAAGAACCGGCAGAACCTAAAGAACCAGCAGAACCTAAAGAACCGGCAGAACCAGCAGAACCAGCAGAACCTAAAGAACCGGCCATCATTTATTATTATTGATACTAAAGATGAGTTGTGTAACCAGCCCTGTGTCACTAAAGCTCTCAGAGTCAAAACGGTTGGCGACTCTCGCTGTAGGACTTGCACAGACACTGGAGTTATATTATATATTTCTTCTTCAGCGGTTTTGTGATGCATCTGATGAGTCAGATCAGATCCAGGGTCCAGTCAGTAACTGTTATCTAACAAGGACATCATTTAAATTTAAAAATTCACTTTTATGTGCTTTGACTGCTGTAAGTTTAACCCTCCTTAACACAAGACAAATGTTATTCAGCTGTGAGGACGAGTCAGTGAGACAGGAAGGCAACAGGTTGGACTAATGAGGGAGCAGCTGCTTCATCCCAACCAATATTTTTTAAACATTATTCTTTGAAACTGTATAAGGATCTGTAATTTTTATAACTAATTTATAAAGCTTTTTGAAACTCCATCAGACTTAGAGGAGACGCCGCCGTTCAGGGTGAAGGAGAGACATGAGGTCAGTGAGAGGAGACAAGTGAGGAAGGAACATGAGATAGGCAACAAACACCTAAAGGCTATGATGGCTTGAATTCAATTACTGTATTTTATCCATTCATGCACTTATTCATATAAGTGCATGAATAAGGGCGAGCTGTATGGACGTATTAAACCTGGCGGGGCGTCGGCGGCGCGTTGCATACGCCTCAGAAAGGATGGAGTTCACTAAAATCAATCGCTGAACACGGCAGCTGCTGGAGGAGTCCGACTAAAACAGCAGAACAGCCGCAGTCTTAAAGATTAGAGCAGATATCGTTATTAGTCAGGTTGACTCCTGTGAATGGAAGAGCTGCATTTTTATTTCTATTGTTGCAGGTTTGCTTCTGCCAGCAACATGCATTAAAGAACAACCTGTGCTCAACTGAACTCACCCAGGTCCACCGGCTGACTCAGACTAGGCCACCCTGACCCCAACACCACTTACATCTAGAAAACTAAATATTTACCTTGGATCTTAAAATGTAGAATATTTGGAACTAAATATTTAGCTTAGAGCTACAAATTTAGCTTGCTAACGAAATATTTCAATTGAAAATGTGACGAGTGTACAAATGGCTAACGGGTCTGTGGAGCCTTCAGCAACACTTCCATATAGATATCTATATGTAGCAACACTGCAGATAGATATGAAGACGATTGTATGTCTATGTGTGAATTAATGAGCATCCAGATAAAATCAGTTCAGCTGCAGAAAAGCAGCTCAAACAGGCAGAAAAGCCCCAACAATCGTAAAAAGTCTGAAGTAAAAGCTTCCGTTCCAGGCCTTCAGCGAAGCATGCACAGAAAGACTAAAGGAAAGCTGCTGATGCAGATTCAGAACAGGACGACATCTTGAGGCAGTTATTGGTTACGCAGCATGAAATCAATGTTTAACTACAGAAACCCATTTATCAGTGATGTAAGAGCAGCTGCATGTTTGCTATGCCTCCTGTTGTGACTCGACTCTCAGCTCAGAGGACAGATCTGATTTGGTTTCCTAACATGGTTTAATTTGAGCCGTCTACCTTGAATATCTCTGCTGGGCTGACAGGTGAACGTTCAGAGTCCAGAAGCTGAACTTTATTCTTTAATTGAACAGAAAGTCATGAAGAAAACAGATCCGTTAGAGCAGCAGACAGGCAGCGGTGTGAGGCGAAGCTACAGTCCAACAATGTTCCTGCAGCGTCTAATGAGGATCCCTGCTGATCTGTCGGCGTCCCGCCAGCAGGGGGCGGCGGACTTTACCTGCTCATGGATGTTGAAGGTGACACGAGGCGAAGGAGCGGACACGTCCACACGGACTTCTGGGAAATCATCAGCATCCCCGACCTTAGAGCTGCAGACAGAAACGTTACAGAGAGGCTTTCTGTGACATCAGCAGAGCCAAGCCAATCAGAGCGCAGCAGGAAACCACTAATGGCTGCAGAGCATCCTAACGTTTCAGCGTTCGCACTCTGACCTCTGGCGTTCGATCCGTTTCTGAGGCGGCCGGCCCGCCGCCGCCGAGATGCTTTTGGAGCGGCTGTAGCTGGGTTTGTAGCCGAGGCCCCACTTATCCTTCAGGGAGGCGGCCTGGAGGAAACAAACGGGTCAGAGCAGAACCAGAATCCTGACTGGTTCTGTTCTGATCTGCATCCAGAGAACCAGGCAGCATTCAGCTTCTATGCTCCACTAATCTGGAACAAAACTCCAGAAAACTAAAGACGAGCCCAAAGCGTCGAGACATTTCCATTTCCACAACGTCTGGAAATAACAATTCAAAGCCATATTGAATCTGTTTGTGTTTTAATTTATAATCATGGACTAATTTGAAAAAATGCCCATAACTATAGTTTCTGTTGCTCTGGTGATACGATGTGTGGTGGCTTTGACCTGGAACTGACCCTCATGCTGGAGCGGCGCAGCTTCTTCCTGACGTCTCTTCTGATGTCCTGGACGGCCACCGACTCCAGCTGCTGGTAGCGCTGGATCTCCTGGTTGATGGTTCCCTCGCTGGCGCCCAGCTTCCTGCAGACACAGCGCCGGGTTCACTCACAGCGCCGGGTTCACACACAGCGCCGAGTTCACACACAGCGCCGGGTTCACACACAGCGCCGGGTTCACACACAGCGCCGGGTTCACACACAGCGCCGGGTTCACACACAGCGCCGGGTTCACTCACAGCGCCGGGTTCACACACAGCGCCGGGTTCACACACAGCGCCGGGTTCACACACAGCGCCGGGTTCACTCACAGCGCCGGGTTCACACACAGCGCCGGGTTCACACACAGCGCCGGGTTCACTCACAGCGCCGGGTTCACACAGTCACACACAGCCTGCACCGCTCTGCCGGACGCTCTTACTTCAGGTCGTCGATGACCTTGGCCTGCTCGTTCAGCTCCCGGATGTCCACCACCCTCTTGGTGACCTTCCTGCCGCGGGCGTCCAGCGCCGCGCCGCACATCGTCTGCCGTCGGGGGTCAAAGTTCTCCTGCAGGGAGCAGAGCGGACCGTCAGCCCGCCGGGACCGAACGACTACACGTCACCTGAAACCCGAATCACGACCGGATCAATTGGAAGATTGATGAGCGATTGATTGGAAGACCCTCCACCACCATCACCGCCTGGGGACCCTAACCGCCTCTAAATCACCCCAACGATCAATCGGCCGCCGACCAGCATTCTGGGACCAGAATGTGAACCCGGAGGACCCAGAGTGGTTCTACATACGCAGCCCCAGGAGAGGGGCCTCTGGGCCCGGGCCCCGGACGGGGAGCCGGCGTCGGAGCCGTCTGCAGAGACGCTCTGCGGCCGGGGACTGAGACCCAGGATGTGGTTCACCAGCCGTCGCTTTAGGGTCAGCCGGGGACTGAACGGCGCCTCGCAGCTCTGCAGGAAGGAGACGGCCGGGGTTTACCTCTGACCCCAAACAGGAAGGAGGAACTCGAGCAGCTCCGACACAAAACCTTCTGCCAGCTACCGTTCAGCTTCAAACAAAACAATCTTCCAGAAACCTGACGAAAAGTTTTCCTGCAAACATCGGCAGCTTTTCTTGAACTCACATCAAGCAGGTCAGATTTTCAGCTGACTTTCATAACTTTTAGCTCAACAGATGATAAGCGTCTGATCCGAATCGGCGCCAACCGGACCGGGTCACTGACCATGTGGACGGTGGGCGACATGGTGTCGGCTTCGTCCTCGTCCGACAGGTCTGCCATGTTCACGGAGTTCTGGTCGGCGATGTCGTCGGCGTCCTCCTCCCCCGTCAGCGACGTCAGCGTGTTGCCCAGGGCGTTCAGCCGCTTGCCGATGTTCGGGTCCATGTGGACGTCGATGCCGCACATCTTCCACAGAACGTTGAGCGTCCAGGTGCCGGCGCTGCTGCTCTCTGCGCCAAGACAAACACCAACGCTCATTTCTCTGAGCGGCGTGTCACCGAGCCTCGTGAAGACGGCGCCTTGCCTGCAGACGGCTGGCCGGTGGTCCTGGAGCAGACTTCATACGTTCCATCAGGGACGACGCCTGCGAGTCGAGACGGCAACGCAACATTCAGGAGGCAACGCAACTCCAGCAATCACACGAAACGTTTCAACATGGATTAAACGTCAACGATGTCAACTTGCCACGCATTGCGTCAGGAAAACGACACAAAGCTCTGAAGTAATGAAGTTTCACATCTTCACTGGAAGAAGTGCTAATTAAAATAATATTTAGTCAAAACAGCGAGCTGACTCTGTTTTGACTGTCAGCTTGATTTTTGGTTTTTTTGTATTTGTTTACTTTTAGTTGTTGGTTTTTTCTTCTGTCTTGGCTGTTTAACTCTGAAAAATCATAAATAAACTTATGAAGAAAAATAAATATTTAGAAAGTGTGACGTGGGCCAGTTGTGCTAGCTCGACTATGAAAACCTGAAGGAGTGGATATGCTGTGGAATTCGGTATTTGAGTCGGTTCCAGCTTAAACACTCACATGCGTTCATGACGAGGTCTCCCCGGACTTCGGGCTTCCAGTCGTCCCAGGACGTCTCGAAGCCTTCGGCGAAGCGGATGCAGAAGTTCTTGAAGTGACCTTTGCTCACCAGAGACTCGGAGGAGCAGGCGGTGATCAGCGTGCTCTCGATGGTCAGGACCAGAGCCGAGCCTGTGTCGAAGTCGATGCTGTGGTTGGCCTGAGAGGAACGGAGGGTTGCGGTCAGCAGCAGAACCGGCAAGAACAACCCGTTTGATCCATTCACAGAAGCCAGAGCTGCATGGCGACTTTTCACTCAGAGATGAATCTTCATTTGGATCCACTTCAGAGGGAAATGTCTCCAACAGATTAGAGTTAAAAACACCCAGAAAGCATCGATTCAGCTCCCAGAAGGCTAGTCTGATGCTAACCCCACCAGGGAAATCAGAAAGCATGTCAGCGGATTTGAAATGTCGGAGTCGTTTTCCTCGTGCATCAACACCGACCTCCAATCAGCACAGAGATCCACACAGACAGGCCACAGCTGGCTCCACCTCTCCTCCAGTTAAAACACAGCAGGCAGGCAACACGAAACAACATGTTTCAAAATAAAAGCTCCACAATCAGAGCAGAACCACAGCAAGCCACCAGGCAGGACGGAGGAGCTGCGGGTTACTTTGTGGGCGGGCTTTGACTGGGCCGCTGCTGCAGAGCTCACCTCCGGCCCTGACGCTGCTGGTCCTTTCTACAGAAACAGGTGACAGCACAGCTGGGTGACCTTTAACCCCATACACGTGCTAGATCTGACCTGGATTTTCATCAACTCTTGTTCCTCTGAGGGTTTTAGGAAAGCGTCTGCTGGTTAATCCAGCAATGAGAGCAACCTCAGTGAGTTAGCAGATAAGAGTCAGGTCAGAATCAGATAAAAAAAAGTATTTTAAGGCAGAAACGTTCAGTTATGGATCAACAACCTGCATTAGGAAGGCTTTGCTACACAACGCTGGCTGCTCGCAACACGAGGTTTCTAAATATGGTTTCATCTGCATTTTGGGTCCAGAGGCTGATGCTTCAGCCGGAGCGACCGGAGGCCGCGGGGTTGCCCGGCCATCAGGTTACCTGTGAAGCGTTGGTGATGGGCAGACAGATGCCCAGGTCGTTGACGGTGAGCTGCAGGAAGAGGGTGCTGAAGGCCTGGGCCGAGGTCTGCTGGATGCCCGGCAGCTTGTCCACCACCTCCTTGGTGGCCATGTGGATGTCCTTGTTGAGCGCCAGCCGCTGCTCATTCCAGTTGTCATACGCCGCCTTGTAGTTCAGCCAGAAGAGCACGGCTGCAGGGACGGGAGGCACAGAGCGGTAGAACCAGAACAGAACCAGTTTGATCTCTGGTGCTTTAACAGAGCCGCCTTAACGTGCGACGTGAGCCGAACCTCTGTCGAACGCCACCGGCTGAGCGAACACGATGGGCCGGTTCAGAGTGATCAGAACCGCCTCCTTGTCCGACGAGCCGCTGATCTCCTCCTGCAGTGCGTTCCTCAGACCGATCCGGGTCCGGAAGTACGCCACCTGGTGGAAGTCTGAGCCCGCCTCTTCGTAAACCTGTGGGATGGACGGGGAAATGAAGCAGGACCGGCTGGGTCCGTTTTAGAGGGCCGGCCGGCCGGCCGGTACCTGATGCTTGACGATCTGCCCCAGTGCCAGGTTCAGGTCCACCTGGCACTTGCCAAACAGCTTCAGGTAGCTGCTGCTGCCGCCGGGCTGAGCCTTGCACTGGATCCGGTTGGACAGCTCCAGCTCGATCAGGCCCGTCTCGAAGCGCACGGCCCGCATCGACGGCGTGGTGGCCGTCATCTGGATCCCCTGGAAACACGGTGAGGAGAGCGCCGCCGCTAACAGTGAGCTAACCCAGAGCTACCGCTGAGCTAACCCAGAGCTAATGCTGAGCTAACCCAGAGCTAATGCTGAGCTAACCCAGAGCTAATGCTGAGCTAACCCAGAGCTAATGCTGAGCTAACCCAGAGCTAATGCTGAGCTAACCCAGAGCTAATGCTGCGCTAACCCAGAGCTAACGCTGAGCTAACCCAGAGCTAATGCTGAGCTAACCCAGAGCTAATGCTGCGCTAACCAGAGCTAATGCTGAGCTAACCAGAGCTAATGCTGAGCTAACCCAGAGCTAATGCTGCTAACCCAGAGCTAACGCTGAGCTAACCCAGAGCTAATGCTGAGCTAACCCAGAGCTAATGCTGAGCTAACCAGAGCTAACGCTGAGCTAACCCAGAGCTAACGCTGCGCTAACCCAGAGCTAACGCTGAGCTAACCCAGAGCTAATGCTGAGCTAACCCAGAGCTAATGCTGCGCTAACCCAGAGCTAACGCTGAGCTAACCCAGAGCTAATGCTGAGCTAATTGAGGGGGTTCCTTCTGAACCCACCTTGAACATCAGGCTGAGGGAGTAGAGCAGGATCTTGGGCTTGTCCGCGTCTGTGGACGAGTCGTGTTCGTTCCACAGCGGGATCGGCTGTTCGCCTCCTGCAGACAGAGCACAGCGTTCTGAAGGAACCATAGCTGATGATGGCTACGCTGACGCTAACGTGCAGCAAACCGATCTCAGTTTATTATTCTGCGTTATGAAGCAGACTGGAGTAGATCCTTTGCTTAACGATAGAAGTGGAAATTGATTTTGAATCAAGTTGTGAGCCATCAAAGATTCAAAGTCTGAAGAGAGGAAGTCAAGCTGTGTCTGGAGTTTCAGAATAAAAGCCTGACGTTTACCTGAAACCTTCTGGATGACTTCGTTGACTTCCTTCATGAAGACCTTCTGCAGGAACACCAGGTGGTTCAGCAGGTCCGTTGTCAGGTTGTGTTCAAACGAGCCGATCTGTCGACACACAGAGCAACGTCTCAACAGGATGTGGCGTCAGGAGCCCCTTGTCACGGCAACCCGCCCCACCTCAGCAACGCATCGCAGGTAGTTGCCCTGCAGGTAGTTGCCCTGCTTGGCCGGGAAGTCGTCGGGGGCCCAGCTCTGGTCGGAGTGGCTCTCGTGGTCCTCCATGATGTACTCCCCTGACATGGTGACGGGCGGCAGGGACAGGCTGGCGGACGGGGACATGGTGGACATGTCCACCGGGGACACCTTGGACTGGAAGCACAGCTTGTGGTTCGGCAGCTCGAAGGTGAAGCTGGTCTGAGCACCTGAGGAGCAGAACCTGATCAGAACTGGGCAGAGCCCGCCTGTAAACAGGTGGGGGAGGGGTCACCTGTCATGCCGTGGCTCTTCACCGCCCCCATCTTGTACTCTGCTTTGAGCGAGGGCAGCAGGGCGGCGCCGATGGTGATGCCGTCCATCATGGCGCTGAACTTGAGGACGATGGGCTTCTTCTCCAGGCCCTCCGGCAGCTGAGGGAACTCGTTGGCCTCCACCGGCGTCTGGTTGATGCTGGACGCCTTGTCTGGCGGCTGGGGGGTCGGCGTGTCCTCACGGTTTGGGTGGCTGGAGCAAAACACGGCAGCGGCCAATGAGAGGGAGGGTCGCTGACTGACAGCAGGACTAAAAACCACGGACTGACATTTCATAGGTTGAGTTTAATCAACAGAAAGAGAGAAACTGATGGAGACACTTCCTGTCAGTTGGACCTCAGCGGCTGGTTTTAATACATGAAGACGTTTAAAATGAACTGGGAACAAAACTCCAGATGACCGTACACAAATCCAGAAGGTTAAGAAAATAAATGTGATTTGATTCTGAAATTAAAGATAAACTCTATAGTGCTGGAGAAAATGTGGAATGATGAATGCGGATCACTCGCACATATTTTGGAACTGTCCAAAAATTTACATTCTGGAAAAATGTTTATGTATCTGTGAAGAGTATAGTGGGATATGATATCCCTATGAGTAGCATGGTATTATATCAATGTAATTTTAATAACACCAAGATTAGGGTAAAAGATAGACACCTGATTAAGATTCTGTTAATAGCGGGTAAGAAAGCGATCATGTGGGGGAAAGAGGACCCCCCGTGCCAAGAACAATGGCCTGGAATAGTGGAAGAAATTTATATCATAGAAAAACTGACACACAGATTGAGACTGCAACAAACACAAATGGAAGAAAAATGGACAAAATGGAGTATATTCAGGACAACAGAGAGCGGCAAAAGTGGATAAAGGCCTATGAAACAAGAGACAATGAGGTAATAATGAGTACAAGCCCCCGAGCAACAGTTTTGGTTTCTTTTTATTTTTGGTAGAGGTGGATGTGATGTGTTCAAGTTCATTGTATATGTAAATAAATGTAAAAATTTTCAATAAAAAGTTAAATGTTAAAAAAGATAAACTCTATAAACCCAGAGTTTAACCCTGAACCCAGAGTTTAACCCTGAACTCAGAGTTTAACCCTGAACCCAGAGTTTAACCCTGAACTCAGAGTTTAACCCTGAACTCAGAGTTTAACCCTGAACCCAGAGTTTAACCCTGAACCCAGTTTAACCCTGAACTCAGAGTTTAACCCTGAACTCAGAGTTTAACCCTGAACCCAAAGTTTAACCCTGAACCCAAAGTTTAACCCTGAACCCAAAGTTTAACCCTGAACCCAGTTTAACCCTGAACTCAGAGTTTAACCCTGAACTCAGAGTTTAACCCTGAACCCAAAGTTTAACCCTGAACCCAAAGTTTAACCCTGAACCCAGAGTTTAACCCTGAACCCAGAGTTTAACCCTGAACCCAGAGTTTAACCCTGAACCCAGAGTTTAACCCTGAACTCAGAGTTTAACCCTGAACCCAAAGTTTAACCCTGAACCCAAAGTTTAACCCTGAACCCAAAGTTTAACCCTGAACCCAGAGTTTAACCCTGAACTCAGAGTTTAACCCTGAACCCAAAGTTTAACCCTGAACCCAGAGTTTAACCCTTAACCCAGAGTTTAACCCTGAACCCAAAGTTTAACCCTGAACTCAGAGTTTAACCCTGAACCCAGAGTTTAACCCTGAACCCAGAGTTTAACCCTTAACCCAGAGTTTAACCCTGAACTCAGAGTTTAACCCTGAACCCAAAGTTTAACCCTAAAAACAGAGTTTATCCCTGAACCCAGAGTTTAACCCTGAACCCAGAGTTTAACCCTGAACCTGGTGCTCCATCAAACTGATAAGCTGAGGAACATACGCGTTGGCGGGCTGGCGGATGAGGTCGGAGATCTGCTTGGAGAGCTGGTGGGAGCTGCGGACCATCATGCTGTGCAGTGTGGCCGGGTGCTGCGGGATGTTGATCATGATGGAGCCCACCTTGAAGACAGCGGCGTTGTTGGTCCTCAGGCCCCGCTGGGCGCTGTACAGCGCCTGCGACTTGGCGATGGTGCACTTGACGACGGTCCTGAAACACAGGAAGAGCAGAGTGAGCGCAGCGAAACCTGACGCAGGATGAAGACGGACTGTGAAGCGTCATGCAGAGTCAGTGATGATGGCTGGAGACCACCCACAGGGGAAGAAATGAAATGACCTCCAGCTCCAGAAACATCTGGATCTGCTGCGGCCTGACATGAAGTCAGACGGGAGCAGCTGCTGCTCCGCCAGCATGACACACAGATGAATCCCGAGGAAGACGAGCAGCAGGCGATGAAGGACGGACTCAGCACAGCAGCATATTCAGAAAAATCTGTCACAAGAACCCAACTGGGCACAGATGTTGCTGCTCTGAGGTGGCAGCCAGAGTTAAAGGCAGCTGCCATCTTGAAATACTCTCTTCAGTTTCATTTTCCAAATGTAATCTTTCGATGTCAAATCATACATAGTTGAAGACAGAAATCATACTTACAGGGTTTTGTTTGTTCAGTTTTCAACATGGCTGCCATGGCAGTCATGGACAATAATGCACTAAAATCAGCAGCAGTTATTTTCAGTGGCGGGAACAGACAGACGTTAATTCATTGAACAAGAATCTTAGCTAGGGGTTAGCATAAGCTAACACTACGCTGGATGAGGATGGTAACGCAAACCTGCTAACCACATAAATAGCCAGAAGCTAACCTTAAACACATAATAGCTGGAGCTAATGCCAGACCTCAGCTTCTGATTTCATCATCACTAGAGCTGTAAGGACAGGAGGAACCAAGCTGAAAACACATGATGTCACATAAAGTCATGAAAGTATATAACTTTCTGTGGCAATGGCTAAAAAAGGCTCACAAACGGCAGCCATCTTGAAAACTGTCCGTGACCCTGAAAGGCAGGTGGCTGATGGGAAATGTGAGGGTTGGTCAGACAGGAGTTTATGCCACAGCTGACTGTTTTTCCAGAGATATGCTGCGCTGCATGAGACGGTGGGTTCACTGATACAGAGGTCACTGGGGTCAACATGAACATACAGAAACTCCTGCTTAGCCGTGCTGGTGGGAGACGTGGGGAAGTCCTCCAGTCTACGCAGTTTACCGGGAAGACAAAGCAGCGAGGAAGGAGAGAAGAAGAGAGTCAGGAGGTATAGAGCTATGGAGATAGATGGGCTGGAATAACCTGGGGTCAATAAAACCACATCAGCTTCTGATCAATTCAAATAATCAGTTCTACAGTCAATTTACTACAAATGGCAGCTTTAACTCATTGGATTTAATTCACATTTAAGTCTCAATTATTGTTTTTAACCACAATTTACATGTATATAGTAGCAGATCGGTACCAACTCATCGTACGCACTGACTCATCGTACGCACTGACTCATCGTACGCACTGACTCATCGTACGCACTGACTCATCGTACTCACTGACTCATCGTACGCACTGACTCATCGTACGCACTGACTCATCGTACGCACTGACTCATCGTACGCACTGACTCATCGTACTCACTGACTCATCGTACTCACTGACTCATCGTACTCACTGACTCATCGTACTCACTGACTCATCGTACGCACTGACTCATCGTACTCACTGACTCATCGTACGCACTGACTCATCGTACTCACTGACTCATCGTACTCACTGACTCATCGTACTCACTGACTCATCGTACTCACTGACTCATCGTACTCACTGACTCATCGTACGCACTGACTCATCGTACTCACTGACTCATCGTACTCACTGACTCATCGTACGCACTGACTCATCGTACGCACTGACTCATCGTACTCACTGACTCATCGTACGCACTGACTCATCGTACGCACTGACTCATCGTACGCACTGACTCATCGTACGCACTGACTCATCGTACTCACTGACTCATCGTACGCACTGACTCATCGTACGCACTGACTCATCGTACGCACTGACTCATCGTACTCACTGACTCATCGTACGCACTGACTCATCGTACGCACTGACTCATCGTACGCACTGACTCATCGTACTCACTGACTCATCGTACGCACTGACTCATCGTACGCACTGACTCATCGTACGCACTGACTCATCGTACTCACTGACTCATCGTACGCACTGACTCATCGTACGCACTGACTCATCGTACTCACTGACTCATCGTACTCACTGACTCATCGTACGCACTGACTCATCGTACTCACTGACTCATCGTACTCACTGACTCATCGTACGCACTGACTCATCGTACTCACTGACTCATCGTACTCACTGACTCATCGTACTCACTGACTCATCGTACGCACTGACTCATCGTACTCACTGACTCATCGTACGCACTGACTCATCGTACGCACTGACTCATCGTACTCACTGACTCATCGTACTCACTGACTCATCGTACTCACTGACTCATCGTACGCACTGACTCATCGTACTCACTGACTCATCGTACTCACTGACTCATCGTACGTACTGACTCATCGTACGTACTGACTCATCGTACGCACTGACTCATCGTACGTACTGACTCATCGTACGTACTGACTCATCGTACTGACTCATCGTACGCACTGACTCATCGTACGCACTGACTCATCGTACGTACTGACTCATCGTACGCACTGACTCATCGTACTCACTGACTCATCGTACTCACTGACTCATCGTACGCACTGACTCATCGTACTCACTGACTCATCGTACTCACTGACTCATCGTACGCACTGACTCATCGTACGCACTGACTCATCGTACGCACTGACTCATCGTACGCACTGACTCATCGTACGCACTGACTCATCGTACGCACTGACTCATCGTACGCACTGACTCATCGTACGCACTGACTCATCGTACTGACTCATCGTACGCACTGACTCATCGTACGCACTGACTCATCGTACGCACTGACTCATCGTACGCACTGACTCATCGTACGCACTGACTCATCGTACGCACTGACTCATCGTACGTACTGAATGTCCGGAGTGATTCCCTCCAACAGAACGATGTTCACTCCTCCGATGTGAGCCGACGCACACGTCTCCGTCATCTTCTGGTGGAGAATATCTGCATCACAGAGAACGCCGTCAGAGCCGGCCAGCCAGCAGGGGGCGTCGTTCGCCGCCGCAGCAGCTCTCACCCTTCATCTTCTCCTTCAGCGTGAACGACCCATGGATCTTCTTAAGCTCCGCCTCCATGGTCAGGCCCCCGATGTCGGCCTCCAGGTGAGTGCGGTTCACCATGCCGATGCCGAACACGATCAGCGTGACGTGCTGCGGCTCGCCGCTCACCAGGCTGCGGCGCCGTGCGCCCGCCGCTGCGGGCGGCCGGCCGGGCGTCGCCGGCTCCAGCTGCTCATTCTCAAAGATGACCTTACAGAGCGACTCCGACGGGCACCGCCCGCTCTCTGCAGACAGGAAGTTCAGCCCGTCAGCCACTCAGAACCAGACAGGAAGTGGCTGGTTTTGGTCAGACACGTGACCGGAAGTAGTGATGCGCGCTGACCTGAGATGCAGTTCTCCGGCGAACTCTTCTCCAGGATGCCGGTCGGGTCGGAGATCAGGGAGTAGAAGTTGAGCAGCTTGTACATGTTCTGCCAGCACTCGGCCGACGGCTCGCTCTGCTCCGACACCGTGATGGAGTCCGAGTCGTCCATCTGGATCGGCATGTGGTCCGCCACGTCCCGGGAGCCCTTTCTGGACACCTGGGGGGCAGAACCAGAACCCGCCGTTACCCGGTACCAGAAGTTCCATCACAATGTTTCTGCTAAAACTGGGAGTCTGGAGTGGGCTGGTGGCGCCCTCTACAGGTTCAGGACAGACAATATTTCCAAAAGTGGCTTTTATTTCAGATTTCTGAGTTGGGGCCAGGTTAACGAAAACATAATGATCCATTTATAATGATGATCTGAGGCTGATCAGATTAAATATTTCCAATGTGCAAAACAGACACAGACAAGATGCTCAACATTCCTCACATATTCACTATTTCATTCTGCTCATAAAAACACTTTAATCTGCATATATAAGACATTTTAATGATTTTTATTGCTTTTCATTTACCTTAAAAGTAAAATTTATATATTTTTTGTACATTTTTGGCTTCATTATCACAAATGGCCTTTTTAGAGTTAGTTCTCTAGTTAATAATTAATCAATTATTTCAATAATAAATCAGAATTATGATTAATACACTTGAAGAATCAATTAATCATTCCAGCCCGTTTCCTGAATCTTAGCGCTCCCCTCCCCCGCCTGTTGCTACCTTGGAGGTGCGGCGCTCCGAGCGCCCCAGCGAGCTGCGTCCTCGGGGTTCCCGCCGCCCCAGCGTGTCGATGCTGGACGGCGGCCCGTTGGAGGGAAGCCCCGCCCCTCCTCTCTTGCTCTTCAGCGTCTGCGTGGCGCCGCGGCCCGCGCCGTTCAGGCTGCCGCGGGAGCTGCGGCTGAAGTCGGAGGACAGGATGTGGCGGTAGGGGCGGGCCCTGAAGGTGGGGGTGGGGGAGGTGGAGCCGGCGGTGTAGCGGCTCAGCTTGATGTCGGTCTGGGTGGCCTTGATGTCGTCGATCATGGTGCTGAACTGGTGGATGAGGCGAACCAGCGCCATGTCGACGCGCTGGCTGATGGCCTGGCAGGCCGTGGTGAAGTCGCAGTGGAAGGTGTTGTAGTGGCGGCGGTTCAGGTCGTGGAAGGAGAGCGGCACCCCCTGGGGGGCGCTGGCGGACTTCTCCATCACCACGGCGTTGACGCTGAAGGTCTCGATCAGCAGGGCGGGCTTGAACTCCAGCGGGGGAAGGTTGACGGTGCCCTGCCTGCAAACACAGAGGTCCAGAATCACCTGCCGGTTCTGATCCAATGACCGGACTTCCTACAGCAACTCGGATCACAGAGCAGCTCAGGAACCGCAGAAATGTTACAGGAAATGATCAAAGTAAGAAAATTTGTCTGCTTAAAGGGGGAGTACCATGAGTTTCATAGTTTAGGGCATGTTTTAATAACTGCGATGCCTTCAGTTATGAAAATGATGTAAATATCAAGTATGACAAAGTTTAAGTCATGAAATTGGGCCTCTGTCTCTTTAAGAACTGCAGCTGTTTCTGAAGCTCCTAGAGAAGTCATTCCAAAATGGCTTCTCTGTTAAGGAGTTGAGCAGATGTTTGCTAGTTGCTGCTGGCTAGTCTGAAGGAGCCATAATCATCACCATGAACAACCTAAACGTCTCAGAGTTAAATAAATCCAGATAAGCGATGGATGAGGGCCAGGTTTCTACCTCCTAGACTTTTTGTTTTTCCGCTCCTTGGTCGTATCAGAGTCCACGATGTCGGCTCGCAGACATTCCAGGTTGCCCGAAAACGACAAATGTTCTCCAAAGTACATCTTGTAGCTGAGAGGAGTGGCGTCTTGCGCCTGGATGCCAATGTAGCTCAGCAAGGGCTTGAAGACAACCTGAAGCAGGAGAAAACCAGGAGGATTTATTAGGCCAGTCTGCTCGTGTTTCAATGTAGCACTAGCTGGTGCATAGCCTGCTAGCCGCTGCAGATAGCGACGCGGACCTGCAGCCTTTAATCCGAGTTGATTCAGGTCGACATGACCAACCTGTTCCAATGCAGGATGAACAGGAATCTGTCACAAAAATGTGGTTAAAAATAACACTGAGGACATTTCCAATGTTTTGATCCATAAAATCTGTATCATATCTGGATAAAACGAATAAAAACTTTCTGTCAGGTTGATCCGTCACTGTTGGTGTATGCACCTACCCTTATTTTAGTGCAAACAGAACACGTTGAGCTGAGCTGCATCTACATGTTAAGGTTGTCATAGTCAAGTTAGCAGAGCTGACCTACTTTGTTTGTAATTAAAACATTTTCCTGACCCGCAAAATGTGAACATTTTCTCAAGATGTTGTAGTGTTAGTTATTAATAGTAAAACGTTGCGACAGTTTCCTGATTCTTTGCCTGATTGTATCGTCTTCCGAAAGCGATGCGTAGCTAAGACGCTAACGCCCACAATGCTAATGTCAAACCATGAATCCAGTCGGCTCACCTGAGCGTCGGCCAGCTGCACGGCGGCAGGACACTGGTTCCCTTCCTCCACGTCCACCAGGTCGTCCTGACTGGTGCTGTGCTGGGAGTGCGACCCATCCAGTGAGTTCTGGTCGCTGGACAGAACCGTGTTGAAGTCCGACGACGAGGGGATGGTGGGTAGGGTGCAGGTTCTGCCTGGCAGGACAATAAGAACCGGGTCAAAGGGAAGACTCGAGTCAGAACTGGACCCAGCCTCTATGCTAACAAACACCAAACTGAGCTTGTGGGCTGCTAGCCTCTATGCTAACAAACACCAAACTGAGCTTGTGGGCTGCTAGCCTCTATGCTAACAAACACCAAACTGAGCTTGTGGGCTGCTAGCCGCTATGCTAACAAACACCAAACTGAGCTTGTGGGCTGCTAGCCTCTATGCTAACAAACACCAAACTGAGCTTGTGGGCTGCTAGCCTCTATGCTAACAAACACCAAACTGAGCTTGTGGGCTGCTAGCCTCTATGCTAACAAACACCAAACTGAGCTTGTGGGCTGCTAGCCTCTATGCTAACAAACACCAAACTAAGCTTGTGGTATGCTAGCCTCTATGCTAACAAACAACAAACTGAGCTTGTGGGCTACTAGCCTCTATGCTAATAAAGACCAAACTGAGCTTGTGGGCTGCTAGCCTCTATGCCAATAAAGACCAAACTGAGCTTGTGGGCTGCTAGCCTCTATGCAAACAAACACCAAACTAAGCTTGTGGGCTGCTAGCCTCTATGCTAACAAACACCAAACTGAGCTTGTGGGCTGCTAGCCGCTATGCTAACAAACACCAAACTAAGCTTGTGGGCTGCTAGCCTCTATGCTAACAAACACCAAACTGAGCTTGTGGGCTGCTAGCCTAAATGCTAACAAACACCAAACTGAGCTTGTGGACTGCTAGCCTATATGCTAATAAAGACCAAACTGAGCTTGTGGGCTGCTAGCCTCTATGCTAACAAACACCAAACTGAGCTTGTGGGCTGCTAGCCGCTATGCTAACAAACACCAAACTAAGCCTGTGGGCTGCTAGCCTCTATGCTAACAAACACCAAACTGAGCTTGTGGGCTGCTAGCCTCTATGCTAACAAACACCAAACTGAGCTTGTGGGCTGCTAGCCTCTATGCTAATAAAGACCAAACTGAGCTTGTGGGCTGCTAGCCTCTATGCTAACAAACACCAAACTGAGCTTGTGGGCTGCTAGCCTCTATGCTAATAAAGACCAAACTGAGCTTGTGGGCTGCTAGCCTCTATGCTAACAAACACCAAACTGAGCTTGTGGGCTGCTAGCCTCTATGCTAACAAACACCAAACTGAGCTTGTGGGCTGCTAGCCTCTATGCTAACAAACACCAAACTGAGCTTGTGGGCTGCTAGCCTCTATGCTAATAAAGACCAAACTGAGCTTGTGGGCTGCTAGCCTCTATGCTAACAAACACCAAACTGAGCTTGTGGGCTGCTAGCCTCTATGCTAACAAACACCAAACTGAGCTTGTGGACTGCTAGCCTCTATGCTAATAAAGACCAAACTGAGCTTGTGGGCTGCTAGCCTCTATGCTAACAAACACCAAACTGAGCTTGTGGGCTGCTAGCCTCTATGCTAACAAACACCAAACTGAGCTTGTGGGCTGCTAGCCTCTATGCTAATAAAGACCAAACTGAGCTTGTGGGCTGCTAGCCTCTATGCTAACAAACACCAAACTGAGCTTGTGGGCTGCTAGCCTCTATGCTAACAAACACCAAACTGAGCTTGTGGGCTGCTAGCCTCTATGCTAACAAACACCAAACTGAGCTTGTGGGCTGCTAGCCTCTATGCTAATAAAGACCAAACTGAGCTTGTGGGCTGCTAGCCTCTATGCTAACAAACACCAAACTGAGCTTGTGGGCTGCTAGCCTCTATGCTAACAAACACCAAACTGAGCTTGTGGACTGCTAGCCTCTATGCTAATAAAGACCAAACTGAGCTTGTGGGCTGCTAGCCTCTATGCTAACAAACACCAAACTGAGCTTGTGGGCTGCTAGCCTCTATGCTAACAAACACCAAACTGAGCTTGTGGGCTGCTAGCCTCTATGCTAACAAACACCAAACTGAGCTTGTGGGCTGCTAGCCTCTATGCTAACAAACACCAAACTGAGCTTGTGGGCTGCTAGCCTCTATGCTAACAAACACCAAACTAAGCTTGTGGGCTGCTAGCCTCTATGCTAACAAACACCAAACTGAGCTTGTGGGCTGCTAGCCTCTATGCTAACAAACACCAAACTGAGCTTGCGGGCTGCTAGCCGCTATGCTGGAAGCAACAGGACGGTAGCTGAAGTCCAGAGAGTCTAGAGGCAGACATGGAGAGCCGAGAGCAGGTTCCGGAGTCCGGCCGGGTCCGGGCTGCCAGCAGTATCATAAGGTTCATGCAGCTGGAGCCCAGCGGGCCTCACCTGGCTGGGAGCGGCCGAGCGGCGAGTCCTGGGACGCGGCGCCTGCCCGGTTCCCCACGGCGTTGGACATCCAGTTGTAGAAGCTGACGGGAGACGGCTCGGACAGCAGCGGATGTTCGGTCAGCATCTCCGTCCCTGCAGGGCGGGCCGGGTCGGAACCAGGAGAACACAGAACACAGATTATGTTCTGGCTCATTAAAACCCATCTGCTCTGAACATCATGAACTCACATGTCTCTACGCCTTTTTTTATACAATGTTAGAAATATATTAAAGATGCAAACAAATGATTCAGTTCTTTCAAATGAGAAAATATACATTTGTGTCCTGAAATGCAGTAACAGAATTATTTTAATGAACTTTTGATCATTTGAAGCAGAGCTAAAAATAGAGTGAAGGTTCAGAGCTTTCTGCTGGTGGGAACACGGCTGACCTGGACATCAGTTATTGATTCATGATTAACTACAGGAGTTTGTCTTAACTCATCGAAACCAGGTGAATTAAAACTGTTTTCCGGTGAAACAGATTCAGAATGATTTTCTGTTTGAAAGTTTTTATTTCTTGTCCAGTTCGGCTTCGTTTCTGCTCTGCACTAACTGATTGAATGACTGATTAATTAGCGAGTCATCCCTAATTTCACCAAATTAAACCTGGAGTTTGCTTCTTCCCAAGGAGTGTTTATTGGTTTTACTGGTGAACTGGTTTTGGTGGGATTCCTTCGGCTCACCTGTGCGTGTGAGGGAGCTGCTCTTGGCGGCGGCCACGTCGCTCCGCTGCGGCGTTCCCTCCAGCAGGTTGTGCAGGCTGCGGAAGCTGCCGGTCAGGTTGCTCAGCAGGCTCTCCTTGCGCGGGCTGTCCCTGGCCGGCGGCCCGCCGCCGCGGCCCACGTGGGCCGGCGAGTCGGCCGCCGTGTCGCCGCTGGTGTAGCTCAGCGACTGGTAGGGATGCGAACCCTGGGTGTGACAAACGAGCAGAGCGCCGGGCGAGGTTACGACGGCCGGCGGGGCGTTTCATCACCATGACAACCAGAACCAGGACCGGAACCAGGACCGGAACCAGGACCGGAACCAGGACCGGCCTTAGAGGTAAACCTTGATGAGCCTCTCATTAAATCTGAGTCAGAGCTGGAAGCTGGAGCTAATATTTAGCTTCAGAATATTTAGCACTCAGCTTCACATAAATTAATCCTCCCTGAAGCTGGAGTGAAAGCCAGATGTGCAATAACAATACGATCCTATTGGTGGCGACAAATTGTGCTGCAATAATGGTCACATTTTAGCATTAGCTGGTATGGCGGTTTAGCAGAGCTAAAGATAGTGCAGCCAGCTAGCTCTGGGTTAGCACTGGCTTACCTTTATCCTGTGGGCAGACTCGTTGTGCGTGTGGGACTTGGACAGCTTTCTCATGATCTCGACGCCGCTGACCGGGCCGGTGCTGGCCTCCTTGGGCGGGGGGCGACTGCAGGCTCCTTCCAGCAGCATGGTGTGTTCACTCACTGTGGCTTCAACAGAGGGAGATCCGATCAAAGTCCCAGAAAGAAGCGATTCCTCTCCACACATCATCATCAACAAAGCAGCTTCACATGATCAGAACCAGCAGACCCTGGATTTGTACCTGCATTTATTCCTTTAGTTCTGGAAACAGAAACTAAACATTTCCAGACTGACAAGATGCTAAAATAGCAACCTTTTTCTGAACAGAGTCGTTTAAAGGGGCAGTGTCATGTTTTCCAGGCTCATGGAGCCATTTTAGAGAACAAAATGTTCTACAACGACCTTCTACTAACTACGCCCACCCAGGTGTTTAGCCCAGGTGACTGGCTGCCATGGAGACTAAAGGATTTCTCAAACATGAGAGAATCAAAGAAACACAGCAGGAAAAAACATGAAAAGGTCTGAATCTGGTGTGGATCGGACCGGATCCCCCGGCGGTCCTGGATCGGACCCGGTGCTTCCAAGTGGTCCCACCTGCGTCAAACTCGAACTCCGCTCCGTCGGCGCTGGTGTCGCTGTGCAGTGCGGCGCCGTTATCCAGCCCCAGGACCGGGTCGGGCTGGTTCTGCTGGGCCTCTCTGGGCTTGGCGATCTGGCTGGGACCCATCAGGCCGATGGCCTTAAAGCCCTGAGTCACAACGATGAACTTCATCCACTGCCGGGCCAGCGCCACCAGACCCTTCTTCAGCGTCACCAGGGCCGGAACACCGTCGTTCTGGAGAGAGACCAGTAAGACCAGTAAGACCAGCTGGCTCCCGGTCTGCTCCCGGTGGAACCAGTCTGCCCCTCACCATGGTGGCCTCTTCGATGACGGCGTAGTCGGCCTGCTGCAGGTAGCGGTGCAGGATGTTGCACAGCATGCAGGACGGGTTCTCGTGCAGGTAGCGGGCGCGCTTCGTCACCCGGTTGTACTTGCTGCGGATCGGGATGTGGATGCTCTTCTTCTGTTGCACCAACACAAAACACAAAAACACGGTAAATAAAACCGATTCCAACGATGAAACCGGATTCAGTCGTTAAACCGATCCGGCGCGTTACCTCCAGAGCCTCCGTCATGATGCAGCCCATGACGGCGCAGACGCGCAGCATTCCCTCCATGTCCAGCTTCCGTAGCGACGACTTGAGCTGGTCGATGGGGACGAGCCAGGCGCCGATGGCCGGGGTGGCGGTGCTGAGCAGGTTCAGCTGCCTGAACACAAAACGGGCAAAAAACAATCTGAGGAACGCGAGTTCTCTCTTAAGACTGACGACCACCAGGGGGCGCTACAGAGACAAAATATGGCAAGATATTTATGAATCTGACAAATTAATTTTTTCTTACATTATAAAATCTAATTTGTTTCTTACAATGCAATGACATATTAGGGCAAGGCAAAGAAAATAATTACATTACGAGAATATTATGAAAAAAATAATCCCAGTCAAATTAAAAAGCTGTAATTTATAGACCATAAACTCATGATTTTCAGAGAACAAAGTCAAAACCATGTGAGAAAGTTGTTACAATTTTACCAGCATAAAGTCGCAATAAAGCCGCACTAGCCTAGCTTAGCCTAGCAGTTAACCTAGCAGTTAGCCTAGCAGTTAGCCTAGTTATTCTGGATTTCTGAGCTATTATTTTAATGATCCTGCTTTAGCCTAGCCTAGCATCAGCAGTCATTCTGACTGGAGGTTTGAGCTGCACAGCCAGTGGGGCGTCCCACCTGGACATGGTCTGGGACGCTGAGCGGACGTTGGTGGGAGCAGCGAAGCTGAACCAGATCTCCCTGATGGTTAGCTTCATGCTGCTGGAGTCGGGCGGCGGCGGCATCAGGGGCAGATCTTTCTTCAGGTCGTCAGACTCCACGCCTTCATCCTGCATGACGGGAAGCATTCAGGTAAAAATGGATTCCACTCAAACGCTTCCGTTTTAGTTTCATCTCTATGCCATCTGCACCTTTAGATTAATGCTATTATCAGATTAGTATCCAATAATAATAGTATTATTATTAGTTAGAACAAGAAAACTCGGAATGTGTTGGTATTTATAGTTTTTTTTAAACAAAAACCAGACTACCCAACCCCTCACCATGTTACCAGTTCCCCAGTAAACCTGCTCAGCCCGCTTGTCGGGCGCCAAGTTTGTTGTGTTCTAAAAGAGAAAATTCAATAAAATATATTGGAAAAAGAAAAATCTGCTCAGCTGGTGGAAAGAGCAACAGATGTTGCAATCTGGCTTAAAGTAAAGAAAAAAGTATTTAAGCAGTTTTTTATTTTTAATTATTATTGTATTATTTCCTAAAAACATAAACAAGCAACGCTTATCCTGGCGGGGGGCTAGTAAAGCATGGCGGTCTGCCAGGCTTATAAAACACTGGGGGAAACCCTGAGTATCATGTTTGCTCTTCAGTCCATTTTCTGTTTCTCTTTTACATTTTCCTTACGTTTTATGCTCATCTCAGCGCTTCAACGTAAACTTTACAACTACACATGTATAATTTAGGTTTAGCACTAGTGGCCTTTCTTGGAAAGTAGTATGACAGGAAACCGCACATGAGAAGGGAAAAACATGCAGCAAATGTCACCAGGCCGGGAATCGAACCTGCTCGATTCATTTATTCTTTATTTTCAACCAAATTATCCATAATTTTCATGTTTCCGATACAAAAAGAAGCTTGAAATTCTAAATTTTATCATTTCTGCCAGTGACTGAGATTACAAATCAGATCTGAGTTCATCAGAATTAAATTATTCTGCACCAGGTGAGCAGGAACGAGTCGTCCTGACCTGCTCGTCCGAGTCAGAGTTGTCGTTGGCGTCGGAGTTGGGGCTGATGACGTCGTTGGGCAGGTTGTCGTCGGAAACATCCGTGCTGTAGCCGCTTCCGGTCTGGGATCCTGTGGAGCCGTTGGACTTGCCGGTCCCGGTCTTCCCGTCCGAGTGACCCATGACGCCAAAGGCGTTGTAGAGGACGGCACCGGACTGACGGCCGCCTGGAAGCAGACCGGAGACATGAGCCTCCCGTCCTCCGGGGGGTGCTGTGGGGAGCGGCGGCGTTACCTTTGACAGTGAGGTTCTCGATGCCGCATTCGAACATGATCCAGCCCCATTTCTCCAGCGAGGCGGCGGTGCGAGTCGGGTCGCTCGCTGTCGTCTGGCCGTCCGTCTCGTCCACCAGGGAGAACTCGTCCAGGTCCTCCAGGCCGAACAGAACCTTGGACTTCTCGAACGGGATGGCGGTGATGGCGAACGTCCCCACGTCTGAAGAGGACACGGCAGGGTCAGAGGGCGCGGTTACAGTGGGGGGCCGGGCCGGACCGTGGAACCGACCTGTGGAGTCCAGTCCGCGCAGCTGGCTGTGGATCCGGTGGACGTTCAGCCTGGCGGCGATCTCTTTGCCCTTCTCGATGCCGGCGTTGGAGCGCAGCGACCCGGACGACTGCGGCTGCATCTTGGTGGCCGACGCGTACTTCTCCAACATGACGGATGGTCGGCCATGTTCGGTGGCATTCGGCGTCTCCTCAACGATCCCCCTGACGGAACAGAGGCAACCGGTTCCACTGGGAGGCTAGCTTAGCAGCTGACAAGGTCAAGATGGCCACCAGCTTGAAAAATCTATTTTTGAATCAAATTTATCACAGATGAATGTTGTTGGTGTCAAGTCAGAAATAACTGGTGCCATAGAAATCCTATTTAATGATAATTCTTAGATTTTTTAAGATGGCCACCACAGTAGCTTCACCATCCAGTCATTCACTGAACAAATTCTTAGCTCTGCTAACGCTAACCCACCAACCACTAAACCACCCGTTAACCTTAATGTTAACACATTAATTAATGCATTAAGGTCAACAGAAGCTAACATTAAACTTCTTGGCACATAAAACAAATTAGCAGATGCTAACACTAAAAAGTCAAACAAAAAATTTTGCAGTAGCTGGTGTGAAAATGCAAATTACATTAAAACAATTTTGCAAGTTAACGCAAGATATTCAAATAAAATATTAGCTGAAACTACTGCTGAACTGCTAAATACATTTAAAAATGTTGCTAATGCTAAAAAAAAACTACCTGGAGCTAACATTAAACCCAAAACACAGAGAAAATAATAAGAAGCTAAAGCTAAACCACCAAAGTCAGACTGGTTCCACTGTTAGCATTAACAGAAGCTAATGCTAACAGTTAACTGTTGTATTCTGCTACATTTTATCACTTGAAAGTTGTATAAATTTAACGACCAAACTGAAAAACATTTGATATTTGATGAGAAGGAATATTTCATCACAATAAGAGTAAAACGTGGCAGCCATCTTGAATAACGGCCGTCATTATTTTCAGTGGCTGATCTGAGAGGTTAGCATGTTAATGCTAATGTTGGGTTTTTACAGTGATGAGCGTCGCCGTGGTAACCTGCGGGCGGCTCACCGGTTCATCCTGAACTGGGTGGCGATCCGGTCGAAGCACAGCGCCACCAGAGACACGTGGGGGACGCATTTAGCGGACGGGGAGCCTTCCTCTACGGAGGCCTGCAGGAGGCAAAGGTTCACCTGCACAGACATAGATACACACCATCACCAGACACTTCCTGGGCACGTCACCTTCCGGGTCAAAGGTCAGACCTTTGGGATGGAGACGTTGGCCTGGAGCCCCTTTATCTTGACGTTGTCGGGTTTGACGGACAGCTCTGTCTGTCCGCTGGAGGTCAGGGTGGCGGCGTCCGGCTTGGACGGCTTCTGCTCCGGCTTCTGCTCCGGCTTGGTCGTCTGACTCTGTGGACGCACAGCGTCAGTCGCCGACAGGTAACCGGCTCACCTGTAGAACCGGGCGGATGGATACGCACCGACTCGGCCACCGTCGACTTGCTGATCTGATACGCCTCGCTCAGCACTTTACCGTGCAAGTCGTCCAAGATGGCCGCCGGGTGCCGGATGCTGGCGAAGTGGACCATGGACTCTATGTATCTGAGACAGACGCAGCAGAAAACCATGTGATCGGGCCGGTCCCGGTCCAAACGGAACCGAACCGTCAGCCGGTCGCTACCTGTCCAGGGACTCGGCCACCAGCGGCGTCAGAACCACGTTGACGGCGCCTTTCACCTCCACGATGGCCGTGGTTCTGGTCTGAGCCAGCGGCTGCTCCAGCGACCAGTCGTCCGTCGTCGTGTCCTCGTCCGTGTTCTCCATGGCTCGTTTATCCAGCGGCGTGTACGGCGTGCTGCGGGGCAACAAGCGCACCAGGGGTCAGAGGTCAGGGTCGGCATCTGGAGGGTTGATCAGCAGATCATCCTGCTCCATTTCCTGTACCTGGTGTTGTCGCCCATCAGCTGGAGCCCGCGGTCCAGCAGGGAGGTGGCCGACAGGCCCGGTTTGATCACCTGGAGAACAGAATCTCGTCTTAGTCCAGAACCAGATCAGGAAGGTTCTACAGAGCGCCACAAGCTCCAGAGTGTCCCTGCTGTGTTTGCTGCATTCCCAGCCTAAACGGGTCTGCAGAACCAACCGAACCAGACTGGACTTAAATGGGTCTCTAGCAAGGTTCTGAAACCATGAGAACCAGGCATCCTGGAGCAGAACTTTTTTAAAAGCATCTGGAGTCGGAGCAACAGAACCAGAGCAGACCAGGCAGGTTCCGACCCAGTGAACAGCAGGAACCCGTCCAGAACAGAGGAAGTCGGACCTTGAAGCCAGGCACGGCCAGCTGGTCAAAGGAGGCGGAGCTTTCCTCGCTGGTGGGCGTGTCCAGGTCCAGCGGCCGATGCAGAGACGACTTGGAGGTTCTCTTGTTGGTCGGCTGCTTGACGGACCAGTTGGACACCTGCAGAGAGAGCCGCGTCATTCAGAGCCCAGAGGAAGAGCGGGGCGGGTCGGGCCGGGCGGTACCTGGTAGTGGGCCAGGTAGTTCTGGTAGCAGGCCATGACGTGAGGCTGCCGGGTCACCGGGCCGGGCTCGGCCGTCTTCTCCGCCTCCACAGAACTCTCCTCCTCCATGGCCAGCGCCGACACAAAGGAGGCCTGGGACGGGTGGGCGGCCAGCGGCTGGGCCGGCGGCTGGGCCGGCGGCGGGCGGGGCTCCGTGATCAGCTCCCCGTTCAGGACGTAGGTCAGAGGCCCCTCCACACTGTGGTAGATGGAGCTGCGACTGGGGGTCAGAGGTCAACACATCGTGACCTCCGGTGCAAACAGACTGGAGCAAACACGTGAAAGAACGGCAAAAGATGCTGCAGCCATGTTTTGCTGCTGGTTTGTGTTTTTGAACTTTTGTTTATTTCTCCCTTTGCAGCCAGACAGCAAAATCAGTCTATGTGGCAATAATAATATTTCTTTCACTGTTAGCTTGTTATCTTTTAGCAAACATTACAGAGCTTTACTCAACTCAGTCGCTTAGTTTGGGAAAAACTGCAAAGTTCTTTGCATTTTGCTGACTTGATTCTAACACACCTGAGGAGCAGCAGGTCTCCTTCGATGCTGCTCAGGTGTAAACACAGCTAGCGTCTTAGCGCTCATGGTGCGTTTAAAGGTGGTCGGAAACAACGGATTAAATCATTTTAATCCGTTGCTGAGAGTGACAGAAGGCACCAATATGGGAAGTGCGGAAGCTGCTACTGAAACAAACTGAGAGAGGAATAACGGAGCGTCGGCCTCTTTACAGTCCAGGGGAACAGCTGACTCTGTGGGGGGGAACGCCCCCCAGAACCCCCAGCGCTGCCAGGCCGGGGGAACAGCTGACCTTCAGCCATTAATCTATACTGTGTGGTGCGGAGATGCTGATTGACTTCATTCTGTCTGTCCTGAAAGCGTCTGGCTGAGGCGGCTGGAAGAGGCAGAGCGTCTGATTGGCTGATGGAGTGAGACAGGAAGCATGAGATTAAAGATGGCGGTGCTGGCCGCCCGTGTTCCGTCAGAAGCTGCTCAGCTTTAACATTAAATCAGAGTTAAATGATTCATTCGTCCGTCCTTACAGGAGCAGAGCCGCTCAATCTATCTGATCTACTGCGACCTCTGACCTCACCTGTAGCTCTCCATGTGGTACGGCGGCTGCTGCGGCTGCTGCATCTGCTGCCGTCTCTTCTTCTTGCGGCCCGGGTACGTGCCGGGTCCCTCGTCGGCGCTGCTGATGGGCTCAAAGTCCTCGGTGGCGGAGAAATAGGCCTCGCTCTCGGCCACCGACATGCTGGAGTCGGCCGAGCGGTACTGGTGGAAGGTGCTGGAGTCGGCCGACGGCGTGAAGGGGAAGGAGCCGTAGCTGCGCCGCTGTCGGGGCGAGTCCAGGACGTTCTCGTCGCTACGCGAGACCTCGCTGCTGAATTGGACGCCTCCGGCGCCGACAGAGGCCGCCACGGCCGGCGGCTTGTCGGCGAACACGGCGGCCGACAGGCTCTTGGTGCTGCCCAGCCGACCCGAATGGACAGAAGACTGGCGGCGCAGCGGCGAGCAGAGCGGCGAGCGCACTGCGACGCGGTCCTGGGAACCGGGGGACAGAGGAGACGCCTCGGGGACGTCGCCCAGCGCGCTGCGGAGACACAGGACAACAGAGAGATTACACCGGATTATAATCTGATACAACCAGAGTAAACCAGGACAAACTGGAAACGGCAGTATTATCACACATCACTTCTGGGAGGACTCATCCTCCAGAAAACACGTTACCAGGACCACCGCAGGGACAAATGATGAACGAGATGGGAAATGTTAGTTTGCTCTCTAAGTTAGGAACTGTATGTAAAAATTATGGAGATAAATGATAATATTGAGGTTTTGAGAGTTTGATGTCATCTGAACTCGCGACACTGAAACCAGCAGATATTTTAAACATCCAGAATAACAACTGGAAGCAATAAGAAGGAAATATAAAACCATAACAAAATTATAATGTGTCTGCAAACAAAATCTTAATCATCATTAATTAGTTAATTACTTGTTGACACAGGTTTATGTAGGGCAGCTAATTTGGGATTAGAAGACTGGGATTTTCTTTAATATTCCCACATGTTCCAGTCTGATGAAGATGAATCTCAAATGTTTCTGGAGGACAAAAGAGCACGTCTGACAGCCTGGGAACATGGTATGGTGGTGGCAGCATCATGCTGAGTGAACTGCAGCGAAGCCAAAACATCCGACACAAAACTTCACATTAGAAAATATATTGATGAGACTAAAATCCATAAATGATAATCTGACATTTAGTAAAAAGAAAACTCTGTTAATTAAAGGGTGTGTGTGTCTCTGTCCCCGTGTGTCTCTGTGTGTGTGGAACTCACTCGGTGTGGGTTCTGGCGCTGAGTGGGAAGCGGCGCTCCTCGACACTAGGAGACGGTGAGTCTCTCTCTCCCGCCAGTAGGGGCAGCGCTGCGCTCGAGGAGCTGTTCTCCTCGGATGAGGAGGCGGAGCTATGGGAGCGTTGAGGCACCTGGAGGCTCAGGTGCTGCTGGCCACGTCTCTCTGGCACCTCTGGTGGCAGGCAGGGGGAGTGCGTGTCTCGCTTCAGCCCGACCACTTTACCTGAGGAAACCAGAGAAACTCAGAAACTGAGCCTGAAGCAGAACGAAATGATGCTGCAGCAGCATCACACAGAGACACACAGAGACACACAGAGACACACACAGACACACACAGAGACACACGGAGACACACAGAGACACACAGAGACACACACAGAGACACACACGGAGACACACAGAGACACACAGAGACACACACACACAGAGAGACACACAGACACAGAGACACACACAGAGACACACAGAGACACACACACACAGAGAGACACACAGACACAGACACAGAGACACAGACACAGAGACACAGACACAGAGACACACAGAGACACCATGTTTAGGTTTAATTACATCACATCCACCAATCAGGGAAAAATATGAACTTTTTTCCTGCCTGATGATGAAATGTTCCCAGAATCATTCATAAGCATGAATTAGGATTCAAGACACTTGTGAATGATTAGAACATTTTTTTTGTTCAAAGTAAAAATAAATAAAATATATAATTAAAACTAAAAAAAATATTAAAAGAAATTGAAACATGTACTAAAATAAAACTGCGATATAAACATTAATCAAATAGTTTTAAAACTTCAAAATTTATACAAATAATTCTAACATTTAAAATCTAAAATAAAATAAAATTGTCCAAACTGATAATATTATGACAATTAAAAAACACAGAAGACATTTGAAAAGGGAAGAATAAAAATAAATTCAAAAAGATAAAAAATTAAAAGAAATTTTACAAAAATTCAAAATATAATAATTAAAAGAATAAAAATAAATAAAAAGTAGAAGACACCGATTCGTCGGCGCTGCGTCAAGCCTCAGACCGAACCCCGCGTCGGAGCGCGTTGCTTTCAGGAAGTCACGTGACCGATACAGGAAGTGTTTGGAAATGACACTGAGGCGCCAAACTGTGTTTATAAGGAAGCAAATCTGTAACGGGATGCATTTGCCAAAAGGATTCTTGATCTTTTACAGGGTCGATATGGAGCCTGAAGCCAAACGAAAGGTTTGGTTGTTTGGGGCCATTTTGATCCACATCAGAAAATAAGCTCTTGGTTTTCACTTGGTTGTTGTTTCGTCCGGTCCTTTCCAGTTTCTACTGGATCTATCTGAATCCTAATTCAGCTGAAATTGATTCTTAGTTTATATTCATATCATGTCCTGCAGGTTAAAGAAACGTAATAAATCCACCTGCTCAGTGCTGAGGCATCATAGGGCATCAGGATGAATCCCAGATACACCTGGATAAACTCAGCCATTCTACTAATTACTGTTGCTTTTTAGAAATGATTTCATATAATCATTGACCCGTCACTAATACAAAGCATCAATCAGAAGCTGGAATTAGTTAATATTGGAACCTTTTCTCCACAAAGATCAAGAACTAAAATAAAAATACAAATATTTACCATAATAACAGACAGAGCGGATTCTTACTCACTCTTGGATTATTAAAAAACCTCGCCTTTGTGCACCACGGCTCCCAGTCGATAGCGTAGCATTAGCATGCTCAGCTACTCACCGTCCACTTTGGGCGTCTCCTTGGTGACGATCCACTCGCTGGGCTGCAGCAGCGACTGACCGTAGCTCATGTCGGACTCGGCGCTGGAGGAGGAGAAGGCGGAGGAGGACGACGGCGTCAGCTCCTCCAGCCTGAAGAAGTCCAGACCCATGTTGGTTCCTCCGAAGAACCTGCAGCCGCCAAGGCAGCCGCAGCGGTTCCGGCTGCGCTTACTGCGCAGGCTGGCGTCATCGGGCCACAGAAACCAGAGCCTGGAGGAGATGGAGAGGAGCGGCTCCGTCTAAACACAGAACTGTTCCTACAGCCGACAGGGAGCACTTTCTACTCCCGGGAAGATTCAAACTTTCTATTCCCTTCAGGACAGTTAGCTTAGCATCATGGTTCTAAATTCAACAGGACTGTGTTTGCTAGGCTAGCAGTTAGCTTAGCATAGTGTTTTTATATTCAACAGGACTGTGTTCGCTAGGCTAGCAATTAGCTTAGCATAATGGTTTTATATTCAACAGGACTGTGTTTACCAGGGTAGCAGTTAGCTTAGCATCATAGTTCTAAATTCAACAGGACTGTGTTTGCTAGGCTAGCAATTAGCTTAGCATAATGGTTTTATATTCAACAGGACTGTGTTTGCTAGGCTAGCAATTAGCTTAGCATAATGGTTTTATATTCAACAGGACTGTGTTTACCAGGGTAGCAGTTAGCTTAGCATCATGTTTCTAAATTCAACAGGACTGTGTTTGTTAGGCTAACATTTAGCTTAGCATCATGGTTCTAAATTCAACAGGACTGTGTTTGCTAGGCTAGCAGTTAGCTTAGCATAATGGTTTTATATTCAACAGGACTGTGTTTGCTAGGCTAGCAGTTAGCTTAGCATAATGATTTTATATTCAGCAGGACTTTGTTTGCTAGGCTAGCATTTAGCTTAGTATCATGGTTCTAAATTCAACAGGACTGTGTTTGCTAGGCTAACATTTAGCTTAGCATCATGGTTCTAAATTCAAAAGGACTGTGTTTGTTAGGCTAACATTTAGCTTAGCATCATGGTTCTAAATTCAGCAGGACTGTGTTCGCTAGGCTAGCAATTAGCTTAGCATAGTGTTATTATATTCAACAGGACTGTGTTTGCCAGGCTAGCAGTTAGCCTGGTATATCGGAGGGCAGCAACAGAAGATGGTTCAGTCTGAAACAGGAAGTCGGCTGCTGACCTTCTGGTCTGCGCGTCGTGCAGTTCCAGGAAGTGTCTCTGGACGTCACACTTGGCCGGGTGGTCGGCTGCCAGCGCGATGTCTGCCGTGATGAGGTTGAGGTTGACCGAGCCCGCCTCAAGCCAGACGGAGCGGCGCAGCAGGGGAGGCTGCCCCTGACCCGGCTGCTGTTGCTCGATGTACTGCCGCATGTTGACGTCCTGCACCACGGCGCTGATGCCCTCTCCCACCGCCTGGTTGTGCAAGTTGCAGGTGGCGACCCGGACGGCGGCCGTCTGGAGAAAGGAGAGTTGGAGTGAATTCGGCGGAGGCGAAGCGCCGACCGTGGCGCCCCAGGCGCTCGTTACCTTGACGCTGGCGGCGCAGCCGTGCTCCACGACGAAGAGGTCGACTCCGTCCAGTGCCAGACGTGTCATGGTGTACTTCAGCTCCTCGGAGGTGCGGCAGTGGCCGGGCAGGCGGACCAACTGAAACACCGACAGCTTCGGGTCAGTCATCACACTAACGAGGCGCCCGCTTTTAAAAATATCCCTGTTCTCATCGGCTGTTGGCATGGAAACTCAGAGATATGCTTCTGCCCCAACCATCAGCTAATCACAACAAGAACCGTCAGAGTTGAAGGGAAAGCTTAGCAGAGAGGTGCAGAGCTCTGAAAAGACAGTACACTCTCCTTCAAAGCCAAAAGCCCAGCAGTCTGTGCACTGATTTCATGCTTCATTTAGCAATGTGGATAACTTTGAAAACATTTAGCGCAGTTAGCTTTCCCTAAATTTGTTTTCCCACATAATTTTAATCACTAATTTCTGAACAAAGTTATCAACCATTAATAAGGAGTTTGCCATTTATATTCATGTTCTTATTTTGAAGTGTTTAAAAACTGTCTTCAAAGCCTTTCCTAAAAGTGTTGGAATAGCATCGTAACATTAGCTCCAGCTCGAAACCGCATTGCTATAGTGCTTTAGCTTCCACCAGCTACCATGTTGGTACAGCACACTGCTGTTAGCACTTGCTAATTATAATGGTAATGGCACTTTAGCATTAGCTGCTTAAATATGTTGCATCAGTGTTAGCTTCAGCTAAATACCAAGTTGGTTCCAGTTTAGTTAGCTGTGCCACCACTGCAAACCATCCTTTATTGAACAGATGAAAAACTAAGTACATCCCTGACGTCCGGTCATTTCCATTAGCATGCCATCATATTGTGCAATCACAGAACGCCAACGTATGGCTAGCATGAGTCCATTTGGACGTAGCAGTCCGACAGATTCATTATGTTCCAGAAATATTGTGGACTCTTCAGGCAATCATATTAGAGGGGTGTACTTTCTTTCTGTACCTTGTCAGCACAGATGCGTCGGTCCACGCCGTGCTGGCAGGTGATGGAGGGTTTGGGTTGCTCCAGCTGGAACTCTCTGGAAACCACGTGGAAAACGAACGTCTCTGCCCACTCAACCATGCTAGCCAGCTAACAGGGACAAAGCCAGAGACGTTAGCGCTCACTGCTAACCATTTCACAGAATAATAAAGAAAATCACAAGAAATCCAGTTCTGAATGTGGGAAACTGATTCTTAGCCGCCCACCTGAGGAACCGTGACCCTGCCGGTCAGCGCCCCGGCCTGCATGTCAATGAGCCACGCGTACTCCAGGGTGTCACTGCCCAGAGGGAGGCCCTGAGCCGAAAACATGGCGTGCGCCCTCATCTGCAGCCCGGACAGACTCAGGTGTCCGTCTCTCAGCACGCCGTCCGCCGTGGGACGCTGAGGAGGAACCAGCAGCCAGCCGTCACTTTCAGAGCCCCGAAGGAGAGTCACGTCCTCCTCCACAGACGGTTCTCACATCACACTGATCAAACCTCAGAGGACACGTCTGCAAACGCCAGAACCTCTGGCCCAAATCTGTCTGAAAACTAACGTTTTAATGGCTTCTTCCTCTCTGAGCGGCCTTCCAGCCCAGATTGGCACAGTCAGAATTACACTAGAAAAAAGTTGTAGCATACTAGGATAAAGACAAAGTTACCACAGAATGAGGGTGTAAAGTTACTCAGATAAGCTTGGAATGATTTGAGTATAAAGTTGGAAGTGAAGTTTCAGTTCGTCCGGTTTGTTCTTCCCTCCTGATGCGAAAGCGGCGGACGAGTACCTGGTAGTTGTCGCTGACGAAGATGTGAATGGGCGACAGGATCATCTGCAGCATGGTCTCCTTGTAGCCTTTCTTCATCTCGAAGCAGAGGCGCTCCAGGAAGCCGGACGGGCCTTCTGGACCTTCACTGCTGCAGTGCTGCAGGAGCGAACCGGGTTACTCTCAGAACCGACCACAGCATCAACACAGTCCGATTTGACATGGCTGATAAGCTCATCACAAAACAAGCGAGTCATTTCAGTCGATGGTTGTTGATGGATTGATTTTTAGTTGTATATCCTCATGTCTCTGCTTCGTGTTTTTACTGTTCAGCAGTTATGAGGCAAAGAACTGAAACCCGAAACTGCTGCAAGTTACTCAGCAGGCTGTTGCTAGGCAATCACAGCGTGAGAGTTGATGCTACCCAGCTAGCTTAGCTCACTGTGAGCGACTAAAGCCTTTCCTTTCCCAGAATGCTGTGCAATTCTGGATCCGAGTTCAGTTACATTACTGAATATTTCATCACAAATATACATCCTGCATTTTGATCCCATGTCCCAACCGGACAGAACCATGCGACCCGGCTCACCACTGGCAGCCGGCCGTGGACCTTGTAGAGGTTGATCAGTACGGTGATGTCCCAGGGCCGCAGGTCCAGGGGATGGCCGTGATCGCCTTCCTCCACGCCAGGAGACGAAGAGTAGCCGAGGCCCGACGAGGTGGCCGAGGACGGCACCGGGCTGGACACGGCCTCCTCAAAGTCTGTGTACATGTCGTCCTCCCCGAAGTAGTTCTCCTGGAGGGGGGAGGGAGAGTTCAGAGGTCAGATCTGAGAGGAAGCCGAGGCGTACAGGTGACCCCAGCCACAGACCTTGATGGCGATGAGGGCACGCAGCAAAGGCCCGTACAGGAGGATCTGGGAGTCTGGAAACATTTCCATTTCCACCTGCAGCCGGTCGGGCGGCAGGTCCGACGGGTCGGCGGGGAGCCGCGCGGCCGGGGCGGCGCCACAGGGGAAACGTGGCGCCGCGCCCTGGTCAGGGGGGCGGATTGCCGACAGCATGGACTCTTCTATCTCTGAGACTACGCAGTGAGGAAGAGGAGGAAGGTCAACAGACAGCAGAAGAGCCAGAACCAGAGCCAGAACCAGAGCCAGAACCTACACGACTGCTTGAGCTGCTCGTCCGCCTTCTGGGGGTAGATGGGATGCCAGGTGTAGTCAATGATGAGCAGGAAGTTTGGGACGCTCCAGCAGTCCACCCAGCCGGCCCTGCGCCGTGGCAACAGTTACATTCAGGCTCCACACAACGAGCTATGAGCTAATGCTATGCTAATGCTATGCTAACGTCATGCTAAAGCTATGCTAATCCCGTGGCAACAGAGCGCTGACTCTAAACGCAGGCGCTCCACTAAACTAAAGTCAGAACAAAAAAAATAGGAGACATTTTAATACCTCAGTAAAGTTGAATTAATGAGAATGAAGCTGCAAAATTACAAGAATGAAGTTATAATATTTGAAGAAATGTAAGTTGTTTTTAGAAGTCAAATGTTTTGTGAAGCTGCACTTTGACATTTGCTTTACTAATAGAAAATACTTTTAACACATCAGCATCAAATTATCAGCAGCGTTTGAATCAATCGATCGATGATTGAGTCTGTTATGAAGAACAAACTGAGCTGCTCACGTCTTAATGGGATGGAAACTCAAATCTAAACAACTAATTTCTCTAAAATTTACAAACTTTTTCCTGGTAATTTTGTGACGTTCAGTCTGGTCCAAAAGCTGAGCTAAAGGTAACAAATCAAATGTTTCTGTTTCCTGATGAAGATGACTGATTTATGCAGGGAAAGAAGAAGTTTCACTGGACCAGAAACGGCCCAACATGTCAGCCATGTTCAGCTGCTGAGAGCTCAGCCGTCAGGTCGCAAACAGCCGACCTTTGCACTGACGACAAGAAACGAGGCAATTGGTTTAGCAGCTACTGACCTGAGGGTCACCGGGTCACCTGACCAGATTCCACAGACCGCTGGGATTAATCTGCAGATTAATCTGACGTTTTACCCAGCTGATTATTCACGCTGCGCCTCTGGTTTAACACGTCAACGTTCAACACAAAATCAGCAATTACATGACAGAAATCTGACCAACATGAATGATACTTTACAATATCCATGACTCATCAAAATGAGGTTTTAGATATCTGAGTAAGAAAGTCTGCCTGGTGCTGCCACTTTTTAAAATATTTGACAAGAATAAGATAATAATGGCAATAAAGTGTTAATAATGCTGGGACAAAGTGCAGACAGTCGCCTGTGGAGTTTTAAGTGGCTGTTTTGTCATAAATGTGAATATCAACAAATATTTAATTGATCTTTGATTATTTTTCAGATTCAAGAAATTACAACTGCATCTTCACTAGTTCAAGCGTTTACATTTTACCTGGAGACACTTTAATTAAAGTATTGATCGAATGGTGACTTACCGGCTCGTTATAATTTCATTGGTTTTCAGTAATTTATTGCAGATGTTTTGAGTTAAAGCTTCCTTAGATGAACTGAAGCAGTCAGATATCTGACCATTTCATGTTTCTGCTGGGAAGCCAAAACATTATGTTCTGCATTTTGTTTTGAATGTATCCATTCCTTGTTTGTTTGTGTTTGTTGCTGTAATTTGTTCTATTATTTGGTTAATTATATTGCACATCAACACCATTCCTGCTATGTCAGTCTGTAATGTTTGTTGGAAGGAATGCAGGGAAGGAATGAAGAAATGTTACTGGTTTAATCCATCTTTTCTAGAACAATTCGACCCACCCTAAAGAAAGTCTGCGCTTCTGAACTGAGCCCCAAAAAAAAAAAAGATGAATTTTCATTCTCTCCTCCAAATCCGCCTTTTTAAAATTTTTTAATATTGAATAATAATAACAATAATAAAAGATATTTGTCACAGTGGGATTAAATGCTAAGCTGGCCTGCCATACTGGCTGTCCCAGCATGCCTCACTCTGCCTTGGTGATGTTCCTCCAGCGCGGCTTGCTGGTTTTGGAGGACGGGACTGCCTGGCCGTCTCCGGACGCCGCCCCGTCGCCGGGCCGCTTGACGCTCTGGTAGTCCTTGGCCAGGGTGAGCAGCGGGTAGCGGCTGGGGTGGCACTCCGGCAGCGACAGCCGCATGTCGGTGTCTTCAGCCTGCGGGAGAGACGCGGCGGCGCCGGCCTTGTTCAGAGCTGGACGGATCAGAGCACAACCAGAGGCAGCAGGCGGACTCACCCTCAGGCTGAAGCGGGTGTGGCAGGTGGCGGGGACGAACTCGTTGAAAGGAAGCGTGAAGTCGATGTTGAGCGTCTCGCCGCAGGCCGCCAGGTACACTGCAGATCGATAACGCAATCAATTAGCTGATCGATCGGCTAACCCCACTGGCAAAACCTGAACATCACTCCGCCATCAATCAGCATGTGAAGCCTTTAACTACAGAAACTTATCACAGCTGAAGCTGCTGGAACCAGAAGTTTACATACACCACAGAGATTCTCTGAAGCTGAATCTGATTTTGTTAAATAATAATACTTTAACTTCCTGCCGATGTCTGTCCAGGTGATGAGAGCTGCTGAAGAACGGAAACGTTTCGTGCAGAGCGGCTTGCTCACCGTTCTCCTGCTGCTTGGTGGAGCAGTCGATCCAGTTGTGCTGGTTCGCTGCCCAAATCATCTCAAACTGGTGGAATAAGATCTTAAACTTCCAGGAATACGGCACAAAGGAGTAGATATCCGGCGCGCTGTCGCTCGCCCAATCCTTGATCAGATCTGAGAGGAGAGAAACAGTCTCTAAGGACCGGGTGGGTTCAGCCATGGTGCAGAAACATGATCCAGCGCTGCTGCTGCTGACCTGTGAAGAAGTTCTTCTGGGCGTAGATGAAGTGGTATGTGGCCTTGTACACTTCGATCTCGCACTGCCACGACTGGGGCATGTTCCACACACAGGGGTAACTGGCGATCACGTGGAACTGCAACACAAAGCTCAGGTCAGCGGGATGGGGACGGGGCGGCCGGCGTGCGACGGGGCGGCCGGCGTGCGACGGGGCGGCCGGCGTGCAACGGGGCGGGCAGCCACTTACCGCCAGCATCTCAGCCTCCAGCAGCGTCCGGTACTGCATGCTGCTGGTGGTGTCCACGTGCAGCAGCTGGCCTTTGATGTTGGGGGAGTAGCCTGAGGGAGACAAGAAGGACAAAAGTCCTCATCGTCAGCCTGATGAAGCTAACTCAGTTTGATTGACCTTTGAGAGTTGGACCTCAACATGATCTGTGGCATAAAGTCCCAGCTGGCAGCCTATCGACCAACTCTCTGCTTGTGCTTTGACAGCCGATGGCGACAACAAAACACACTTCCTCTGGTCCATACTCGCCTCTCTGCTCTGCTTACAGCTTCCTGTCAATGAGCTCTATTCAGAACCCAGAGGAGCGTTCGCTCCAAAGGTCACGGCTGCAAGACGCAGCAGAGCCAGAAAAACTCCTGCAAAAATTTACATAACCAAAACTCACTTATCCTTAACCTATGAATGCAGGAACCTATGAAACCATGACTTTCTGTTTTCCTGGGGAGTGAAAAAAATGTAACACAGAAGCTCTGAGACCATGACATAATTGACAATATTTAAACAAATATCAAAATGAGCAGAATTACACAGCAAACTGACTCCCAGTCTGTATGAATATACAAGCATGGCAATTAATAAGGGCTGCAATAAGATGCACGATGTGATATTTATACGTTTAGGAAAGAAGGCAAAACTGAGAACAGTGCTTTTGTGTCTAAACATTGTGTACGTCGCATACATCAGAGCGAGGCTGTGGGAGTCAAAGGGCACAGCAAAGCCTAGAGGTTATCGGTCAGTTAGTGTTTTTCTGTAAGCTAAAATGAATGAGCAAAGTTTGAACGTCCCGTAGTTCTAAGATCCTGCCTGAGTATTTACCGTGCGCGGTTCTGGCGGGTCGCCAGTTTATAAGCTTTTCTTGTCACCCGTTGGCTGACATCAGCAGATGTCAAAAAAAAAAGGTCCAACAGATCAGAGGGCAGCACAAAAAACCATCACTGCACCTTGGACATCTCCAACGCCTGACGATGTCCACAAAACCAGCACAAACCTAAACCAAAAGCAGCACTTTTCTTTTTTTTTAAACAAATGATGCTTATAAAAGGCCTGAAAGAGAAGCCTACCCATGTGATCCACAGAAAGAGGGGGATGTTGACTCTCAGGGGCGTCCAGATGGGAGAAGGTGAAGCAACAAGATTTGCTTAATTTCTACTCTTGTGGGGAAAGTTTCAACCAGATTAAATTGCTCAGCCCGCAGTCTTAGCGCGACGCTCAGGAAGAGCAGCAGATGTCAGCCAACTGGTGACCCGTCAGACGGATAAAAACGGTAAAAAGCTCTGGCGGGATCCAAACGAACGACAGGAGGTTCAAACTCCGCTCATTCTTCTTCAGCTTACAGAAAAGCGCCAAGCCGCCAAATAAACAACAGGGCGCCTGCATGTTGGTGACCCCTGCGTTAGGGTTAGCGTAGCTAGCTTTTTAGGTAGCATTGCCTCCCACTGATGCTTCATCAGCTGCTACTCCTACATCACCACCAGACTCACTTCTGCCTGCTAAGCTGAACTCCATCCTAATCTTTGCAAATAGCATAAAGGATGAGGTGCTGCTGTCTCTTTAAATCCAACCCAGAGCCACGGAGATGTCTGCCGACATCAAAGCCGACATCGTGGTCGACCGATGTTTCTGCTGTGAAACTCCTACTTACCATTCTCTCCCACAGTCATGGGGATGTTGACTTCCAGGTAGGAACCGGCGCCGACGTTCACATGGATGGCATTGGTTTCCTAGCAACAGCGATGAAGGCAGAGCAGAGGACGAAGACAGCAAACAGAAATGTCTCATTATCACAAACTAAAAATAAAGGAGAACAGAAAATGCTCAAAGGAAGGAAGGACAATCCTGTCTGTTTTTCATATTCCCTTCACATGGAGAACAGTTTGAAAGAGAATAAAACATGAAGCGATATCAATAACTGATGCATACAGACAGAACAGCAGGAGGAAGAGGATCAGAGGGAAGCGGAGTCACCCTGTTTTTGGTGAAGAGCAGATCGATGGTGGCGTCAGCGATGATGTTCATGCGAAGCTCGAAGGCTTGGATCTGCCGGGCTTTTCCTGGCTGGGCCACTTCGCTCACCTTCATGGCCTGGAAGTCGGCCGGCAGGAAGAACTTCCAGAGACAGTCCCTGCAAAGGTAAAAGGTCATTTACGTAGGACATTTTCAACAACAAGGCGATACAAAGTGCTTCACAGAAATGAAAAGGAAATACAAAAAAAACAAAAAACAAAGGAAAGAGCAGAAAAAGAAAAAGCTAATAATGATCTAAAGTAAATAAACCAGACGCTCCTACTCAGTTTTGCTTATCTGTAAGTAAGTATCCTCTGGTCTAATTCCTTTCTGGGTTTGAAGTTTTCTGGGTTCCAAGTTCGAATCCTTGTTCTGGGTTGCTAAATAAGTAAGTAAGTATTCTCTGGACTTTCTAAGTGTGCTCTAAATTTGTAAAGGTAATGAGTAGGCACAGTTTCTAAGTCATAATAAAATCTATATGTTCCTGTTCTGGAAGAATTTTTTTCTGGATTCTAAATTCATTCCAATTCCCTTTCTGGGTAGCAATATTAGGAATCTCTCAGCATAATAATATGAAAATTTATCTAATATTGGTCTAAATAGTGAGCCGGAGACCGCTAGCCAGAGACCGCTAGCCGGAGACCGCTAGCCAGAGACCGCTAACCGGGAACCGCTAGCCAGAGACCGCTAGCCGGAGACCGCTAGCCGGGGAACCGCTACACAGGAGTCCGCTATGCCGGGGACCGCTAGCCAGAGACCGCTAGCCGGGGGACCGCTAACCGGAGGCCGCTAGTCAGAGACCGCTAATCGAAAACCGCTAGCCGGAGACCGCTAACCGGAGGCCGCTAGCCGGGGGACCGCTACGCCGGGGACGGCAGGTTCTCGTCTGGTCCCGAGAGGAAGACATTTCAAATCTTTACTCCCAGGTTTCCTGACTGTTATCATTTAATGTTTAGGTAAATAAAGTATTTCTGAATTTGCTAAATCAGCTCTAAGTGCAGAACAAAGAGGAACTCCAATCTTTAAATGACGTTCAAAACAAATATTTACTGTCCATAACATCAAGAGATCCAGTCCAGAGCGCTCTGTTGCCTAGCAACAGAAAGGTCTGGGGTTCAACTCTCAGACCTTCCTGATTAAAACTCACATTTTAATAACCATAGCTGCAACTTGATTGTTTCAGCTGCAGTTTTCTTTGGCCGAGGTGCGTTGGGTTTGCTCACCTCTGGCGGTCGGCCCACGGCCCGTAGTTAAAGTCTGTCCCCTTTCCACAGACAATGTCCAGACCCCAACATGGAGGGAGGTCCTGCAGCTTATTGTCCTCGCTGCTCGTCTCAGCCTCCTCAGACCCGTCCTGCTCCACAGGGACCAGGCCTGACGAGGGGGACGCCCAGAGAGACGGGGACACGGAGAGAGAGACGGGGACACGGAGAGAGAGACGGGGACACGGAGAGAGAGACGGGGACACGGAGAGAGAGACGGGGACACAGAGAGAGAGACGGGGACACAGAGAGAGAGACGGGGACACAGAGAGAGAGACGGGGACACGGAGAGAGAGACGGGGACACAGAGAGAGAGACGGGGACACAGAGAGAGAGACGGGGACACAGAGAGAGAGACGGGGACACGGAGAGAGAGACGGGGACACGGAGAGAGAGACGGGGACACAGAGAGAGAGACGGGGACACAGAGAGAGAGACGGGGACACAGAGAGAGAGACGGGGACACAGAGAGAGAGACGGGGACACAGAGAGAGAGACGGGGACACAGAGAGAGAGACGGGGACACAGAGAGAGAGATGGGGACACAGAGAGAGACAGGGACACAGAGAGAGAGATGAACATAAAGTCAGTAACGTATTTGTCCTCATGGACAGCAGTTAAATCAGATGCTTTGTCTGTGGAGGCTCAGGACGGAGCCATGTGTCCAGCTGTTACCGGGTTCATCCTGGTAGTAGTAGATGTCCACATCATTGGACTGCATCACCACAAAGCCCTCGCCCATCAGTCTGGGAGGCCTGGAGGACAGATGAAGGTCAACACAAAGGTCACACTTTGACACAATAAATACAAAAAGAAAACACATGTGGGTTAGAAACCTAAAGTTTATGTTTAGATTAGAGTTCTGCTGAGAAATCCAGATTAGATCTAGTCTGCTCAACTAAAGCCTAGATTGTATGAAGCTGATTATTCATTTCCAGAGACTGACTCGTCGTTCTGCAGGCCCAGGTAGCGCGGACTGGGAACCAGCATGACGCGCACGTTCTCCAGCGACCCTTTGACGATGTGCATGAACTGGTCCAGGTGGCTGGACGGCGGCTTGGTGGCGTAGGTCAGGAAGGCGTCCTCGAAGTTCACGCACAGCGTCTGAGGCAGGTGGTGGTTCCCGAACGCCAGGCGGCCCTATAGGAACCAGATTAAAACCAAATTACAACCAATTAAACCAGGATAAACCCGGATTAAAACCCACAGTAAACCAGATTAACCTGAGTTTCTAACCTGGTTTGAAACTCAGGTTAAAAATCACATTAAACCACTTTAAACTGGTGTAATCTGATTAAACCCACATTAAACTAGGCTAAATCCAGATTGGAACCAAGTTAAACCAGTTGAAAACCCAGATTAAACCCAGATAAAGCAGATTAAACTAGTATAAACTGGTTGAACAGCCATTGCAGCCGCTACAGAACCGCCGGCAGGTCGCTCACAGTGCTGATGTTCAGCTTGATCACTGGGATGAGGGATCGCCATGATGACGACGGCTCGGGACTCTCCGTCTGGACGTTCACGCTGCAGGTAGTCGGATTAACACAATTACTGATTAGACAGCATCAGGGGGCAAGGACGCGAGGAAAGGAAGTGAGGAATAGAGGGAAGGAAGTAAATAAGGAAACTAAGGAAGAAAGGAAATGAATGAAAGAAGTGAGGAAGGAAGTCAGCCTATGAACAGGCTGGCGGGTCCGGACCTGTCCAGGGTGTGGTTCTGGGGGTCCGGACCCCTCTCCTCGTCCCGCCGGGCGCTGAGCAGCGTGGGCTCCAGACCGAACGTCTCCTGCAGCCGGGCGTAAAGGTCGGTCCGGTTGTAGACGTGGAACTCGAAGCCGTTCACCATCACAAACAGCCTCGTCTCCGCTTTGGGATCTGACAGCGAGAAAACCAAAGACACAATGAGGACGCCCAGGAGACACGATGAGGACGTCCAGGAGACACAATGAGGACATCTAGGAGAAATAATGAGGACGTCCAAGAGACACAATGAGGACGTCCAGGAGACACAATGAGGACATCTAGGAGAAATAATGAGGACGTCCAAGAGACACAATGAGGACGTCCAAGAGACACAATGAGGACGCCCAGGAGACACGATGAGGACGTCCAGGAGACACAATGAGGACGTCCAGGAGACACAATGAGGACGTCCAGGAGACACAATGAGGACGTCCAGGAGACACGATGAGGACGCCCAGGAGACACGATGAGGACGTCCAGGAGACACGATGAGGACGTCCAGGAGACACGATGAGGACGCCCAGGAGACACGATGAGGACGTCCAGGAGACACAATGAGGACGTCCAGGAGACACAATGAGGACGTCCAGGAGACACAATGAGGACGCCCAGGAGACACGATGAGGACGCCCAGGAGACACAATGAGGACGTCCAGGAGACACAATGAGGACGTCCAGGAGACACGATGAGGACGTCCGGGAGACACGATGAGGACGTCCGGGAGACACGATGAGGACGTCCAGGAGACACAATGAGGACGTCCAGGAGACACGATGAGGACGTCCAGGAGACACAATGAGGACGTCCAGGAGACACAATGAGGACGTCCAGGAGACACGATGAGGACGTCCAGGAGACACGATGAGGACGTCCAGGAGACACGATGAGGACGTCCAGGAGACACGATGAGGACGTCCAGGAGACACGATGAGGACGTCCAGGAGACACGATGAGGACGTCCAGGAGACACAATGAGGACGCCCAGGAGACACGATGAGGACGTCCAGGAGACACAATGAGGACGTCCAGGAGACACAATGAGGACGTCCAGGAGACACAATGAGGACGTCCAGGAGACACAATGAGGACTCTGATGCTCCGTTATAAAAACAGTGTTGAAAAATAGTAAATCTAATCCTGCTAGTTTTAGGGATTTTTAAAAATCATTCGTGGGAATTTATTGTTACTAAAACAACAAAATGTTATAAAAAAACTGAAATATAAACCACTTCCAACCAAAACAATAACATTGATTATATTGTTTCTATAAATAAAATTGTCCTTCAGAAATTGATCAGAATGGAGATGATTAAGCTAACTGTAATTTATTTAGTGATTACATAATCGTTTCCGTGTCAACATTTCAGCAGCTCAACTCACCATGCTGCTTTTGTTTTGGGTTATACATTTTCCACCAGCGAAATATGAGGAAGCCATCTTGGATCCTGCAACACAGAGCGCAGCCAATGAGGAGGAGGCGTGGCCGCCATGGAGACGGAGAGATAAAGAGGAGCAGCAGAGATCAGCTGACCTGATGGACATGTCCTGGTTGATGTAGTAAACGTCTCTGAACATGACTTTCCCCGACAGCACAGAGAAGGAGAACGAACCTGCGGAGCGACAAACAGGTTACCATGACGAACAGACAGCGAGGCCACCTGGAAACCCGATGGCGCCTGACCCGGTTCTGCAGGAGGAAGCCAATCTCTAAATAAAACAAAAACTGGTCTCTGAACCGGCCATTAGCTTCTTCACCCTCCAAACATTTATTTTCCTCACAAGCTTGATTGACAGCACTAAGACCCGCCTCCTGGTTCCGACTGGTAGTTTCTTGTTACCACTGGGAGACAGAGGAGTTTAATTTATTCACAGACCATCTGTCACATGTTAAACTGTCATAACGAGTGACTGTTAGAAAAAATATTTAAAAAAGAAATTATAAAAATTACGTACTGCAGCTTTAAAGGAACAGTGTTATTCATTTTTCAGGTATATGGTTTAATCTTATGGCACAATCAAGTAACTATGTTACATTCAGTTATTAGAAAAATGTACCACATATAAATTAAAATGAATTTTACTTTGTAATTTAACACCTTGAAAATGGGTCTCTGTCTCTTTAAAAGCTCCTGCTCTTTCTGATGCTCCACCTCCAGGAAGTCGTCCCAACGTAGCACATCCATCAACCCTCTAACATTTCTATCAGCGTTATTTTGAGAAGGAGCTAATATAATGAGCTCAGCAGTTCCACCAGCTGTTTGCTAATAGCTGCTGGCTAGTCTGAAGGCGTTGAAAGAGGGAGGAGCTGTGTCTCAAAGGCGGGGCTAGGTTCACCCAGCAGTAATGCAGCTGAATGGTTGCCATGGAGATTAAAGGATTTCTCCAAGCAACACTGCAGGAATGCAACACTGCAGGAATGCAACACTGCAGGAATGCAACACTGCAGGGTCTCAAACTCCAGTCCTGGAGGGCTGGTGCCCTGGAACTTTCAGATGAGCCTCTGCTGCACCACCTGAACAGATTAATGAGGTCATTAAGTCTCTGGAGATCTGATCTACACCAGGAGGAGGTAACGAAGCCGTTTCATTCAGTGTTTTGTACTTGTGGCACATCTGCAGGACAGCAGCCCTCCAGGACTGGTTGATTTTACATGATGCCGGCCCTTAAAATATTTTAACACATCAGCAGCTCCTCAGGACACATTACACCAACATGTGAAAGCAAATAGGAAGTGCTTCTCAGAAACAGGAAGTTGGCCTGGGCCTATGCGTTTCCTGTCCAACATACCGATGTGAATGTAGCCTCCTTTGTAAAGCCGGTTGATGATGAGGGTGAGGAACAGTCCGATGTTGCGAGAGTTGTAATAGGTTAAGTAGATGATCCATCCACAGGACAGAATGGTGGCTGAAACAAGAAAAATTCAACATGAGTCACACTGCACACCGAGCCGCTCCGCTAACAGCGGCTAACGCGCCGGGCGCTCCTCGTTCCTAGCTTCTGCAGCAGTTCCTACAGAAGCTAGGAACTGCTGCTGTAAGTCCGTTTACAGCAGCAGTTCCACCTTCAAAGGAGCATTTAAAGGTGTAATATTTTCCATACAGGTTGCAGTGAGTCTCTTACCAACGAGCAGCCAGATGAACTTGGAGTTGTGCCGGTTCAGGTAGGTCTCCAGATCCTCATAGTTGAGGAAGGAGGTGTTGTTGGAGCCTTGTTCATCCATGGCTACAGGCTCTTGGGCAGCAGCAGAAAACTACAAATCAAAGCAAACATAGACCAGATGAACTTTCTTGTCTTAAAAACAGCAAGCAGGGCTGATGCTGAAGCCATTAGTGGAACAATGAAGTCTTGTTTCTACTTGTAGATCTGATTTCTAACACCTAACATGATCCATGTGGGGAGGAAAATAAGAGAAGAAGGTTTTTAGCTTTTAGGATCAACATCAGCAGCAGCAGAGAACAGCTGCTGCTGAAACAAAAAAGCGCCTCACTTTAGATCAGGTTCCTGTTTCACCTGTTGACCCCTGGACTGGGTTTCTATGGAAACGACTGAGTCACAAAGCTGTAAGAATTAGTTTCAATACACGTTAGCATGCTAGCCCCTCAGGTTGTACTTCATATTTCCCATTAACCACTTGAATTTCAAGATGGCCTTCGTTTTTTGACCTTTTCAATCATTTATTACATAAAATGTTACCCATAAATACATAACTTTAGGTCTCATCAAAAGTTTCCTGTTCATTAAACTTTAAAGTGATAAAATGCAGCAGAATCAGAAAGCCAGGACTTTGCTGTTGGTGAGTCAGCTGGAAGGAGAAGAAGAGAGACAGGCGACTTAGTGGGGAGCATTAGCTTTAGCTAATTAGTTATGCATTAGCTTTAGCTAATTAGTTATGCATTAGCTTTAGCTAATTAGTTATGCATTAGCTTTAGCTAATTAGTTATGCTTTAGCTTTAGCTAATTAGTTATGCATTAGCTTTAGCTAATTAGTTATGCATTAGCTTTAGCTAATTAGTTATGCATTAGCTTTAGCTAATTAGTTATGCATTAGCTTTAGCTAATTTTTTATGTATGTAGTAGTTTAGCATTAGCATAGCTAAGATTTTTGTACAGTGAACTTTTAGGTCAGATATGGCTGCTGATATTTTTCTCCACCATGGCGGCCATTTTTAAAAACTTCCACCAGAAAAAGGAAACGAGCAAAAAAATATAAAATGTTTTGTAAGGTTCAAAATACACCAACTGTTATTTGACACCAAACACCCATCTAACTGGGTGTAACCTGTACATTTTTGCACAGGTCACATATTCGCAACCTGTGCAAAAATGTATTTTTCATGACAACTATGGTGTCCATCTTGAAAAATAAAAGAATAATCAGTAAAAAGGATGTTGGTGGGTCGGTCCAGTTATGCCTGATTTGACACCAAAAAACGAATCAAATATTTCCAACTTTAGTCACAGATTTTTCTTTGTGACCACGGCGTCCATCTCGAGTCATCTGCTGCGGAGCTGCTGAACCCGATGATGGCCCATGCAGTCGGGGCGCCAGGCCCCCAGCATCACACGTCTTCCACCATGCCTTCTAATGGACACGAGTCTCCTCATCTCAGAGTGTTTGTTGCTCAGAAGCTCAACGTGATTCCAGTCTGACCAGTAAGAGCCCAGTTCTGCTTGGACAAACAGTTCATGTTGGCAGGAACTTCAACTCCTCTGAGGTTTGGGGTCAGAGTTCAGGTGTCATTTATGAAGCTCATCAGCCACTCCCGGTTGTGAAAACAATACCTTGTTGCCATTGTTACACATAAAATTGTCCAAGAGTAAAAAAGTGAGCAGGATGGACGTCGTCTCCGTCTTTATGAGACATTTTTATGACATTCTCTGAGCTTTGGAGGTTATTTTTATTTCTATCAGTTTAGAGGACAACATGCTGCTTCAGAGAGACGGCTCGCTGTGTTACGTCATATGTCTTCCCCATAGAAACGGGATTTTAATAAACAAGTATTGTTTCTATTTTTCACTTTCCTATTTAAGACTCAAAGTGTCTCCAGACAGAAAGTCAATGTGATGACCAAGGTGAAAAAGGAGAATTGGGTCGGTTCGGTTCTGACACCATAAAAACATTAATGAATTCAAATCATTGCTTTATTAAACTTCAGACAGAATTAATGAATCTGCAATGAAGGAATGATTATAAGCTGGTAAACAGGAACCTTTCATAGAGGTTTTCCACTTCTAAACATCAGATTTGTCACTGAATTGATCAATTAATTTAGTAATCAATAAATAGCCAACTGCAGTGTACGAACTGAAAAATGCAATTTGCAGAAAAAATGACTTATTCAGAGCAATAACTAAGTCAAAACTATACAAAAAAGAAACATTTTGCATTTCAGATAAAAAATGTACACTTTTTAAATTAGTTGACAGATTTTAGATGTTAAATGTATCCAGATTTAATCATCAATTTTCAAAATTTCCTCTGTACTAGAGGAAATTTTTATTTTTATTTAATATTAGAAAAATGTGGTGCCTTCTCTGTCAGTGAACCAGTCGTTTCCTTGCAGAGCTTCCTGTAAGGCCACAAGCTCCTTTCAGCTTCTGAAACTTTATGGAATAAAGTGCAGCTCACCTGTAACCTGTCAGCTCAGGTAAACTCACTTTCAGTTTAACTGACAACTGTCACCTTCAGCCAGCAGGGAGTTACGCTGAAGTTAGCGTCTGATTTTAGCTCCATCAGGAAGCTGGACGACATCTGATGAAGCAAAATCTAAAACACTGAAAATGATTAAATCATCGATCAGCCCATTCAAGATGATCTGATGTTTTTAGGGAAGTTCAGATCAATTTCAGGGTTTTAAACTATGGGTTTGAGATGGATCTTTATTGTGAAAAATCTACTTAAATCATAAGAATTTTGAGAAATTCCAGTTGACAACATTGTTGAAATGTTCTTTTTTTTTACCATTTTCCACATTGTTTTGTTCATGAGGATTTTTTTTAAAAACACCAGTAAATTGAAAGAATGACTACCTGCAGTTTGTGTGAGAGCAGTCACAGATCTCTGGTGCCCTGAAGATTTTTATTTCACATGGAAATGTTTTAGAGGAGCAAAGTTTATGTTTATGCTGCAATGAAGCATCAAATATCTTCAGTAAAATCTCTGAATACAGTAAAGACTATATATTAATCTGAATGTAGCTTATTCTAACATATATATACACTACTGTATAAACTAACAATGAGTTTCATAACTTTATATTTGAAGAATGTATATAAATAAGTGTTTCTTCTGCTTAAAATCTGTTCTGTAATTGCATTATTTGTTTGTATTCAATTATTTTAGTCACTTTTTTACCAAATAGTTTGAAAAATCTTGAGTAATTTCTTGGATAGGCTAGTTTTCAACTTTCATTTGAGTAAAAACACACAGAAATACTGCTCCTCTGACTGGATTACAACGTTTATTCACCACTAACCAAACCTGGATTAAACATCATTGTTTAACTTATGAAAAGCACAATTTCAACACTATGGTCATTTTTACTCCTTCTAGAGAAAGAATAAAGACAAATTAATCCTGGATTGGGTTTTGGAGTGTAGACTTATCCTTTGATCCGTCCAAGTATTTCAGATTTTAGCTGATTAAAGGCAGCTTAAATATACGGAACAGCCCTTTACCCAAGCTGCGATTCAGAAACCAACTTCGGCCTTCTCTGGACCGAACCCCGCCTCTCTGACCGAACCAAAACCGAACAGTTCGGGACATAAACAGTTCTGATATCTAGACTGGGTGCAGACGAGACACAAACATAAACTTGACATTTCCATCCAGAGCGCTAATTCTGGACTAATTCCTTTATTGTTTGGGCTAGCTGCTAGCCTGCTAACGAAGCAGGCCGCGCCTCTTGGCTTCTCCCGTTCTTCCCACACACCCAGCTCCATGACTGAGAGCGGCCTACCGTAAAACTCCCGGTACGGCAGGAGGTGTCATCCTGGCGCCAGTCAACCAGCAGCAGCCACCCTTCTGTCGAGTTCCACACCTAGCATCCTCTGTTCACTATTTACACGGTTGAACGCCACTGCGCGTTTCTTCCTGTTCTTACCCGAGCTGTCACACAACTGGCCAATCATGAAGAAGTAGCCGTTCAGAAGCTAACCAATCAAATCAAATCTTGGTTGAATCCACGCTCACCTCGGATTTTCTACCTATCAACACGATCGTTTTTGGACGATGGAGTTAAAGGAAGTTTGTTTTGATATTTAACCTAAAATAAACGTGATTTAAAGAGTAAACAAAGGAGATTTCTTATTTAAATCTATGAAGTGAAGAAATTCATTTTTAGACAACTTCCCTTTATTCCAGAAATTTCTTCTCTTTTATGAAGGTTTTGACTTGAATATGAACCAGTACATTTATAAGTATGGTTTTTATTTTTCAGTTTGTCTTGATGATAAATATGAGCCTTATTAATATTCCACACATTTATAGTTTGTGAGACGTTACATCTTTGACTAAAGTTGCACTTAATCAGGATGTTTTTAGTCTTTTTTAATGTTAATTTAATTTTATTCTAAGCGTTTTGACTTTATTTCAAACATGACATTTTGAAAACTGATTACTTTATTCTAGAAATGTATATTTATTTTAAAATCCTAACTGTATAAAACTTGTAAACATTTGAAACTCATTCTATATAATTTTATCACCTTCAAATAACTAAAGAAACTTCAAAACAGTTACAATTTATTAATATTTTTGACATTATTTTAAGTTTTATTTTAAAAAAATCTAAATTCAGTCATAACTTGAATATAAACTCAAACTTTATCACAGACATTTCAACTTCATTTGATTATTTCTACTTAATTGTAGATATTTTTATTGAGAGATAATATTCTATATATTTCTTCTTTGTACTTTGAACTTCAAAATGAACCTTTGCAAAGTTTCAACTTAAACATCTTGACTGCAGTCTACATACTTTCATTCATAGCTCATTTTTAATTAATGATTGACACTGTGTTATTATCCTTAAAATTATCCTTTATATTTTTTACTTTATGTTACTTAATAAGTTTATTTTTGTTCATTCTATACATAAACGACTTTATCCTTTTGTTAATGTCCAGGTTTTCTCTGTCTGGGGCTCCATCCTCGTCATCATCTTCATCATCGTTCATGACATCATGGAAGCGTCTGGAAGCGTCTTCTCTGCGACTGAACCGGACGGTTCTGGTAAACATGAAGAATTTTCTCCTTCAGCAGGACCGCAAATTATGAAATTGTAAAACTTATTTTGTGGCCAAATCAACTTTAGAAGCAATTTATAGCCTACTTATAGTTAGAGTGGTTTAGGTTAACCTGAACAGTCATGCAGCAACAGGCTCAGGCTGCTGGAAGACTTAACTTTATTCTCCTACTACTCTCCAGTTTTATGGTGTTTGCTGTTATTTCAACTCTTTGTTTTTTTCTCATAATAGAAGCTCCAGCTGGCGTTCTGTAACGCCTTCCTGCAGCAGCCTAAAGGTCTCCTTCTGCAGATATACAGCTAGAGGATAATGCCAAAGGCTAAAGCTAAAGGCTAACTCATTATGGATGTCATGGGTTTTTGTGTGTTTGTATTTTTTTCTGCAAAGCAAACTGCTGCTTGGAGACGGCGGCGTTTTCAACCTTTAAACTGACTCAGAGCTGAAGCAGCTGCTGCTGCCATCAACGTTCGCTGCTCTTTAGCAGAAGGTTCTCCTGGATCAGACCTTCTGGGTTGTTCTGTGTGGCAGCTGGCTCTGGTTCTGCTGGAGGTTTCTTCCCGGTAACAGGGCAGAGCCAGTGGGTGCACCACTCTGAAACAAGTAGTTCCCCTCCAAAACAGGTGGTGGCAGCAGTGATACCAATATACTCCTGTATTCATTAAATAGCAAGTATTTTCTGTCTTTAGTGAATTATTTTTAAAATACGGAGGTTGTGCTTTGAAGTGGCTCAAAGTTTTTTCTCTCTGCTGTCGCAGCATGCATGCTGAGAATGAGGGGGTTGTACTCTGTCGCCCCCTGCTGGTCCCAGAGGAGGGAATGCTGCAGTGACTCCACGCTCTGTGGGTTTTCCTCAGAGAAACGTTTTAAACTAATCTGAATCATAACCTGAGTGTTTTCTCTGTACCAAGCTGAGGCTGCTGAGGTTTAAATTCTCCTAAATGCATTTGGGCGCCATCTTTGTCCATCAGCAGGAGGACTGTTTGTTTGCTGACCCTCCTGGGTGTCTGTTAAACCTGTAGGCAGCTAAGCTGTCCTTCAGTCCCGGCCTGCTCCCTGATGGACGTCCGGCTCCGCGCAGCACTAGCAGCTTTCTGTCTGCTGAACTCCTGAAGGACGTCAGGCTCTCTACATAATTAGCAGCTTGTCTTAGTTTAAATATGCAGCACTGAAGGATCTCAGAGGAAATGTGATTATAATTAGGCTGTTGTGGAAGGCGAAGTGCTTTTAACGCAACTCTTCAGGGGCGCCGGGTTTATATTCCACCATCTTTAATCCTCAGAAAGTTCTGATTCATGCAAACCTTCCTGACCACCAGGGATGATGGAAATCTGCTGTTTCATTACTGAGGAGTTTCATGTTTTAACCTCTAATTGGGATTCTACAGTCAGAGCTGGTGGTTCTGTGTGGAAACCACAACCAGTGAGGACTGAACTGGAGAAATTCAGCTACAAAGTAAGTAAACAGTTCTGTTTTGTTTAACTTTTATTCCTGAAACGTTTCTCGCTGATGAACAGAAAACAGAAACAGCTGAAAAAAGATCAACAAAATAAGATAAAACATGAAGCAAATCAGATCCCGACAGCCAATCAGAGAAAGGCAGAGAACTCTGACAGCCAATCAGAGAAAGGCAGAGAACTCTGACAGCCAATCAGAGAAAGGCAGAACAGGATGTGAAGCTTTCCATCTCAGCAGATTTGCTGATTTATGGTCTATAAACTTTTCAGAGTTGAGCTGGAGTTTAGTAACTCATCATAATTGAAATTATTCATGATTATAAAATATTAAAAAGCTCCAGTTGTCTCACAAATTCAGCACATTTAAAACAAATATCAGCTTAAGTCTAAGTTGACATCAGTCCAAGTTCTGGTTCCTGGAGACGAAGGAAGCAAACAGCTTCAGTCTGACCCGGTTGGACCGGGTTCTGACCCGGTTCTGACCTGGTGGGGTCAGAAGCTCATGAGCACGTCCCTCTCCTGCACGCTGGTGTAGAACGGCTTCCCGAACACAAAGGAGTGAAGCCCGGCCCTCAGCTTCTCAGCCATCGCCATGACGATGTTCAGGTCCCCCTCGGCCTTCAGGTCCAGGTCGGCCTTCAGGTTCCGGAGGGCCCGGAACGGCTTCTTCCCCTTCTGCCTGTGAACAGAGGCCGGCTGGGTTTATGGGCTTAATAATAACTAAAGATCAGTAAGTTCTGCTGGTAACAGATTCATGATTGTTTCTGATCAGTTTGTCCTGATTTAAAACCAAAAGGTTTGATTTACAACATCAGGGGAACAAATCTGGATCGGGCCGCTAAAACATCAGCCTAAGGGCCACAAATGGCCCACGAGCCGCACTTTGGACCCCGGTCAGAGGCGACAAATCCCACCAGGGTCACAGGTCATCGTCCTGCCGTGCTTCAGACGTGCCCGCAGCACCATGCTGCCCCCGCCGTGCGGCCTCTTACGTCTCGTCCTCGATGTACTTGAGCAGCGTGAGCGCCTTGCGGTGCAGCAGCAGCAGGAACTGGGCCAGGTAGGCGCTCCGCAGGGCCAGGCCGGGCTTCAGCAGGAACACCTGGAGGAGAGCGGCGACACACATCAAACTGTTCCTTCGGCTTCCTGCCCGTCACCACAGGCCACGCCGCTGTTAGCATGGTGATTAGAGCAGGAGCAGCCCCAACCTGTCCAGTTTTCCCAGTTTTAACTGGTTGGTTTCAGCCAATCAGAAAAGCTCTGAACCTTAAAGGTCCACGTGAAAAGTATTCACCTCTGGATGTTATTCCTGTCTGGTTTCTCCCAGTGGATTATCAGTCTGGCAGCCACCAGTCTCGGATATACTTTATTTATTTAAAGTTTTTTTGCTTTTTTAACACTTTGTAGTTGGTGTTTAGGAATTATTAATAATGTCTTCCAATAACACATAATTACCTGGTGGTGTTTTACAACTTCCTGCCAACTTTAAGCATTTTTTTAACTTCAGACACAGCAGGTCACTGACCTAGCTAACTAGCACTTAGCTAAGTAGCACTTAACTCACTAGCACTTAGCTAAATAGCACTTAGCTCACTACCACTTAGCTCACTAGCACTTAGCTCACTACCACTTAGCTCACTAGCACTTAGCTAAGTAGCACTTAACTCACTACCACTTAGCTCACTACCACTTAGCTCACTACCACTTAACTCACTACCACTTAGCTCACTAGCACTTAGCTAAGTAGCACTTAACTCACTACCACTTAGCTAAGTAGCACTTAACTCACTACCACTTAGCTAACTAGCACTTAGCTAACTAGCACTTAGCTCACTACCACTTAGCTCACTACCACTTAGCTCACTACCACTTAGCTAAGTAGCACTTAACTCACTACCACTTAGCTCACTACCACTTAGCTCACTACCACTTAACTCACTACCAAGTAGCTCACTACCACTTAGCTCACTAGCACTTAGCTCACTAGCACTTAACTAACTAGCACTTAGCTCACTACCACTTAGCTCAGTACCACTTAGCTCACTAGCACTTAGCTAACTAGCACTTAGCTCACTAGCACTTAGCTAAGTAGCACTTAGCTCACTACCACTTAGCTCACTAGCACTTAGCTAAGTAGCACTTAGCTCACTACCACTTAGCTCACTACCACTTAGCTCACTAGCACTTAGCTAAGTAGCACTTAACTCACTACCACTTAGCTCACTACCACTTAGCTAAGTAGCACTTAGCTCACTACCACTTAGCTAACTAGCACTTAGCTCACTAGCACTTAGCTAACTAGCACTTAGCTAAGTAGCACTTAGCTCACTACCACTTAACTAACTACCACTTAGCTCACTACCACTTAGCTCACTACCACTTAGCTAAGTAGCACTTAGCTCACTACCACTTAGCTCACTAGCACTTGGCTAAGTAGCACTTAACTCACTACCACTTAGCTCACTACCACTTAGCTAAGTAGCACTTAGCTCACTACCACTTAGCTAACTAGCACTTAGCTAAGTAGCACTTAACTCACTACCACTTAGCTCACTACCACTTAGCTAAGTAGCACTTAGCTCACTACCACTTAGCTAACTAGCACTTAGCTCACTATCACTTAGCTAACTAGCACTTAGCTCACTACCACTTAGCTAACTACCACTTAGCTCACTACCACTTAGCTAAGTAGCACTTAGCTCACTACCACTTAGCTAACTAGCACTTAGCTCACTACCACTTAGCTCACTAGCACTTGGCTAAGTAGCACTTAACTCACTACCACTTAGCTCACTACCACTTAGCTAAGTAGCACTTAGCTCACTACCACTTAGCTAAGTAGCACTTAGCTCACTACCACTTAGCTCACTACCACTTAGCTAAGTAGCACTTAGCTCACTACCACTTAGCTCACTACCACTTAGCTCACTAGCACTTGGCTAAGTAGCACTTAACTCACTACCACTTAGCTAAGTAGCACTTAGCTCACTACCACTTAGCTAACTAGCACTTAGCTAACTAGCACTTAGCTAACTAGCACTTAGCTAAGTAGCACTTAGCTCACTACCACTTAGCTAACTACCACTTAGCTCACTACCACTTAGCTAAGTAGCACTTAGCTCACTACCACTTAGCTAACTAGCACTTAGCTCACTAGCACTTAGCTAAGTAGCACTTAGCTCACTACCACTTAGCTAACTAGCACTTAGCTCACATGGTTTCTGACTCCTGCAGGTTAAAATTATTTTTCATCAACTATAGTTAATTTCAATCAATTAATAATAATATGCATCTCAATAGACATGTGATTATGTTTATTGTGACGGTGGAGCAGTTGATAGCACTGTTGCTTTGCAGCAAGGAGGTCCTGGGTTCAATTCCCAGCTGGGGTCTTTCTGCATGGAGTTAGCATGTTCCCCCTGTGCATGGTGGCTTCTTCCTCCCACAGTTAAAAAGCATGACCGTCAGGTTAATTGGTCTCTCTAAATTCTCCTTCGCTGTGAGTGCGGTTGTTTGTCCTGTCTCTCTCTGTGTTGCCATGGCGATGGACTGGACCCCGATGGGACAAGGCCAGAAGAACATGGATGGACGTGATCAGTATCAATAGATAATACATCTGATTCAATATTTAACGTTTAAAATATTTAGTGAACTCTGACCTAGAACCGCACAGCATTCTGGGAGATGTAGGCAGAGGAAAGAACTGCTCAACCTCTCATTGCAAGTTCAGCCAGGTTGGTGGAATCAACCAACTCACTCTCTGGTTACCTAGCAACAGCCTGCTGAGTAACATGCAGCAGCAGTTTCATGTTTCTCCATCGTGCTTCAGAACTCGCTCAATAAAAACTTCTCACCTCGTCTATGAAGGATCTGACCAGCGTGTCGGTATGCAGGACATCCTGGAAGATGTTCCTGGGAAATGAAGGACGAACATCTCATTGGTTACCTGTCAAATAAACACCTAGGGGCGGGGCTTACAGGTTGGGGTGGGGTTTAAGAGTTTGGGCCGGGGCTTAGGGTGCGCCTACAGGTCCGGGGTGAAGGTTTCGTCCGTGTGGATCACGGTTTCCGGCGGGATGTCGTCCTCGCTATCGGTCTTCCACAGCGCGTTGAGCTCAGAGCGCATGTAGCGCCGCTGGTTGAAGGTGTGTTCGTGGCACGGCGGCATCTGCTTCACGGTGTTGATGTCCACGTCGATGTGCGTGGTCGGGTACGGCGCGTACAGCACCTGGCGGAACGGCAGCACGAAGCTGCCCGTGGAGTCCTGGAAGCAGGCAGCGGCAGCGTCAGACGGCGGGTCAAAGCGGGCCTGCAGAACCACGCGGTGCCGGCAGATACCTTCAGGAGTCCCTGGACGAACAGACCCGTGTCGTACTTGAAGGAGGAGCTGGCCCGGCAGAGGCGGGAACACTTCCTCTCAGCTGGAGTCAGGAACAGGCAGAGAGTCCGGACGATCTGGTGACACACGAGCAGAACCTCAGAAAACTGGAGCCACAACCACTCAGAGGTTTTTAAGTCTCCAGGTCCATCCAGAACCAGCTGGGTCCAGTTTGGCTTGGCTGCTAGTATATGTGCTAGCATCAGCAGGACAGCGTTTCACACTGTCAGCGTTCTCATTTCTGCTGTTTGGAACCATGAAAGAGGCAGATTATCTCAGAATGAACTTTCATATTCAGAGGAACAAACTGCAGCTGAACTTCTCATCAGGTTTACAAAGCTATGCTAACGAAAAAGCTAACTGTGCTACACAATACGTCCACTGATGTGCTACACTTACACTGTGAAAGCTAGCAATAAAGCGCTATATTAAGATATGCTGATCGTAAATTATACCAACACAGTATTTTGTGTAAGCTTCTAACATGGTGTTTAGCAAAAGCTAACAGCAAGGTGCCACACTAACATGGTATTGAGCTGTGCTGTTAGCGCATTAGCGGGTTAGCGGTGGGAGCCCGGTGCTGCGTTTGCACACGGTTGGTTCCAGTAAACCCACCTTGTTTACTTTCTCTGGGTTGCTTCCGACCACGACGGAGCAGCCACACGTCTGCAGATGGGAGCTGATGGCTCTGGAAGACAGATGCTTGAAAATTAGAGCCAGTTAGTATCCAATTAGCTCTGCTGATCAAATGAACCATTCTACAGTGAGAACTGCAGTCAGTGAGTCTGGGGATCTGGATGTACGGAGCAAAGGAACAAATCATGTCAGGCTGGTCGTTTATGGACACGTATTTGGTCTTGTCCTGCTGTTAATGGCAGTCTGGAGCTAAAAGACGCTTTGAAATGACTTTTTAAATCATAACAGGAGGCCGAGCCCACAAAGCCTCTCAGCTGTGCCCAGTTAAGGATCTAAAGCTGGCCTCCTGCTCCCTCGCGGGTGATTCCTCCGTCTCAGTTTCTCTGGGGAGAAGCTGAGCTGGGAGAGCGCCATCACTCATCATCAGGCGGCTGACGGGTGTTAAACGACCGTTGTTTGTCATCTGTCTCCATTAGGCTTACTTGTGGAGGAAGCCCTCATGGCAGCTGTCCCCGATGTCGTCATCATTTAGCACGGTGTCTCTGATCTGCTCCGCAGGAAACAAACCGTCCAGATCAGAGAAAACCTGATTTAAATGCTAGAAAGTGAAACCAAACACCGGATCTCAGCTTACGTCGATTTCCTCAGGAACGCAGTGAGACTTCATGGAGGCCAGCAGCTCCATGATGGGGGCGATCTCCAGGCTCAGCACCGAGATGATGTTGTAGCCCTGAAAGTTAGAGGGAGCAAGAAACCATGAGCTTCACACAGCGACCGGGTTCTCATCCGGTTCTGACCGGGTTCTAACCCGGTTCTCACCCGGTTCTGACCCGGTTCTGACCCGGTTCTGACCCGGTCTCACCCGGTTCTGACCCGGTTCTCACCCGGTTCTGACCCGGTTCTCACCAGGTTCTGACCTGGTTCTAACCCGGTTCTGACCAGGTTCTAACCCGGTTCTGACCAGGTTTATGGACGATGGAAAAGAACTTATCATCAAAACACAGTATTCAGCTGAAGCTAAAGCTAAAGCAACACAGTAGACAGTGTTAAAAACTAGAGGAATAACTTCACTTGGCTCGCTAATTTTCCTCTAGTTTCCCAGATCCAAAGGTCTCCGCGTGCGCAAGGGAAATAATAAAGAACAATCATACGACATCTAGAGCTTTATCCAGAGAATTCAATGCATTCAGAATGTCGTTCCATCAGCATCACACCCAGATCATCAAGAAGTCCAACACATGACAAAATAGAATGACCTGCAACGAGTTGAAAAGGAAAGACAAAAATGCATTTCTGGGAATTGCTGACTCGGGCAAAAGCAATTCGATCTGTAAAACGAAGCTTTTTATAAGACTGTATTCCCTTCATCTAAATATATGCATTAGAAGGTGTGTTCTTCTCTCTGTGGGGCTGTTTTAATGTTCATTTTATTCCCCTGCTTGAGACATGCTGTACCAGCCGAGTCCTTTTACATTCCAGACGAAAATGTCTGACCTGCAGCTGGACGCGATGGCTCTCCTTAGTGATTTATGTGAGTTCAGAGTCAACCGTTGTTTTAGTTTGGATCTTTATCCAAGTTTACCTTAACATAAAGTCTACTCCAAATGTTCACGCTGCCTGTAATATTTCATATGCATAAAGATTGACAGTCTCTAAAGTTATGCTAACCAAACTTTCCACAACAGCTAACAGTAAAGCAATAAAACAGACAGCTAACGCTAAATCGCTAAAACACACAGCTAACGCTAAATTGCTAAAACACACAGCTAAAGCTAAATCGCTAAAACAAACAGCTAACGCTAAATTGCTAAAACAGACAGCTAACGTTAAAGCTCTCCCCAAACCTTCTGCATCCAGATGCGTCCCTTGCGGATGCCGTGTGTGAGCCGCTCCACGCAGGCAGCGTGCAGCGGCAGGTAGAAGGCCAGCTCGGTCTGCGGCAGGATGACAGACAGGGCGCACGTGTTCTTGTCGCCCTTCAGCTCGCCGTCGAAGATCAGAGACACGATGATGACGCCTTTCTCTGCCAGGACGAAGAACTTGACGTCCACGGCGCCGCACTCGGCGTTGCGCAGGATCTCTCCGTTCAGCGTGTGGTTGGCCAGGAAGGTGACCTCGCCGTCGCTCAGCGCCATCGGCTGCTCGCCACGCGGCGCCCACATGTGGCGCACGCGCGGCCCCAGGATGTTGTCCCAGTAGGCGAAGGTAGCTGCCAGCAGGGGGCACTCTCCCTCCACCGCTACCTCTGTCTTGGCTACGGCCGGGGACTGGGGGGGACAGCCCGAGGACATTGGACCGGAGACGTCTCCCTCTAATTTAGCTACAACCTTAACAGAAAACAAAGATTATAAAATCAGTTGGACGCAGAAGACATGTCCACGAGACCAAACGTCTCTGTCCTCTGGGTCAGGGGTCAGACTTCAACATGAAGGGACACAAAGATGGACACACTGATGGTGGGACAGGTCTCTCCGTCCCACCATCTTGAGATCTGCCCATATTTGTCCCAGTCAATAAAATGTGAGTCTGCAGACGCCGTGCGGCAGGACCCCCGCAGCAGACGCCGCGGGGGGTCCTGCTGGACAGCCGAGGTGGGAGGAGTCAAGGTGGACGGAGGAGGAGCTTATGTAGGGGTTGGTGACGTCAGAGGAAAGTCTGGGATGGGGACAGAAAGGGAAGCAGCTACCTGAGGAACTGCTGGACCGGAACCAGAGTCCATGAAGAAAACCCGGTTCTGCTGATCATGTAGCCGAACACACAGCGGTTCGGTTCCCGGCTGACAGGATCTGGACCATCCAGTCCGCTCAGGCGGAACATTTTAAATTGAATCCTTGAAATGAGCTTCAGTTGAAATGGATCCTGATCACGTGACCGATGAGCGTTAAACGGTCGCAATGAGAGCTATAGCAACAGGCTAACAGGAAGCGGATCACATGGTTCCGACTCACCTTTCCTGTCCTTTCCGAACCGAACCGCCGAACTGCAGCTGGATCCAGCTGGTCCTGATAACCTGCAGTCTAACGGCGGCTCGCTGCCTGCTCGTTTGTTGTGCTGTTTTCACTCTTCCTCGTACGTCACATGACGTCAGCGTCCAGGCGGCGCTGCGCCCTCTGCTGGTCGAGGCGAGGCGGTGCAGCGGGAGCCAGGATGACGTCATTTAGAATCAGTTCATAAAAATCAGATAAATGGGTTTAAATGCCACAGAACTGACGGGTTCGACTTTAGGCTCAGTTTAAATCCATTTCAGCTGTTAGTGGCTCAGTTCAGACGGACCAGGAACATGAGCCAAAGGTTCCAACAGGTGATCCGTTTGTCTGTGCCACCTGTAAATCCGACCTTTTGGGAAGCAGAGGGGGTCAACAGCCTGTCAATGTCAGCTGATCATGTGACCAGTGGGTGGAGACTGCTGTCCACATGCTCCGTCCCTCCAGTCAGAGGAAAATCACATTCAGCTCACATAACAACATCCACATTTCCTCTCATATCTCCTGATTCCTCCCACTGCAGCCGCCTGAGGCCCCAAACCGACCGAGAGCTTCATCGCTGCTCTGCAGCCGACTGACCAGCCGACTGACCAGCCGGGCCGTGAATGGACTGACGGCAAAACAAAACCAGATAAAGGTTCCAAGGTCGGCCTGCGGCCCGCTGCTGATGTGGTTTCACTCTGAGAGCAGCCAGACTCTCACGCCCCGATTGGACACAAATCTGAGGTTTTCCTCTCTGCGGGTTTGCAACTATAAATATGGTTCACACTCTGCTCTGCAGAAAACACTCTGAGGTCAGGCAGACTGAAGGATTCTCTGGGTTCTTCTTCATTTCCGTCTTTCAGCTGAAGCAGCAGACATGTCAGCATGCTGTAAGCTAAAACGTACCATGCTTTGTGCTGCGGCACTTCCTGCTGCGGCACTTCCTGCTGCGGCACTTCCTGCTGCGGCACTTCCTGCTGCGGCACTTCCTGCTGCGGCACTTCCTGCTGCGGCACTTCCTGCGGCTCTCACCACGTTTTGCTGTCAGCCTGGAGTTTCATCCCTTCTTAGATCCATAAGAAACCTTTCAGAGGAACCTGGAAGTGATTTTCTGGCAGCAGAGTAACTTGTGATGTCAATGCTACTAGCTAAGCTAGCTCTCCACCAGCCCAGTGCAGCCCACCTGTCTAGTCAAAGTCTGGATAATATGAGAAATTAACTCATATTATCTTTGCTTAGTTTACCCTGGCTTAATCCTTAGTTTAGCATAGCTTAGCTTTCCAATGTTTATCATATTCCAGATTATCTTAGTTTAGCTTGAATTAGCTAATATTATCTTCACTTGGATTAGCTTAGCTTTATCTTTAGCATATTTTAGCTTAGCCTTCTTAAACTCATGGTGGCTCAGTGTAATTGGCCTAACTTTACTTTATCGGTTTATATTAATTTATTTTGTAGTGTAGCTCAGCTGATCAGGAGAAATATTCAAACATCTTCATATTTTTATTTTTTCAGCTTTATTTCCATTTATTCTGGAGTGAAGAGCCAGAAAGGGGAAACGCATCCTGACTGGATTTATCTCTCTGCCGGTCGCTGCCGAACCTCCGTGTTTCTTTTTCCATTGGATTCCGTGAGCGTCTGACGCTGCGAGCGTCTGACGCCGTGGAACGAGTGGGAGGCGATTCTGCCTCTGAGGCCTTTCAGCCAATTTATGGAGGGAAGAACAGAAACGTTAAAATGGCAGCAAAGATTCACAGCATGAAACGTTTCACAGCTTTCAGCAGCTGATCAGGAGCCACAGACATGAAACCATGAGAAGATGGTGGATTTAACGCCGACTCACATCAGACTTTGTTCAAATACATTTACTATAACAGGAAGCTGTCTCTTCATTTCCCAGGATTTAACAGAAACTTTTCAGGTTTTAGAGAAAAATGGACTGATTAGTTTTGATCCGATTATTTTACCATCATTATTTATAAACTCTGAAGCTTCGGGGCTTTTAGGTGAACATGGATTGTTTCAGACCTGATGTTTCTGCTTTAAAACCAGCACCAGGGTTCAGACATGGCGGTGGCAGTGTGATGGTCTGGGTTGCTTTGCTGCATCAGAACCGGGACGGCGTGCTGTCAGAACCACAAATCCAGGAGATTCTGGAGGAAACCGTCAGTTTGTGGCTGAAATGCTGCAGATTTTGACCCGATGGAACCAAATCTAAGCTCCGGCGTCAACGCCACCAAATCCAGAAAATCTCCTGCTGATAAACTCAGACGGGATTCAAAATGCAAGAGGCTGATGGCAGTTCAGACAGAGCAACGTTCAGCAGAGCGTTTCTGCTTCCGGCAGGAAAACTGCAAACAGACGTGCAAAGAGATGCGAATGTCAGGAAGCAAAACTGCAGCACAAAGCAGCACAAACTGACTGGCGGCACTTTCTGCAAAATTAAAGAAAAATGGGGATCAGTGGGAAAATAATGACACAATAAAAGTATTAGGACTTGAAATAGGACAAATATGGAGGTTAAAAATTGGAGGAACAAAGACCCCAAATTCAGGGGAAACTAATAAACTGGGGAGAAATAAGAAACTTTCACAGGTAAGAAGAGATTAGATCAACGCTGGACTGTTTGACCACAACCTTAATGACGTCTGGACAAGACAAGACAACCACCCGGCCATTTTCAAGACAATAAATTAATACATAATTACAAAAGATTATACCAGAAAATACTACAAGAGCAAACACAGAGGAAAAATAATCTGTTGCTAACAGATTGACAGCAGTAGATCAGTTATGCTGTCGGTAAAGATAAGATGGAAAAATGTACAGAGGAATCGTACCAGCAGCCGCTGGGCAGAAACATCATTTATCCTGGTTTGCACAAAACATCTGGACTTTAATGTTGCCATGGGTACGTGATATCTGAAAGGAAGATTTATCTTATGAAATGATCGATATGGATTAATGAAAGATGACTGATAGTTATTAATTGCATAAAAGATGCTTTTGGAGAGAAAGAAACATTTTAGTATTTAAAAAACATGAAATTGTTGAAACAACAGTAAGAAAAAGTTTGGCTAATTTAGTTAAGATTATATTTAAAGTATAACAAATAAAGATAAAACACTAAAATGCCCAGCCGACTTTCAAATATTTGAACATGATTGATGTGTTGATGTCAGGAAAAATAGATTTTTCATTTGCCTTCTTGTGTATTTTGTAACATGAGAAAAACTGTAACTTACAAAAATTGTTTCTCTTTGTATTTATATAAAAACTGTGAAAAAGTGAAAGTGAACTTTCTGCAGGAATGAGAAAAGAATCAGTTCAAAATGTCTGCAGAGAAAACCTGAAACCAACAGGCTTTATGAAACCAGTGACAAATATTCAGGCTTAATGAACCGTTTCCAGACGATCCGTCGGGTTGCAAAAGCCTCATGAATTATTAAAGCAGCTAATTGGGGATTTTAAGTAGAAAGAGCCAAATTGGCAGGCTGAGCGTTTCTGCTGAGAGGTTACAGAGTCTGAGTTCGTCTTCATTAGCATCACGGCTCCTGCAAGCAGCAGAGAGACGGAGCAGCTGCAGCAGCTCAGAGAGTCCAGAGCTGCAGCATGAAGCTGCAGGCAGCCGTACGATGCTGCAGGTAGCTGTACGATGCTGCAGGGAGCTGTACGATGCTGCAGGTAGCTGTACGATGCTGCAGGCAGCTGTACGATGCTGCAGGTAGCTGTACGATGCTGCAGGTAGCTGTACGATGCTGCAGGCAGCTGTACGACGCTGCAGGCAGCTGTACGATGCTGCAGGTAGCTGTACGATGCCGCAGGTAGCTGTACGATGCTGCAGGCAGCTGTACGATGCTGCAGGTAGCTGTACGATGCTGCAGGATGCTTCATGCTGCTAAAACACCAAAACTCAGAAAGTGGCTTCATTTCCACTTCAAATATGACCAAATTCTCTTAAAGGTAACTTATCAGCACAATACTGGAGTTGGTTTTCGGTCAATAATTAATTAATATTTGATTTAAAAAAAAGTTTATTTTCATCAAACATAATATTTGCCTAGAATGTAAAGAGGCAAACATTTCTAAAAAGGTTTCTCCAGTAACTGACAAAATGTAACCAGTTCTGCTCTATTTGAAGAACATGAAGATCCAGAACTGTTGCCCGGCCTCCCGGGGTCCATAGCATTCACACCTCCCCAACGGAACCAAATGGACTGGAGTCCGATTAAAGTGGATTAACCAGGACGGGTGTGAACGCTGCAGCCTGAATGACTCTGGATTCTCTGCGGTTTTTAAACTTGTCTGTATTGTTCTTGGTTTCTATTGTGTCACATTTATTTCAGTTGCTGGCCTCGGCTGCCTCCATCTTATTTTTCTAGACATCCTGCGGCGCCTGGACATTAACATGAGGGCAGCGGACCCAGCATGTGGTTCTGAATTCCTCTGCGGTTCCGTATTTCAGCTGCACGGATTCACATCGTCACAGTGGCGCCGCTGAGATGAAACATCATGTTGGGCTGCAGCTCCGTTTCCTCTCATCTCTTTTCTGTCTGGATGTAAATGAAACGATTTCATTGCTTTTCAGACTGAAGCAGCGAACATGATGCAGAGAACAGGTTTTACTTTTCACACAAGTTTAAAGTGAAAAGCAGGAAACTTTGATCTCAGCTAATTTATCCCAGAGATTCCCTGTCGTTCACTCTGTCTAATTAGCTCTGTGACCTCTGACCTCTGCATTCAGTGTTAGGTGCTGCCTTCTCCTCTGTTTGACTCCTGGCTGACCTGCAGCCCGCAGCATCATCCCTCCCAGACCAAGAAGAGCCGGTGCAACCAGCCGGCGCTGCGCCTGCCAGGCGATTCTTCACACATTTAAACGATTTGGAAATGAGTCCCAGCTATGGCAAGCAGTTATACCATACAATTAGTTTCAGCTGACTATCTGCAATTATGTTCCAGATATCTAAAGCTTTGACTAGACAACTACACCTTTAACTATTCATCTGCATTTACATTATAATTTAATGTTTTAATAGTTTAATAGTTTAAGTCAAAACTACATTTTTACATTTCTGAATGAAGTCCAGCTGCCAGCAACACTTTGGGTTTTCTGCACAAAATGATCAGAAAATCCAACCGAAAAGAAATATTTTTACAATGAAGCTGCAGATTGATGCTCTGCTCAGATCTACTGAGAAACATCTGGAAGCTAAAACATCTGCAGTCGATGCATCGACGCCTGGAAAGTTTCAAAAATCGTTTTTCATTTTGCTCACTTTGTATTTCTTTATTGAAAATCATAAATTATGATTATTACCTCTAATAGTTATATTATTGCTGTCAGTCTCTGACGAGGTCACAGACTGCAGTCCGGCCATCCAGATGCATTTTTGAAGCTGAAGAGAAACTAAAAGTTTTTCAATGGAAAACATTTAGTTTAAATCCAACCTGGCTGTTTATCAGAGACACTGAAAAACTGAACCGTCGTGTTTAGATGATAAATCCAGCCAGAGGTTTGATCCTGACAGCGAAACTGGAGCTGAGTTCAAATCCGCAGTCACTCAGTTCATGCAACCGAGTGACTGACTGATACAGACTCACAGGACTGCAGACCAACACCCAGTGAGGGCCCCTCTGCGATGAGGCGGTCTGCAATGACGACTGCCTATGGTGATGGCAGTCTGCAGTGATGGCAGTCTGCAGTGATGACAGTCTGTGGTGATGACAGTCTGCAGTGATGACAGTCTGTGGTAATGGCGGTTCGCAGTTAGGGCAGTCTGCTGTAATGGTAGTCTGCGGTGATGGCAGTCTGCTGTGATGGCAGTCTGTGATGAGGGTAGTCTGTGCTGATGGCAGTCTGTGGTGGTGGCAGTCTGTGTTGATAACAGTCTGCAGTGATGGCAGTCTGCTGTGATGGCAGTCTGCTGTGATGGCAGTCTGTGCTGATGGCAGTCTGTGGTGAGGCGGTAATATAAAAGTGAATATCAAAGTTTCACCAGTTGACATTAAATCCTTAATAAATAAAGTTTCTTCAGACTTTGGGGTTGAATTTATTTCCTTTTGAAAATATACCCATAAATTTGTCATATGAAAACGATTATACAAGCTGGAACATTTTATCACAACAGGATCACACAAATATCCCCCAAACCCCAATTGCCCCTCCCACACCCCCTTTACAAATAGTTGCCCTTCAGGGTTAATTATTTATTTTCCCATCGTAAACATTTAAAACATCGTCAACAAAAATCTGAACAAAACTAAAGAGAACGAGAAACTACAACATTCAAAACGGCCATTTATGAAAGACCAAGACCTCCTTACTGCCCCAGACCTCCTTACTGCCCCAGACCTCCTTACTGCCTCCAGACCTCCTTACTGCCCCAGACCTCCTTACTGCCTCCAGAACTCCTTACTGCCTCCAGAACTCCTTACTGCCCCAGACCTCCTTATTGCCCCAGAACTCCTTATTGCCCCCAGACCTCCTTACTGCCTCCAGAACTCCTTACTGCCCCCAGACCTCCTTACTGCCCACAGAACTCCTTATTGCCCCAGACCTCCTTACTGCCCACAGAACTCCTTATTGCCCCAGACCTCCTTACTGCCTCCAGACCTCCTTATTGCCCCCAGAACTCCTTACTGCCTCCAGACCTCCTTACTGCCTCCAGACCTCCTTATTGCCCCCAGAACTCCTTACTGCCTCCAGACCTCCTTATTGCCCCCAGAACTCCTTACTGCCTCCAGACCTCCTTACTGCCCCCTGGCAGTTTGATCTGTCTGCAGACTGGAAGGTGGTGGCTGTAAATCTTTGCCACCGTCTCTTTCATATCTAGGAATTTTTCTCCCTTTGATTTATAATGATATAAAATTCAACATGACTTTCCGTCTTTCCGTTTCTGTGCAGAGGAGCAGCAGACCTGTTTTCCTGAAACGCCTTTTCCAGTCTAGACAACCAGAGTGGTCTTGTTCAGGGGATGTGATGAGGGGCTGATCTAAGTTTCTGCAGCATTTCAGTAGAGACTCATTTGCGGGTTTGCATACAAACACCTGCTTCCGGTAGAAAAACCCGAGAAAGAAAGAAACACTTTGGACCTCAACGTTTAGTCTCCACCGCACGAGAAAGGCAATGCGTGCACATGCACAAAGAAATACACACACACACACACACACGCGCGCCTTTCAGGCTGCAGCTGAGATGGGTCGGTTCGGTTCGGTTCGGTCGTGACGCTGCGGTCTGTGATGCCACGTCGTCACTCATCCCGTCAGTGAGTCGGTCGCAGCGCGATGCCAGTCCCATATTGATATGTCGGTTATAGATTTATATCGAGTACATCATGAACATCATAAATCACAAGTCCACTGATCACTAGACCACCGTCAGACCCACAGCCACTAAACATCACTTCCGTTTGTCACAAATCCACTTTGTCATTAAAAACGAACAGACATTTTGTTTTCCGGCGGAAGCCGCAGCGTCCGTCAGATCATCTTCATGTTGACGCGCCGCGGGCCGCTGGTCTCCGCCACGTCCGCACCGCCGCCGTTGGACTTCCGGGGGACGTACTCGATGTCGAAGTTGTTCCTGTGTCGGCCTTTGCCGCGGCTCCAGGCGAACAGCAGCAGGAAGCAGAACACCACAACGCCCAGGAAGGACAGGCAGCCCATGGCGGCGGAGATCAGGATGGTCTTCATGTCGATGGGGACCGTCATGTTGTACAGCACCGTGCCGTTGCCCCAGGTGCCGTTGGGCTCCGTCAGGGAGCCAGAGCTGCGGTTGCTGTAGTGGAGCCTGTCGCCGGTTCCCAGGCTCTTCACGGCCAGGGACGCGGACAGGCTGGCGTTGCCCGCCGGGTTGCTGGCGATGCACAGGTACACGCCGCTGTCATGCAGCTCCGCCGCCTTGATCTCCAGGCTGCCGTCCGGTTGGACCTCCACGCGGCCGCTGCTCTTGGCCGTGACGTAGCGTCTGTGCGGCGTGATCCAGACCACCGAGGGCCGCGGCGCTCCCTCCGCCGTGCAGCTCAGCCGCGCCGGCTGGCCCTCGTCGGCCATCAGCAGCTGCGTGGCGTTGGGGCCGACCCGCGGCTTGGTGCAGGTCATGTACCTCGACACCAGCGGCTCCTTGAGGTCCCGCAAGGATTTGCCCAGAAGGTGCTGCGGCGCGCTGCACTCCGGCTGCAGGTCCAGGATCTGCAGTGAAGCCGGCTTGTGGCTGCTGAGCAACCAGAGCAACCGGCAATCGCACACCAGCGGGTTGCCGCCCAGGCAGAGCCGCTGCAGGGAGTCCGCCGAGGCGAACACGGCCCTCTCCAGAGAGTCCAGCCGGTTCTGGGACACATCCAGCAGCTGGAGGGACTTCAGGCCCGCAAAGGCCAGGGGCTCGATGGAGAGCAGCTGCGCCCCCTGGAGGCGGAGCTCCAGCAGCTGCGGCAGAGGGCCCAGCTCCCCCTGCTGGATGTGCTGGATGCGGCAGTAGGACAGGTTGAGGTGCGTGAGGTAGGGCAGGTTGCGCAGCGCCGCTCCAGGAAAGGCAGACAGGTTGGTGTTGGTGATGAACAGGGAGGTCAGGTTGAGACCGTGCAGCGACAGTGGCGGCAGGCTCTCCAGCAGGGGCCAGGAATCCACCTCCAGGTGGCGCAGGCGAGTCAGCCGCTTGAAGGAGAAAGGCTTGAGGAAGCTGATGCTCAGAAAGCGCATGCGCAGCTCCAGCAGGTTGTGCAGGTGGGCCAAAGCGTCGGTGGGAACCACAGTGAGGTTGGAGCGCTCCAGGGTCAGAGTCTGGATGCCCAGCAGCCCCGTGAAGGCGCGCTGGGAGATGAACACCAGCTGGTTGTTGCTGACCTCCAGGAAGGTCAGCCGGTGCAGGTCCTGGAAGGCGTGGTCCAGCAGAACCACCAGCCGGTTGTGACTCAGGTCCAGGAACGTGAGGTTGGTCAGGCCCGCCAGCACGCCCTTCGCCACCAGCATGAGCTGGTTGCTGCGCAGGTTGAGCGAGCGCAGCGCCACGTTGGAGTGGAAGCAGCCGGGCTCAGCGACGCTGATGGTGTTGTCGCTGAGGTCCAGGTCCTCCAGCTGCAGGAACGACGAGAAGTTGTAGAAGTTGATGAGGCGCAGCTTGTTCTTGCTGAGGTCCAGGGCGCGCGTCTCAATGGGGACGCCCTCCGGGATGCTGGCCAGCCGCTTGCGGTGGCAGCTGACCGACTTGGTCTGGGCAGAGCACTCGCACCGCGCGGGGCAGCCGGAGGCGGAGCCGGCCAGGACCAGCAGCAGGCCGCCGGCCAGCAGGAGGCGCCGCATGGCTCTCTTACCCACCATCACGGCAAACAGAGCAGCATCACCAACAAGCCCTGCAACAGAGCAAAGCAGGAAAGCAGTCAGTCAATCAATCAATAAACCTGTCAGCCAGGGTTACTGGGATCGCACATTTTCAAAGAGCCTTCCATCATAAGAACGTCAGACAATCACCAGCTGAGGCATTACGTTTTGTCAAGTTCCATCATGAAAATGATCAATAAACATCAAATATGTTGATCAATAGAAACAAAAGTCTGCAGATCTTTATTTATTAGAGGAGTTTACACAAACTATTTTACATTTGCATTCAGAGTTTCTCCCAGAAAACCTGCTAATCCTGGTGCTAGCGGTGCCGAGGCAGTGCACCATGTTTCTGAGCTAAAAACAACATGGAGGTGAACGACGTTTCATCACGATTTGGAAACAATAGCGTGTGATGCTAACAGGCAACAGCAGGGAGGTGCAGCTGGAGCATTCAAGGCTGTAAACCTCACTGGTGCTGCTAGTGGTGAATAAAACTCTTATTCAGAGTTAAACAACTCTTAGCCTGGCGGGGATGGAGTAAAGCCTGATGACCCGCCAGGCTGATAAACGCTGGAAATGTTTCAAATGAGAAAAAATCACATCTGAAGAAGTTTTTCACACAAGTCATTAAAATTATACCAGCGATGCAAACAGTGACATGAAAATATTCATGATGTGAAAAAACTTTTTTTTTTCACATCATGATTTCACATCATACAAAACATGATTTCTCTAAATTTTTTCCACGCAGTGAATTTATTTTTTGTCAATTTTAGTTTTAAAGTAAACTCAGCTACTGTTGTGGTAATAAATGTAAGTGGAAGACTTTGAAACCGTCTTTATGTGGCTCTGAAGGTTCAGATTTCAGCATCATCAAAGTTACTATAATAACATGATGACATATTAAAAACACATTTTCATTCACTGAAATAAATAACTATTGTGGAAAAACTTAACTGGAACAATATCCTGCATTTCCACAAAAATAACCAAAACATAATGAAATTATAGATGTAATATTATCAGCCGTTCACACTGATGTGAAATTAATTTTTTCCCCACACAAACTGTGATTTGCTGTTAGTAAATTATGGCGCTTCACATACGTTAGTCTGCAACATGGCCACAGAAAATCTTTGGGTAAAACTCCAGAGTCGATCGGCTGTTTGACAAAAATTAATGCATAAATTAATACACTTTTCTTCTGCTGGGTATTCATTACCTAATCAATGTTCACATAATCACAAAACAATACTCTGACCTTTCTGAATATAAAAAAATGAATAAAAACTAAAGGGATGCAACATTTAACTAAATAAAACAAGAAAATACCAAAAATGTGTTCATAAAAGTCAAGTATCATAAACCCAAACTCTGCTAATCCTGGTCTGAACACATTTTCAGCATCTTTCTCTTCGTCTGCAGAGGAGAATCTGAGGCAAGGAGTGAAATGTTTCACCAGATGAAAATGTTCCTCTGCTAGCTGCAGCCAGGCTAAACGTCCTTTGCAGGATAACTCAGTGTGTGTGTGTGTGTGTCTCTGTGTGTGTGTGTGTCTGTGTGTGTGTGTGTGTGTGTGTCTGTGTGTGTGTGTCTCTCTGTGTGTGTGTGTGTGTGTGTGTCTCTGTGTGTGTGTGTGTGTGTGTGTGTGTGTCTGTGTGTGTCTCTGTGTGTGTGTCTCTGTGTGTGTGTGTGTGTGTGTCTCTCTGTGTGTGTGTGTGTGTGTGTCTCTCTGTGTGTGTGTGTGTGTGTGTGTGTGTGTGTGTGTGTGTGTGTGTGTGTGTGTGTGTGTGTGTGTGTGTGTGTGTGTTTGGCTGCAAACCTAAAATAAGCTGCTGCTATTATTAAACCCTGAAGCAGATTCACCAGCAAACCTCTGGGTAAATAAATCTTCCATTGTTTCCAACGACATTTTAAAAATGACGTTGTTGTAATTTTCTCCAGTTCTGCTATAAAAAGTATTGAACCCTTGAAGATTCTTTCCTGTCATATTTACATTTTTTACAGATAAAATAAATCCCAATATGACACAAAGATAACCTGAATAAATCCAAAAGCAGTTTTAATGGCTATTAAAATGTTTAGGCGCTTTTAATAATTATAGAACCCCCCCAGCAGATGGCGCCCTGGGTGGTTTCCTCAGGCCCATATCAGAACCTGATGAGTGACCCCAACATGTTTCTGTTTAAAGATCAATACAGACGTTTCCCAATGGATCACACAGAACATTATTACTGGCTTTTATTTTGAAACTCAACATCCGTTCATCTGTTAGTCAATTAGCATATTAGCTAAACACTTAGCTCAGAATTGGATATTAAACATATTGCAGCTAAAAACTTAACTTGCTAATTATTAGCTTCAAACATAAATGTTCAGATTACTAAAATTATTTTTTTAGCCAACTAAATTATTTTGTTTTCCAACTTTAGTTTAAAAGAAATATTTAGAATAATTTATTTAACAATATTTTGTATATCTTCAAACTAAAATATTTAGCTACATATTTTTTAAATTGCATATTTAGTTTGGATTATGAAAGAATGAACCAAAGCTGAACATATGACAGGAAATGAAGCCAATTATCGTGTAAATGCAGGATGATATTCAAATGACTCTTCAGCAGAATCCATGACTCAGCAACATGACGTCCAGGTCTCCATCCCATAATAAACTCATTTCAACTGATGGGCTGCGCGCGCAGCCTGCTGACAGATTAACAGCAGCTTCAGAGTCCAAACAGCTGGAAGCTGATTGTCAATGTGGCTCTTAATCCATGTGTGAGGAGGAGCCGGTTCGGTTCGGTTCGGTTCGGGTTCGGCTCTGGAGCCGGAAGACCACCGAGCAGCCACAGGTCGTTGGGCTGATCAGAACCAACTCAACAGCCGCAAAATCTGCATTCAGCAGGCGGACATCGGTACCAATTAGAGCCGCGAGGAAACCCGAACCGAACCGGAATCCAGATGGAGGAGAGAGAAACACACCTTCCTTTGAAACCAAAGTGAGACAGCGCTCCTCTTCCTCATCCTCATCCTCATCCTCCTCTCCGCAGGCTCAGCGCTGTGCAGGTTCTGCAGGTTCTGGTTCTGGACGGGTTTCAGACATGAGATGCAGCGACGTTTTAACAAAGAGCAGGCCGTTGCCACGGCAACCACAAACCCCGTCCTGCGTGCCAATCAAATTAATGAACAAAGAAACATCCAGGAGGAGGATGACGTAACGGCTTTGCTTCAGCGACTCAGAGGAACCGAATCAGAACCGAACCGGGTCGTTCGGACCCGTTTGTCCATCTGGTCTAAGGTACCGGTCCACCTGGGTGTCGGTCCTGGCTCTGCTCCTCCTCCCGCCTCAAAGGATGAAGAATTCCGGACCGAACCGGAACAGGTTCTGCTGGCGATTACACTTTAAATGTTACTAAACATTACTGAGTGTTATTAAACATTACTGAGTGTTATTAAACATTACTGAGTGTTATTAAACATTACTGAATGTTATTAAACATTACTGAGTGTTATTAAACATTACTGAATGTTATTAAACATTACTGAGTGTTATTAAACATTACTGAATGTTATTAAACATTACTGAATGTTATTAAACATTACTGAGTGTTATTAAACATTACTGAGTGTTATTAAACATTACTGAATGTTATTAAACATTACTGAGTGTTATTAAACATTACTGAGTGTTATTAAACATTACTGAGTGTTATTAAACATTACTGAATGTTATTAAACATTACTGAGTGTTATTAAACATTACTGAGTGTTATTAAACATTACTGAGTGTTATTAAACATTACTGAATGTTATTAAACATTACTGAGTGTTATTAAACATTACTGAGTGTTATTAAACATTACTGAATGTTATTAAACATTACTGAGTGTTATTAAACATTACTGAGTGTTATTAAACATTACTGAGTGTTATTAAACATTACTGAATGTTATTAAACATTACTGAATGTTATTAAACATTACTGAGTGTTATTAAACATTACTGAATGTTATTAAACATTACTGAATGTTATTAAACATTACTGAGTGTTATTAAACATTACTGAATGTTATTAAACATTACTGAATGTTACTAAACATTACTGAATGTTATTAAACATTACTGAATGTTATTAAACATTACTGAATGTTATTAAACATTACTGAATGTTATTAAACATTACTGAATGTTATTAAACATTACTGAATGTTATTAAACATTACTGAGTGTTATTAAACATTACTGAATGTTATTAAACATTACTGAATGTTATTAAACATTACTGAGTGTTATTAAACATTACTGAGTGTTATTAAACATTAGTGAGTGTTATTAAACATTACTGAATGTTATTAAACATTACTGAATGTTATTAAACATTACTGAATGTTATTAAACATTACTGAGTGTTATTAAACATTACTGAGTGTTATTAAACATTACTGAGTGTTATTAAATATTAGTGAGTGTTATTAAACATTACCGAATGTTATTAAACATTACTGAATGTTATTAAACATAACTGAATGTTATTAAACATTACTGAATGTTATTAAACATTACTGAGTGTTATTAAACATTACTGAATGTTATTAAACATTACTGAATGTTATTAAACATTACTGAGTGTTATTAAACATTACTGAGTATTACTAAACATTACTGAGTGTTATTAAACATTACTGAATGTTATTAAACATTACTGAGTGTTATTAAACATTACTGAGTATTACTAAACATTACTGAGTGTTATTAAACATTACTGAATGTTATTAAACATTACTGAGTGTTATTAAACATTACTGAGTATTACTAAACATTACTGAGTGTTATTAAACATTACTGAATGTTATTAAACATTACTGAGTGTTATTAAACATTACTGAATGTTATTAAACATTACTGAGTGTTATTAAACATTACTGAATGTTACTAAACATTACTGAATGTTATTAAACATTACTGAATGTTATTAAACATTACTGAGTGTTATTAAACATTACTGAGTATTACTAAACATTACTGAG